TTTATACATTCTGCAGGCCTGTCAACTGTCCCGCAATTTGCGTATTTGTCACGCATTTGCTGAAGAATTTGAAGTCACGCCAGTTTTTTTTGCGTGACAGAAAATGTCACGCAAAATACGCATTTTACCTGGTAATTGTCAAGCAAAAATATTTCTGTAGAAATTTTTTCGAAATATGTTTACGATACGGTAAAAATACGAACGCCGGAAAAAAACGAACGCAATTTGTTCGGATTTGTCACGCGAATCCCGTATGTGTCACGCATGTTCATTGGAAAATTTCCGTACCTACCCCCCCCCCCCCCCCCCGTTGACGACAACGCGAGCGTAGTGAGCGCGAAAAATTTGAGGTGTTCAAAGTTTGGCAAAGGTGCTCAAACTTTGGCCAAAGGTGTTTAAAAGTTGGCCAAAGGTGTTCAAAATTTGGACAAAAGTGTTCAGATTTGGACTTAGGTGTCCAACATTTTGAAGTCACTCATATTAGGTGGTCCCAAGTTGACAGCCCTGATTCTGCACAGGTATTTAAAATATGCAATTCAATGAAATTCACTCAACATTTGTTTGTCAGGATTCACATTAATGTACTTGTTAATAATTTAGGTAGCTCCGAAAATGCAGACTTCCAAAGTCAATCCTCACTGAATAAATCATAATCATCACATTTCAATTGAAGCCATTGGTACAAGAAGCCAAAATCAGACTTAGTCTTGCTTCAAGCCCTTCTGACTCAACCTACACACCTAAAACTCACAAGAAACATAGAGGGGGTTCCAGGGACCTGAAGCAAGACTATCAGATTTTGATATTTACATCATACAGTAAAACTTGTGTATATTGAACATGTGTTTGTCAAGAAAAAAAAGTTCAGTATTGGTAGGTGTTCACTACAGAGAGGTTAATTCATACATTAGTCAGTAGAGTGTATGTGAAGGAAAGGTGTGAACTGGAGACAGGTGTTCACTAGAGAGAAGTGTTCACTGATACATGTTTACTGTATTCTAAATTAGGCCTTTAAGCAAGGATAAACACTATCTACCAAACACACAACTAAATTATGATAAAAATACATCTTTGTGTTATCAATATCAGCAGTTTGAAGAATTATCAGACTAAAACACAGACCCAAGAAATCTTTCAATTCAATGTGATCCCTCCATTCACTTGCACAACATGTTTTGGGTCTGTGTATTTGACTGTACAATATAACATTGAGTTCACACTAAAACAGAACAAATTCTACGTTTTTGACATAAACATTCATAATTCTTCCCCAAATTCTGGGATTGCTGAAGTATTTTCAAATCTTAGCATAAATAAATATTAAATACAGTATTATAGTAATATGTAATGTTCACTCCACCATTATTACATAATTATGGATAATACGATACATGTATTTACAAATGATATGTTCAATTAGATTCTAATTAATTCAATCATTAATTGTTATTAAATTCATATTGCTAGTTCATTTTTCTAAACTAAAATTTACAATGTACAAATTACTATTGCAATTTTGAATTGAATTGCATTTTGTTATACTGTTCTATGTCCAACCCTGTTTTGCCTTGGACACGTTATGATGCTGCAAATAATTTTAAAACAGTAAACATATTTAGTAATGTTTGAATATAAATATATGTTTTTTCTCCCTGTATCAAAGTAAATGCTTGTGGCCATTAACTGTGTAATCTCAAGGCCATATCTTATTTTTAAAGATGCATACCCCAAAAGGCACAAAACAATATCATGAAGTCTGTACCTTTAACAGCTTCAACTCAGTAATGCCCTGGTCACATATGCTCTGATTTTCACTACAACGCCTAGCTGATTGAGTATTTTGTTCAAAATTGAATACAATATTGAAAAAACACTCAATCGGCTGGGTGCCAGCCGATGGATCGTAGCATATGTGACCCAGGCATAAAGGATGCACATGTTTGTTTCTTTCTATTTGATGATTTCTCAACTTGTTCACATGAGTACATGGCTAGAAATGAAATACATCCAAGGAATTATTGAACTTCTATTGATCATAGACTTCCAGACGGAAGGAAACACACACACTGAGTAAAGGGTCTCACATTCAGAAATAGCATTGTATATAATTTTGTTGGCCAGAAATGTCCATAAGTACATGAGAAATCTTAGCACACCTGGTATTTGAAAGCTTATCATACAGTAGAACCTGTATGTGGAACACCTTTGGGACCACAAAAACGTGTTCCACCTGTGAGGTGTTCCACTTACACAGGTGTTTCATTCAGAAGTTTCTACTGTATTCTTATATGTTTCACCATATTGTGTATTTTTTCAATTACAGCAAGCAAACCCAATGCACATTTAAATAGACAAGATATATAAGCATTCAAATGATACTATTTGTAAAGATGCATTATGTACTTTAGGATATTTTGATATATTTGGCCAGCCAAAATATGGTACAATGAATTAAATAGAGGTTTCCAGCCCATTTCTTTAAGTCCATGCATTGACATATCATATAAAAATGTGAAGCATATATAGGTTGGACCAAACTGCGCAATATACCTTCTCTCACATTTATTGTCTAGCAAGGTAGAATACCAAGTGTCTGAATTATTAACATTTTGTGGCCCAACCTGTACATGTATTGTCATTTAGCAACATACCAAATTAACCTAAAAATCACATGTATTAATCCAATTGATAACAAGCTAATAATGCAGAGTTATAATAAATTGTTGCATCAGGCATCCCTCTTGCATAAGCTATCATGATGGTCATGATACCTTCTAAGATTCTAAATAAATTGAGGTTCTGCAAAAAACCTTATATAATATTATCACTATGACATATTATATAACCAACTCACATGTTCCATAGCTAGCATGGCATGTTACAAAACCATTGACATGTTACATGGCTACCATGACATGTGCATAGCTACTATGACATGTTACATGGCTACCATGACATGTTAAATATTAACCACCGTGAAATGCTACATAACTACTCTGGCATGTTACATAATCATTTACATGCTACATAGCTACCATGACATTACATAGCTACCATGGTATGTTACATAATCATTGACATGTTACACAGCTACTATGACATGTTACATAATCCTCCTGACATGTTACTTAGCTACCATGACATGCTACATAACCACCCTGACATGCTACATAGCTACCATGACATTACATAGCTACCATGGCATGTTACATAATCATTGACATGTTACACAGCTACTATGACATGTTACATAATCCTCCTGACATGTTACTTAGCTACCATGATATGTTACAACCACCCTGACATGCTACATAGCTACCATGAGATTACATAGCTACCATGGCATGTTACATAATCATTGACATGTTACACAGCTACTGTTATAATAACATGTTGCATAATCCTCCTGACATGTTACATAGCTACTATGGCATGCTGCATAACCAATATGACATTACTGGCATGAGGATGACACTGTCTATCTCATCCTATTGATAGCACCATATCCTTTATACAAATAAGAAAGTACATCTATCTTTCTTATCTATCTACAGTAATTACATGAAAGCAGTTCTTACAGAATATCTTCATTATACAGTACAGTATGACATAGACATGTATCAAGCCTAAATTTTCCCTATTTACTGATCACAAGCTTGGTGACTTTTTGTAGCGAATGCACTGCGAATCATCAACATATCAATGTGTTTCAATTAATATAATTGCTAACATGGAAGTATGATGGACTTTGGCTGTGTGAAACAAAAAATTAAACATTGATGATATTCAATCAGCCTTTTATGCTATACATGCAAGCTTTTACTTACTATTTTAGTTCAGTTTATGAATTTGGCACAATGCTATAATGCACTTAAGTTTGAGCCTGTTCCCTCATTAACTTTTAAGGAGGGGGCCTCTGGGGGTCTCAATTTCCTTAACACCCCTTATTATCCTCTTAAGGGGCTTGGGTGGTCTATTGAATTCTCCTTAAGACTGACTCTACCATTACCTTGTCATGTTAGCAGTTTATGGTACAATATAACAATTTTATGGTACAATATAATAGTTTATGGTATTACTTCTTAGAATAGCTCACTCATTCAGGTCACATGTTGTATCAACATAACCTCATTATATCAAACCCCATTTGTGTGAACAAAATGTAGGGAGTTATTTTCACACCTTTTCTTCATTTCAAATTGGAGTGAAAAAATAGTGTGCATCCCAGTTATTCACACCAATACGGCATCTGAGTTGAATAAGGAATTAAAGCTATCAACATGATCGATTAATATTCAACAAGTTCACAATTTGATTACATATAGCTCCAAAACCACAGGTTGGGCCTGTATACATTTTCAATGTGATTTCATACTCATTATATTATAACATTATACCTGTTTAATATTGTTGAGTCTTTTATAATACATGTACCTTATTGGTAAGTTGAAAAGTACAGTATAAGAGCAAACACCTTTAGTTATATACAACTGATGAAAGATATACAGAGATGTTGGCTATATCTAAATACATGTGATGCCATGATATCTGGGATTAGGGGGGTCATCTCATTTTCACTTGTTTATTTGATATTATATCATGTATGGCTCACGAATAAATTGTTAATTTTGAGATGGCTCATAATATTATCACATCCTCTGGATTTTAACAATTGTCGAATTGTTAGTGAGTTAAAATCTCACAATAGTTTAAATACAATAAATACGCTATACAAGATAAGATTATGCAATGATATAACACTGCGTATAACTGGTATATATGTATGCAAGTCAATATATCTATCAAATAAAAGTTCATTATAAAAATGCATGAACAGTCAAAAGTTCCAGTTCAAAGAACACTACTGCTCTGGAAACTTTAAGTCGAAAAGTAGACATGATTAATTTTTACTTAAAGAGAAACCAACCTTAGTGCTAGTTCGGTGGATTTGAATACAAACTGGTGTAATGAAAAGCCAGAAAATTTCAATTCTAATTCTGTTTCCTGCCTCCATGATTTTCACAAAAAAAGATAATGAGTGGAGGAGGCCAGAGAGTAAAACAACTTGTTCATTATTTGATCACTTGAACTTTTCTGGTATTCTTAATTACCAGAATTAAAGAACAAGTACAAGTCCATATTAGGCGTAAAAGACAAGTACAAGTTCATATTAGGCATTTATATAATCATCTTTACAATGTGCATGCCCAGAATAAATTAACAGCATGAAATATAGAATAATATATCATAAATTAGAATAATCATTGTCACCATTCTGAAAGCACTTGCTTGACAAAGATAACCATAACAGTTCATGAATTATTCTAGAATAATCCAGGAACATGATTCTGAACAAAATTAATCCTGGTAGAGTTGAGTGGCTAAGATTTCACCGGTTGATACAGTCTGACAACCAGCATTTACAAACTTTTTGGTTACGACTTGAGATTCAGCTTTGACATGGCTGGTCTCTTTACTCTGGGGTTTTGTTTGTGCGTCAGCTACACCATCATCTGTCGGAACTCCATTAATCGCCACAGAGGGTTCTGCATTGTTTTTCGCCATGGCTCGAATGTCACCTAACGATGATTCTATCATCTGGTAGCTTTCTGGCACCATTGAAAGTTGACCACTAGGGTCCGAAACTGTAATATTATCATCCAGATTATCAGTACGGAAGTTCCACACTGGAATGACGCCTGCTCCTGATGGAGCTGCATCTCCGTATGATTTATTGATTGCTTCAATATCTCCTTCACCTTCAAGATCATAGTCATCAAGATCAGGCGTAGTTGAACGACTAGAGAGCACTTGGCTCATTTCATCTTCAAATCTTGTGGTGGGACTCATGCCTGGAGGGTAGAACTCTGTGGCATCGACACTACTAGCACTAAACGTACTAGATGAACTAAATGTGCTTGTAGAAGTTGTACTAGTTGGGCTGAGCACAGGCTCCGATGGCTGTGACTCTGCCTCTTTCCACACTCTCGTTGCCCGCCACTTTGCACGACTAGCTTTTGGGGCTAACACGGCATTAAAATTCAACATTTCACCCTGATGAAAATATTTCTGCAAATCATCAACAGACTTTGGCAGAATTGATTTGTCGAAAAAAACATGTTCGTGCTTGCCTAAGTCAATAATCCCCCAAAGTTTGGCTACGTGGAAGCACTCTCCCTTACGGGCCACCAAAGTCTGAACAGCCTGTCTCTGAGACTGAGGCCTACTACCTGTGATGAGTACATGCATACGTGCATTCTTGTTAACAGTCACTGAGTCACCGTGAACGTGAAATATTGTAGCATTGCGTCTGAGAAAATCCTCCAAGTCTATCTTAGCCCAGCCTATTGTGTTGCGGACACTTTCTGGAGCTTGGCTAAAATGACCTGTTATACTATGAAGTTTCACATCTCCATTCTTCTCAATAATTTCCTTTAAGAACATTACAGCTTTGTATTCATTGGCCGTCATGGTGATGGGGCTTCGTTTTGTTGGCTGGGAAGGTACAGGGGCTTGATACGGTGCTTTGTTCACAGGGAGAGATTGCGGCTTCTTACGTGAAGGCCCTGAGTTAGCTCTAGGACGTGGCGGCTCAAGATCATGTTCTATTGGGTGGCGAAGGTTGAGTGGTATACCTGGGAGGCCCTCACAAAGTGACACATTCTCCCCCTTCACTTCAAAGATATGAGGGTGTCTGATCAACCAACGCCGGAAATCAGCTGCAAAAACAAAAATAAATAGAAAAAGTGATCACTATCTTATGGAGAATGCAATGCTCAGGAAATTTTATTTTAATTTCAACTCAGTATTTCCATAAATCAATTCAGTTATCTTATGAATTTTTGAATATTTTAGATTTATCAACAAATATTAAATACTTTGCGAGAAACATATTTGATTATACTTATAGGAAAAACAAGTCCAACAGCCCAAGGATAAAAATATTCCCAAGTATAAACATAACCAAATTATTAAGGGTTAACTTGATTTGATTGTTCCAATGTTGCCCTTTGTTAAGTGCTCTTTCATTAGTACTTTAACAATACTGAATACAGGTTACTTATAAAATTTGATAAACCCTAAAAATGTGTATGGGATACAGGTAAAGAAATGGGGTTTTAGCATTATTATATGGAAACCATATGAACATTTAATTTATTTGTTGAAATCCAATTATGGTCCCCTCTCCATTTATTACTAAAGTGACAAAATTGTCTTCCTTATTAGTTTATAATCAATTGGGGCTAGTATTAGGGCCGTATAGAAGGGGGGGGGGGCATCATTATTGGGAGGCCATATTTTTTCAATGTAAAGGAGAATCAGTGAAAGTTTAAAAGTCACAAGAAAGAAATATTTACATTATGACATTAGGGTGTGTAATATTGATAAGACATGTTCCTGAAGTATTTATAGAGAAGATAGAACAGAGCTTAAAATATACAGTACACCAAATGAAAATAAGAACCAACAGCACAATCGTTTTTTAAGAATAATATTTCATGCAGTTTCAACATAGTCCTTCACCGTCCCTGTGTTAAGTGTGTTTTTACACCTATAACAATCTGTGTAAGGGGCAATATCTCATATTTAATCAAGTGTAGTGAAACGATTCATCAATTCACATTTTGCTATTGACTTTTTAACATCATATTTGCTTCACAGTGAGTCTATTTTACACAAGATATGAAAATATAACTGAATTCACAAATCGAATCTTTACTTGTAATTATAATATGGTAATAATAAATATATAACATTGCATAGAATATTGATCTAAAAATGGTTTCAGATAATGAATCTAAGTTCTAATTATGAATTCTTACACCCTGTACCACCAATTCCCTTTCTATCAAAGATTCATTTTTTACAGTGATGGAGTAAGAATGTGTGGTACAGGGTGTCGATGCGAGAATATAAGTTTTAGCAAATATACAGTTAATCAGACCTCATTAATTAATTAGATAACATAAAGAATCAAAATAGTTGTGATAAGAACAAATAGAATGAGATAAACATATTACCATAGAAAGAAACAGAGTAATCTACAACATAATATAAATGATTTAAGAAATAAACATAAGCAAGCATTCTGGTTGAGGAATACAATATACTTGAAACATCAATTTAAATACACATATCATGATCTCCCTAGTTTTTTTCTCAAGGAGTGGACAAATCTTATACTACTAGTTTGGTCAAATATGTCTATACAGTAAAACTTGTTAAAGTGTAACACTTTTGGTTCCTGTAAAGTGTTCCACTTGGGAAGTGTTCCACTTATAGAGGTTCATTTAACATTATGTCAGTTGGCCACGTGACTCTGACAAGTGTTCCACTAACAGAGGTGTTCCACTTTGCAAGGTGCGAGGGAAAACAATGTAATTTTTGAATTTATAACAAGGTCCACCATCCTGTTGATCTGATGCTGGGGAGATCACTCGGGTGAATATATAATGTATGATGGGAACATTAAAAATTGACAAAGAGACATTGCATGCACCACCTCACCCTATGCAGACAGAGCCTGTGGGAAATATTGGGTGCGGAGCAAATGAGCGGAGGGTGCGGAGCTAACGGTTATTTTTGAATTTAAATTTGGGATATTTCTGAAACTAAGCCGTTTTGGGACTTCAAATATACCAAGATATGTGTATTTGACACCAAATATCAATACAATTGTGAAAATAGTAGCGCAATTCATTCTATAGCGACGCAGTGTGCCTTAAACATTTCCCAGACCTATATATTTTGAAATTATCCTTTTAATACTGAGTCCCCAGCATTCATAAAAAATGGTGTTCAAGGTGCACTATCTATACAAATTATTTTTGCATCTTGGAAGCCAGGCAGTATCTGTGTGATTTTATAAAAATTCGGAAATGTTCTTCAGATATGAGCCCCTCTAAATATTGGGTGCGGAGCAGCTCCATAAACGTAGCTCCGCACCCAATATTTAGAGGGGCTCATATCTGAAGAACATTTCCGAATTTTTATAAAATCACACAGATACTGCCTGGCTTCCAAGATGCAAAAATAATTTGGATGGGTAGTGTATCTTGAACACCATTTTTTATGAATGCTGGGGACGCAGTATTAAAAGGATAGTCTCAAAATATATAGGTCTGGGAAATGTTTAAGGCATACTGCGTCGCTATAAAATGAATTGCACTACTATTTTCACAATTTTATTGATATTTGGTGTCAAATACACATATCTTGGTATATTTGAAGTCCCAAAACGGCTTAGTTTCAGAAATATCCCAATTTTAAATTAAAAAATGACCGTTAGCTCCGCACCCTCCGCTCATTTGCGCCGCACCCAATATTTCCCACAGGCTCTGTCTGCATAGGGTGCACCTTATGGATGTTCAATTAGGTCATAGCAAATGAACTAGAACTGAGATCAAAGAATTAATATCAAAATCTATTCTACAGTATGAGTATGACTATTTCATGGTTTTCTACGTACATAAGTATTGCAACAAGTCTGGCACCCCCAAGTGTCCACTTTCCTTCCAGGAAGTTAGGTGTACCTATTAGGGGAAGGGAATCACAGGGGCATGATGCAAAACTACATTTTAGAGTAATCATTTACTTACCCTGTGGACCCACTACAGTCCTCACTTCCAAACTGGCTTGCGAAAGATGCCCTGCAAGGCTTTTAATGGGAACCCATGTTTCTTCCTTCTTAATTAAGCGTTGTTGAAAATATTGCACAGCCTCAGTTTCCATGGAAACATCAGGCAAACTCCGCCCACTTGAAAGAGAAGATGCGGGGCTCCCATCTCTGCCATTGCGGTCATCAGATGATGTGACACTTCCGTCAAACAGTGACACCATATTGCCTTTCACCGTGAAAAGCGATGGCCATTTTAAAAGAAACTTCTTCAGTCCAACCTGAAATCGAAAATTATGAAAGCATATGATAAACTATATGATAAAAACATATGATATAACATATGACAATTCGTATGATAAAACACATGATGAAACATATGACAATACATATGATAAAACACATGATGAAACATATGACAATACATATGATAAAACACATGATAAAACATATAACAATACGCATGATAAAACATATGATAAAACACATGATGAAACATATGACAATACATATGATAAAACACATGATAAAACATATCACAATACATACTGTATAATAAAACACATGATAAAACATATGACAATACATATGATAAAACATATGACAAAACATATGATAAAACACATGATAAAACATATGACAAAACATATGATAAAACATATGACAATAAATATGATAAAACTTGACATGATAAAACATATGACAATACATATGATAAAACTTGACATGATAAAACATATGACAATACATATGATAAAACACATGATAAAACATATGCCAATACATATGATAAAACACATGATAAAACATATGCCAATACATATGATAAAACTTGACATGAACATATGAAACTGAACATTCTGATTCGATCTGACTTATCCATTCCAGGCTGTAGAAACCAGAATGGAAAATGCAGAGTGGGAGATGTGGAGTCTGTAGAACTAATTTTATAATGCACCCCTTTTGGACCACCCTCCAAATGCAGGGTTTCAACTCAGTCTATGGGAAGAAGGAATGAACTTGTGCTAGCCATATCTGTTGAGAAAACAGTAAAATCTGGATATGTTAAAATAGCATTTGATGACATAGATATTACTCGGTATTGGACCCTGACCATTGATGTGGAGGGCATGATTGAATACTCCTCCATTTTAGTACTGGACTACAGCTTAGGGTTTGTAATTATTGATCACCATATTATATAGCATGATAAATATCTATCAAATATTCTTATACATCTGTATGTTAAAAAGTCTAATGTTAATAAGTGTATTAACAATTTGTAAGAGAGTAGTAAAATGTTTAGTATCTGATTTACTTATAAATGTGGTATTAAATCAATATCAAAATCAAATCTAATGCCTTTTATGGCTCTTCTATATTGTGAATAAATATACATGTACATGTATAGATTTAAAGGTAGATCCACACAATGAGGTTTTTAATTCAATTTTCATGATTATAATTGCCAAAATTAATGAAATGGTTAGAAACATTAACATTTTCATATAGATATTTACACAGTCATTATCATAAAGGCAGAATACATCAAAATCAAATTTAAATGCTGGCAACACATTTCCACAAAAATATATTTCATCTTTCTCTGTTAATGTGCAGAGCAACCTTAAATTGTATCAAGTTTAAGACCACAGCATATTACTACCAAGGTTGGGGAGCTCTTGTTATTCTTTCATTACTGAAACCGTAATAAATAGAAATTTCTCTCTCATTCAACAGTTTCATTTTGATAAATAACATACTGTACATGAAATTTTATTTCCACTCATATATGCATATGCTTATAGATTCATAATTACATGTATGTTATTCAGCAAAATGCAAATATATCACAGATGTCTCTCCAGATATGGTTAGTTCATCAATAAAAAAACACTCAATTTTAATTGAAATATAATTGAATTATATTCCTCATATCATAAGAATCCCCTAACAAAAATGCTAAATAAAAATACCCCCCTTATTGTAAATTTGACAATTTGCAAATCATAGGCTTAAATGCAGAAGAAAGTCATAACCTTGTTGTAAACTTGTACAAGGCATTTACATGCAAAATGCCACCACCACAACCTGCCATTTGTTACAGATGCTGAACACCATCCACAAAAAGTTGGAGACAATACAACATGTCAACACTTGTGGTGGTGACAATAGAAACCCTGTACTAACTACTATACCATATAGATTTCTGGTCCCACACTTTACGAATCACATATATCTTGTACTTTTCTACCACCGATTTCATCAAAGTGATTTCCACTCACCTCATTGCCACCAGCCGCCTGCCTCATTTCTGATGTAAAAGTGCGACTGCCGAAACGGCCTGCCAGTTGACTGATTGTCAAAGGTCCTGTACTATTCATCAGGACCTCAAGGAAGTATAGCATGGCCTTGTGGGAAGGATCCTCTGCCATTTTGTATGATGTCACTGTCTCACGATTTCTGCGAATGAAAGAAGCTGGCTTCGAAAGTCAGGTATAAACCTTAAATTAAAAAAAAATAATAATAATAAAAATTAACATATATGCATGATGTACGTATTATTTCTGTAAAGGTTTGTTTGAAGCATACATGTTAAATCTTGTGCTAAGGGCCGATGTAAAAGTCAGTTCACCCCCATATAAGTTTGAGAATTTCAGGAATTCAAAATTGAACACAAGATAGCATTTTAACTCAAAATTCTGAAAACCTTGTCATTAAGACTACCGACTAGCGTAATCCCCTCCAAACTATGAAGTCATTCTGATTCATGGTTCTTGTGATATTGATGCCTCAAAAATTGAGATAGATGGCTGAACGCCTGTTGATCAATCTAGAGATGCTGATGTAACAATATAGCACTTAGCTTTGGATTATTACATCAATGTTATTTGGTGGTTATCTACAGCTCATATATCCTACCAAGGGTTCTCATGTTGTTTACCCCAATATGCCCCTAACAGATAAACAACCCAAATCCTAGTCTAACTAAAATAACTAAAAGCCCCCAAAAATTGGCTACATTTCACCCAAAACTTATTTTTTGAGACAATATCTAAATGTTATGCACTGGCCTAGACTAATGAGACTTGGTTTGCACGAGAACGACCCTTATATTTTTCAAACCATTGATAATATGTAACAAATAACTATAGATAAACAAAGTCTAAACCTATATGCTATCTTCTTAGGTATTCCTTAAGAGTACACAAACTAGTCAGGCTAACCCTCAATCATTGAATTTCACTTTTACTTACAATTTGTGTTAAACGTAAACATGCCCATCTCTCTGGTAATTCATTAATTGGTAAAGCAAAAATATTCTTGATAATGAAACAAGTAGGCCAACAGGTGAAATGGCAAAAATAAATTGTATAAGTCTCTGAAGTAAATGAATTTGAGATAATTAATCAATTCAATATAGCACATTGTACCATGTAGATGAAAGAACCAGTTATTGCAGCAATGCATTAGACTGACATAAATAAACAAACATGCAGCAATCTTAAAATACAGTTGTCTGTGCCATGGCCTGTACTGTAGGTGCATGCATACCAGGTGTGTAATTCCATTCTGTAGTGATATCTATAGATGCTAGTTCAAACCACAGGCCTTTGAAAATGACATATGTTTCAGCATAAACCTGCTGATGCAGCTAAGAACAGTAAAGGTGGAAACATTGCCAACTTGCAGTTTATTTCTGATGTAACACGAATCGGGAGATAGTGAACTTATCTTATTGTGGCTACAGGTTAATTGGAGATGATACTGTAGAAAAGTTCATCTGATATTTTACTTTGTTGTATCACTCCATGCTCAATAATAATTGTTGCATTGGTAATTGGATATATCAACCTCGTTAAAAATCAGTAAAATTGTCTTATGACTTCAGGTATAGATCAGCATGAGGAGAATTCTTAAGTAATTTTCAAGATCATATTTGCCAATAATTGATGAGCTGGGTATTAGTTCACATTTTATTATGGATATTCACATGTTATAATATATGTTATTACACTGTTCCAAATCAATATAATTTGATTAAATGTTGATATGCAGGGGCAGATCCAGGAACCAACAGGGTTGGGGGGGGGGGCATATTTGAAGTCTTGAAAAAAAATTCCAAAAAGTGGGCCCAAATTTTGAAGATTCTAGGCCCATTTTCTTGATAATTTGGCCTAAAATTAAAAAATAAGGTCTTAAAAAGCCCATTTTGCCTAAACAGGCCCATTAATGAGCCTTCAAAAAACTATCTAAGATCCGCCAGTGATACGACTGTGGTAAAATGTTGCCAGATACTATTCCATTTCTCCCGACCCATGAGAATAGTGTTTGATTGGTTTAAGTGCTTTAACAGTAAGATTGTCATTCCATATGTGATGACTTCATCCTCTAATTGAATTTTCATAAAATATAGTGTAATATAGCCCCATTAAGAGCACAGTGGTCCATTTTCTAATTGTTATTCAGACGCCTAGACAATACAGACATGCCTGGCTCGGACTAAATACGTCTAAATACGTATGTCTATGACAGCACTAACAAAAATATTACAAATATGAACACCTCTCAATGTGAACAATCAAAAATGACTTTCATTGACTCATATTTTTAGAAAACCTGCTAATCAGAACACTTTTTGTCAGTCCGAGAAGCATTCAATTTTTTGACACCTTAAAGTTCAACTGTATTTGGTCCTGATAAACATGTAGAAGCATATTCACTGGTGATCCACTCGATTACGCTGGTTAACGAAACGAACTGTTTTGATAACAAAATGTCGGAACATCGAAGGTACGATTTTTCTTTTTTCCTTATTTCACGCATTGTGGGCTGGGCAGAATTCTCACAACATTTTAATCACAAATGTGCGTCAGTATCATATGTTTAAGAAAATGTACATGTTTGCAAACAAATAGTTCAGAGGACAACAGAATCATCAATTTAATACCTCACTTTTGTTACATAAACGGAATCGGTTAGAAATGCAGATCTTAACCATTTTTTGAAGTTCCATTTACGTAACTTAAGTGAGGCATTAAATCGACGATTCTGTGTTCTTCTGAACTATTTGCTCGCAGACATGTACATTTTCTTAGATATGATACTGACACATGTTTGTTACAAAAATGTCATGGGAATTTTGCCTACAACGCATGGAATAAGGAAAAAAGAAAATCACACCTTCGTGGTTCCGACATTTTGTTACCGAAACAGTTTGTTTTGGTAACCAGTGTAATCGAGTGGATCACCAGTAATATTAATAATTAATTGCAAAATCGCTATGTTTAGTAAAACTAATAAATGGTTCTCTTGCTTCATGATGACAAGATTTCTTGTGTTAGCTGCCAATCAATTACCAAAAAGGCAATGACAATTAAAGCATTTTTGAAGTGCTATAAAAAACATGGCATAACCATGTTTCAAATTTGATGCAATAAAAGATTTATACAATAATCTGAACATGTATTTGATTGTCTATATTATAGAACAATGAAGTGACATTTACTTACATTAATAGACAGTGTTTATTTTATACAATCTATTCCATTTCAATTGTCTATTGAACAATGGGAAAGTGACATTATATATTTAATAAACAGTGTGAGTATACAGTTGTATTCTAGCTCAATTTGCAAATTATTATAAATTGTATTCAATCAGCATTTTCTGTCTGATCACCTCTTCCAATAGGGTTGGCAATGATGGGAATCATTATAGTTACATGTATATTGCTGTGAAATTAGCCAAATCTATGGATACACAAGATACAATGATATATTAACTTGGGAACCCTACTCTGCGCAGACCTTCACATATTATACTTTTATGGTAAAATTTGGGCAATTCAAAATAGAAAAATAGACAAATGGGACAGTGATTTGTTTTGTCTCAGACCTGTAGCCAGCTTATGTGAAGGGGTTCAGGTTAGTGTTGTCGCGATGTGCCATAATCGTACATCGATGCATCGGCAATTTTCAGTAGTAAACATCGATGCACATCGCGATGTACATCGAGAAAAAGTCCGAGAAAAGTGCACTGAAATACCGAACGCTAATGCACTAAAATACCGAACATCCGGTACATCCGGGAACTTCTATAAAGGTGAAATGAAAGTAAAGTAATTTTTTTACGGATTAATGGTTCATTTCGAATAGCTAAAACAGTTTTAAAGCGAAAGAATATCAGAAAACATTGGAAAATGAAATAAGACATGAGAAAGGTAAGCGATTTGCATCAAAATAAGATAAGAAAGGGTGATTTTTAGCAAATTAATTTTTTTCAAAAACATCGATGTTTTGTTTCAGACATCGATGCATCGCCAGAATCAGCTTTGGCGATGTATATCGCGATGTATCGATTAATCGCGACAACACTAGTTCAGGTTTGAATGAATTTGACAATCTAGGCTCAAAAATCACTTTAGAAGTGCTCAAAATGGTGAAAAAGTGGATGATTTTGAAATAATTTTTGGCCAGAGACGTTCACTTTTTTAAACATAAAAAATTCTTACATAAGCTTGAATTTCCTGATTCAATGACAAGACCTACAGTCTTGAGAACATCCCTTTAGTTTGTCTGTCTGATTAGAGCATATGAGAATTTCCCACAGTTTACAAACTAAAATGACCAACGTCAATGAATTCCTAGTATTTAAGCATTGTGTTAATGCAGCCGAATTGGGTGGTTTTAGAAGAGAAATCCCCGTAATGACATCTGGATCTGGAGTTGAGAGCCGAGATATTAAATTAGATGGAGAAACTTGACGCTTGAAATAAGTTAAAAATTTTGATCAAAAATGAAAAGTCCTCGTTCTGCCGATCAACCCATACAATTGGGGATTCAAAAACATAAAAAGAATCTTAAAATGCTCAGGAATTTATTGAGGTAAGTCATTTACGTTTGTAAGGCGATGAAAATTCTCCCATGTTGTAATGAGACAGACAAACTACAGGGATGTTCTCAAGACTATAGTCTTGGCACGGGATAATATGTTTCCATAATATATTGGACATGTGGCCATTAGATATTGACCCTAACACTAATAATTATCAACAGATATCTTGGTAATCTAGCAATTTCCATCTAAATACACTCTTTCGGCCACTTATAGCTAAAATCCCTGGAATTCTCTAATACAATTTTTTAGATAATGTTTTCTCTTCAACGACTAAATATTTCTGAATAGGTGTGGTGACTGGTGGCTGATAAAGCATGATGGTTTGAATGAAAATTGTGCACAATAAGATATACTGAGATGTAGACATATGTATTCTGAAAGTTGATCCATTTAGGTTAGAACTTGCACAAATGATGAAATAGTACACATGGTTACTAAAATCATAATAGAGTGGCTAATTTCAGTTCAGCTGACGTGAACTGGGATGATAAATTTGTGAACTTTTCAGAAATTTTTTACACAGACAAAGCTTGATTTCTCTTATTCTATTGTGCGAAAAGTTACGAAATCTGGCGACTGTGAAGTTAAATTGATACCCCAAACATTAATTGATAAAATAATGGCATACCTGCGAAAGATCAGCTCTGAAAGCTATGGAATTTGAAGCATTCACTTCAATGTGTCACTCATCTTCCAGCAAGAATGTCTAAATTTAGAGCAGCGTAATCCAGCAGAGCTTTCAAACCGGAAATGGCAGGAAAATTCGAAAATTCTGAATTTGTATACTCTTCCCTATTTTACGGTGTGTTGGCATCTCTAGGGACAGCATTATTTGTAAAATACTTTCTTAAGTATTCAGGATTATACAGGGCGAGTAAGGAACCCAAAGCGCTCTGCATATTCTCCAGATACCCACAACCAGGAAAGGCAAAAACTCGAATGATCCCTCTTCTTGGGAAAGATGGCGCTGCTAAACTACAAATCATAATGGTATCTGGCACCTTTGGTATCTTGCACCTTTCATTTCCAATGTTTTCAAATTCATCATTTTTGATCTAATATTGATTATTATTGTTACCTGAGATTGTCCAATCCGTACCAATATTTTCTGTATTGCGACAGAGATGATCAATGCAATGGGGACAGTAGCAATACAGATTGGTACAGCACAAGAACTGACCAATCAGAGGGCTTCATTTTACAGATCATTCAGTAAGATGTAGTACCACATCAACTATGACATCAGGGAGACATCAGTTACATATTACCCCATCAGCAACTTAATAAACAAATTATCTAAAGGTCACATATCACTATTCTATATTAATCTATGACATCATTGACATGTTACCTAACCAACAACAAAACAGCATTATGCACAAGACACATTTAGTATTTTAGAACACAGGTCAAGCTGTACCCACGAGTAGAACGTTCATTCATGTAGAGCGATTCGGGACAAGCCTATATCACACTTTCCTTACTGCATTGTTTAAAAGATATTTGTTAAGATAATAAAATATATTGGAATTGAAGTGAGCAATGTCAAAAGTGAGATTTGCAACTTGTTTCATCTGCGATTATGATCAATGGGCCTGCTATTTAAAAACATCTAAATTGTTGAACTTTATCTCACTTTGGAAGAAGGCAACAATAAAGTGTCATGTAAAGTGTCATGTCAATGTCATTCCACTTAAACATACTTTAATTGTAGTGAGTGACCCAATGACATCATCCCATAGGATGGGGCATTCAATTTCTAATCTAAATTTTCATCACTTGTAGACTGAACGAATGGTAGAACAGTGCAGTGACCTGAAGCAATGTGCAAGTCAAATGTGGTACAATGGGGGTAGCAGGGCTCAAATGCAGTACTGGTTAAGCAAGACAGGTGGCGACCTTAACTACATAGAGCAGATTGGAAACACTTTGGGTGATAAGATGGCGAATGCATTCAGGCATAACTTCAAGAGAGGGAAATCAAAGGTTGTTATAATAGGTACATGGTTGTATTTGTTATGTAGAAAATGTTTGTTACACATCCCCATAAACAGCCTTTGAAAGAATGTAATTGTAAACTGCTTTAATATACTTAGATGTGAGTAGAAATCTTGATTTACTTCATTCAATATTCAAAATTTAGTTTAACTTAGTAAAACTTAATAAAAAAAAAAACTTTAATAAAAGCATATCATATTTGAAGTCTACATGTAAAATTGCATCGTGAAATGTGGTTTAAAAAGTATTTTCCAACTTTGTAATCAGTGGTAAAATATGATATTTTTTACTAATTTTCACTTGACCATAGTATACGTTGTTTTAGCCATGACATACGGCGCCGTATGCAATGAATTATGGGTTTTTGCTACTTCAAACTCAAAATGAGGCTAAGTGTCATCATCGCCGGATCGTTTGGAAAATTCGAATTAAATCACTTAATTTCCGACGATTCTGATGATGACTTTAACTATGGAATAAAAAGAACATCCTATGAATTACTTGTGATATGATTTTAATCCACTCATGGATATCGATATCTGCACTCTCTTGCTACACTCGCTCGTGCAGATATCGTATCCATTCGTGGACAAAAATCATATCACTCATAAGTCATAGGATATCCTCTATTTACTGGACATACTTTAATTTGTATATAGCTATAAGACAAATAAAGGTATAGATGATATGAAAATTGATCTACTAAAACTGATAATATTCAAGATTAAGGAAATTTTATATACCTGCCATGTTAATTAGCCCGAATCAGCCACCTGGTGATGGAAGTTGTCAATTCTGCATCAGGCTTGATCAAATATGCGTTAAAATGGTAAATAATATAAGCCTGCCATTGTGGACTTCGGGCCATGTTTCCAGGAAAATACTTCATGTTTTTAAAATCCTGTATTGCCAATTAAGAGGGGGGGGGGGGGGGTGTTAATGAACTCCCCCAAGTGTTACAAAACAACTAATAAATCAATGACCTAGAATTGAACATTTTTGGGTCGTATTTTGAGAAAATGGGCCTGAAATTTTGAAAAATGTGACCAAAAAGTAAGTTTAAGTTTTTTAAATTTTCACAGAAGGGGTATTTTTCTCCATACAACGACAGGATTTCCCTAGGGATAAGGAAAAAGAACCCCCTCCCTCAAAAATGTGCCTATTTTTATTTACATTTTTGAGATAATTATACAGTAGCCTATAGGCTTTTCAACCAGAGAAAAATATATCAATTTATGATGAATTATTAACTTCTTTCATTGTGCTAAAAATAGAATAATACAAAAAGGTCACACTGACATGTCTTTAACTTTCTATTAGAGTTCAGAAATTGATTGACAGTTCTATTTTTGCACTTTCCATATTTGGGAGTGAAATTGATGTCCTGTGTTAAAACTCCAAGGTCAGGCTGATCTGGTCAGTCTCTAAGACAATTTAGAAACAGTTTTTTAGTCAAAATTGATCAACTTTTTCTTTATATTTCTAAGTTGAGATACAGTTCTTGAAAAATTTACCTTTCAAATCATTATAAGCTATCTCATACCATTTAATCTGAGATGTTAAAATCATAATTATTTTTATCCAAAGGGAGGTTTTTACTGTATTTTATAGGACTATTTGGTCAAAGATTTCAAATTCTGTCACATGTTTCTAAACATTGTCAGTTTGATTGTTCACTTCCAAAAGTTCAATGTAATTTTAATTGATTTTTAGAAATATTTGACTTGTAACCATGGCAACAAATTAGTTGACTTTAGGAGATGTAACATTTGTGTAATAATAACATTACATTAATTCAAGGAGCGGGGAATTATAAGTGAAGAAATAATAAGCTTTATTGACTTGAAATTTAAATGATGAATGACTATAGGGATTGGTAAGACTGTTTAGATTTTGGGCAATATCTGTTACCATGACAACAGGTTATGAGACTTAAACAGTTCCAACATTTGTTTTAGAGTGATAATTGAGGAGTCAGGTTGACTTGAGGTTTAAACAGGGATCACCTTTAAGGACAAGTGAAATAGCTTTTCTCACCTTGCAGCTACAAAAATGCGGTTTTCTCCATCGTAAGCCCAACGTAAAGTTCTTGCGATAGCCATTATAAAATAAATGTTAGATAACAGCTATCGCTCATAGATAACAAAATAAAACTAACTGATCAATCAAATTGGCCCCCACGTGATTTGTAACGTCATATACAAAATATATATTAAGCAGCTATAATGATTGTTAGAGTGAAATAATTTTCACACTACTGATGAGAAAACATCTCCAAATACATTTATCAAAATATTATATTGATTCCTTTAGGTTAAAAATACCATTTCATATCTGCTTTAAAGTATGCCCCCCCCCCCGGGCAGGCATAAACCAATGTCTCCATAGTATGTGTCATATATCATTTTAAAGCTTATCCAGAGATACATTGATTTACAAAGTATCATGATTCAATCACCTATGGGAAAATGTTTTCGGCATTTCAAAATTTAGTGTTTGGTCAAACTGAAGTTCAGTTTTATATTAAATAGTCAGTGTGTCCTCCCTCGACCATGTCAACAGGTACATTTCTTTTCAGTTATTGAAAACGCTTCAAATAGGGGTGTGGCATTTTGTAAAGCCATTCAAGTCATTTTTAGAAGACTTTCCATGGAGTATCTGCCCTTATCGTCTCCTTTTCTAACTCAATATCCATCTTATCCTTAACGATAGCACCCATATCGCTGGTCCCATTCAGGTCAGGGCTGTTTTGAAGATACTAAAATGAACTTTAAATTTGGTCAAACACTAAACTTTGAAATACCTGTAACCTTTTCCCATTAGCGAGTTGAACCATGATACTTGGCGAATCAATGCAATTTTGGATAAGCTTCAAAATGAAAAAAGACACATCCTATGGAGACATGGGTATATGTCTGCCTAAGGGGGGGTCCCACACTTCCGGGATACCCTGTAAATAGACATCTACAAGTTTTGGGTTTCTATAATCAAATTGAATTAAATAACTCATGCTTTCATAATTCTTCACTTTCAAATAATGAGTAAAATCAGGTGGTAAAATTACTGTCAGGTTTTGTCCTGCTTTTTATTTCATTGAATATATTTTTTGGCAAAATTCCACTATATAACTGTTAATCTACTATTAATATTAATTGACATTCATTTCCAGGAAGTGACATCCCGGATATAAGTGATGCAATAATAGAGGAAGCCTTCTCCACACTAGATGTAGATGGACATCATATGGTGATAGGTCAGGCCAGAGATGGCGGTTACTACCTGGTAGGATTACATGTGTCGGCACTGCCATTATTGGGTGAGTAGAAGTACAGATATTAGGTTGATGGAATAATAATATATACCTTCATTACACTTGATGAATTAAAGATATCTATAAGATAAGATATATTTCCTTGGTACTACACCCAGATTTGCACTCACTTGAAAATGAAAAATTCATGAGATTTGCATATTTTGAATGACTTATGTCCGATTTTTGAAAATGAGAATTTTGCACCCACTCCCACTTGAAAGAATTATTTTATGGCGAGAACTTTTTAGAATCTGATGATATCAATGTAAAACATTACATATAATATACACTAGCTGTGTTATGAAGTATTTATTTATTTGAATATATCATGCACATAAGTGTCACAATAAACAATGTCATAAGTAGCAGAAACAATCTCATGAAATAAACATAGTCTGTGGCCTGTGCCCTGTGCCCTAATAAAGGCTCTAGAAGCTAAGTAGAAAAAGCATAAAAATTGAACTACTTTATCTGTTACAGTTAGCTTGATACAACCCAAAGCTTTTTTTTAAATAGCAAATTTTATTGTGGCAGCTGTTGCTATGGTAATGAAGCTGGTTGTTGCTAGGTTACCAGACGATACAGTTGTTGCAGGGGGTACAGGTGTTGTTGTCTGAAATGAAAAAAAACATAAACATAAGTTTAGGAAGAATGTTCATTTATGAATTAAGAAATGTTACAGTTCTGTCTTAATTTTAAAAAATTAGGCACCTTGCCTCATTTATGCATAAATAACCGTTTCAAAAGATATACATGTATATCAGTTTCCTTGATAACAATAGAAGTCACGCTTTCCTAGTTACACATTCAGTGATACTAGACTCAGAATTCAGGGACTACGTTCCCTTCATTCAATTCCTTCTAAAGAAAGAAGGAATCTGATAGATGAAGTCTGGATTCCTGCGCCCACTTCGAAGATGGAGAAAAGTTATCATCATTCAATTAGACTCAAATTAGCATGTTTATAGACTTTTTATCAATTCATGATTCCAATGTATCTCTTTCAACTAAATATGAACATGTACGTACTTACAACATATTCTTTAACATAATTATCAAGAAGTGCTTTCCAACCTTCTACATCACTGGGAGTCCCACCAGTTAGTAGGACACTATTCACAGAGAACCAAGGTGTGCCTGCTATGCCAACTAAAATCACAAAGAGAAAACCTCAGTAGCATATCTTAGAATTGATATTACCATATGTAAAATCCAAAAAGAAATATATTCCAAATATTTCAAACAACTCCTCAATCTTAAAATCTAAACATTTGATAAGATTTTAGATTCATTATTTTATCAAAATGAGCTACAAGGGGCAGTCAGTGTTTATCCATTAACAATTTCATGAGTAACTATTACCATGATAATCTTTAAAAAAATGAAATCAGATATGTTTAAATGTGGAATTATGACCAATTGTATGAAGTCTAATTCTAACTTTGTATTTATTTGTTCAATTTTAATTGATCATGACTGTGAACATACGCCTTGCATAGTATTTCCATTGCCGAACTAATGACCAGCGGTATCTATCTATGTTGGCCTTAAAGTCTGCTATAGGCATGGAAGTAGCCTGGTTGGCAATGGTTGAAAGCAATCTGAAATATTTAATCTAATATTAATTTCAAAAGATGTTTTCTGAAAATAAACAATACTTTACAGTGATCTCCCCAGGATTTTTTTTCAGTGCAAAATTCACATTTTCACAATTCAGACCAAAATTGGTCAAAATATGCCAATTTTTCATGATTTTTCTCATTTTCAAGTGGGTGCAAATGGATTTACAGGTGGGTGCAAGCCTGTTTTCAAATTCTCAGGTGGGTACTGCTGCACCTACTTGCTTTAATGCTTGGGAGATCACTGCTTTATGTATTTCTGTGGCACAACGGGATGTTGAAAACTGCAGTTACATTGCTTACGTCAAAATTACCTTTGAACTTTGGATTGATTTTGGTTATATTTGAATTTATGTGTAACAGTGATGCTTGCTTAAAGCATTATTTTTATTTTCTACCGTCATCATAAAACAAAGAGATTTTACTGTATTGATTCTGTATGGAATTGAGTAGCATAAAACATATGTTATTTCTTTGTATTACATATCAAGTGAAGAAGATAGGTAATAATCCTGTATAGTAGAGCCACCAAACTTTTTTCCAAAGTTAAGGGGAATCCTGGGGAGTATATTCTGACACTGCATAATCAACAAGCAAGCTCAGGCTATATTGACGACAGACCTCAGGCTTTTTATTCAATGGTATAAGAAAATTGTGAATGCAGTATATTAACTTACTCTATGACATCATTCCTGGACATGTGGGATGATCTCCCAGTAGAGAAATTAGAGGCAGCAGCATATACAGCGTCCATATATGGTATAACGCTCTCTGGCTTTTTATCTTGCATCAGCAACACACCCTATAGAGAAGAAAATAAATGTAAAACTTTCAGTGAAAAAGGGATGTAGCAATTCCAACTCTTGGTTTAACGGACCAAGGCCAGATTCCTCCGATTGGTCTCAAGGCTCAATAAATGCATTATTTTATTGAATCTACCACCAATGGGGACTAGACCTGGCTCGGGACTAGACCTGGCTTGGGATCTGTGGTTGGTTTCATTTGTGGTTGGTTTATTCACGTATCTGTGTTCTAAATGTTGTCATTTTTTGTGTAAATTCCTTAGGTTCAAGGATTGGGATGTTCATTTACTATACAATGTGGTTTTTGCAAATAATAGTATGAATATGGTAGATTATGAATAGAGGAACAAACTTGTACAATTGAATTTACCTGAGACACCAAGAAGCCATTTCTGTGGTAAGGTAGAGGGTTTTGATGCACCACCAGTCTGAGCCTATCCTCACCATAGTGGTCTGCTACTTGCTTCAGGATAGGCCATTGTGCCTTAGAGTAAGGGCATAGCAGCTCCCCATACATCTCCACTGTTACACTGGCATGGGGCTGGCCATCATTGTAGATATGACCAGAGAGGGAGGGTAGAATAGGTGTCACCTTAAATATAGAATTAAAGATTATTTCCAGATGGAACATCTTGACAGCCTGTGGATTGGACTTATAAATAATTAAAATAAGAAATATCTTTAGCATCCCTAAAATATTTTTATATGGCCTCTGACCAAAATTGCAAAATGGAATTATGAATTGTGAAAAAAAGTTTGGCAAAAGCTGGAAGTTACAGGTGCATGTATTGTTATTACCCTTAGATTATAATTCTACTTCTAAACTCTTGATAAGATCCTTTGTTTTGTGCTTTAACCAATCAGAATAGGTCAATGATAATCAAGCTTTTTTCAGACACAAAGCTTTTGTAGCTGCCATCATTGTAAAACTGCTATAAATAGGCCACAGCAGCTACTTTTTGTAATAACTACAATGTATTTATTTGTCTTTCACAGAGGGTAGTAGTAAAACTAGCATATTGGCCTCAGAGTAGCAATATTCTCACCTGAGTTGGTAAGTAAGGTACTGGTGTAGACTGGATGGCATCAAATGAGAAAGATTCTGCAGAAAAATCCTAAAATAGAATGATATGATCTGATCATATTTTCTTTCTTTCGAGTTATGCTTTATTTAAATGTCACATATTCCAGCTTAGAATCAAGAGTAAACAATGGCTTGTAGTTGGTTTGTAATTATTATACACCCAAATTCAAAAAAATGTCCCAATTGATGTCGCCGTATGTTATCTCGGAAAATATTAGTGGTGTATCTTTAATTTCTGCATATATTTCATCAATAACCTCAAGGCCATATGTGAACATTCATTTTTGAATGAGAATTTCATAAATGTATTTTTACCAGGGCTCTAAAGTGTCAAAATGAATCATTCGTTACTGTCGCCATTTTGAATTTTGATTTTCAAGTCATGTTTACAGGTATTTATTATCACATTTTATATTCGCAGCCGCATGATTCTAAAAGAAAGTGATAAACAAAGCCAATCTTGAACGATATATTATTTTGTACAGCCTTTCAAAGGGCTGTCGCCAGTTTCAGAAAATTCAGAAAAATCATTGTTACTTGGTTCGTTCATTCCAATTATATGAGTCTGGAACTGAGATAAGAAATGAAAGAAAATGTAATTTTGAAAGATTGTTTATGTTTTCAATAGAGAACATGCGTCAAGTCCGAGGTGTGTCTGCATTTTTTCACATTTGCTTGTAGAAACAAGCCAGTGCCTTGAGTTCGTTTTAAGAAAAAAATGTTCGTTACCATCAGAAAAACGTGTTAGATCACATGACATAAGCTTTTACTCTTTCCATAAAATGATATCAAACAAACAATAGAAAAAAACTACTTGGAGTTTGTGTAGCCCTCTTGCAATGCGCAAAAAGTCCAATTAACCACACGTTCGAAATCATTGTTACTGTATTATGCGTAACCATGAATACAAAGACTATAACTTTTTGCTAAAATGCGGCATTATTATTGGTTTTAGATTTATGACGTAAGTGTGTTAGAGTCTGCCGCTGCTTAAAAATTGGATGTTGCACTTCTGTCGCATGTAAATTCACACAGATAAGAAAATATCCATCACAGACGAGATCTGAAGAAATTTACTTATTTTGCCGATCGTACTGAATATCCATACACAAAACTAAGTTCAACTTGTGATAAAGTAGTTTAATATTGCATAAAGCTAGCTTGTTTGTATTTTTGATAGCTTGGGAATTCGGTAACACTTGTTATAAATGGTGAATTCATTGTTATGTACGTAACGATGAATTCATTTATCTGTGTTAGGATTATAAACATATGTGGCATTGGTATTTTTGTTCACAATTGATTTCCATCAATACTAGAGGATCTGGTCGTCATTAGTTAACATTGGAAAAGGTCAAAATTCGCATATTTACGTTTAAATCGTATTAATTCATGACTAAAACATCAAATTAGTTATGTAATGGATAATTATGATATACTAGGCCCGGGGATATAACGAGTATGCTTTATTCATAGAATATTATAAATGTTAAAAACATTTTTATATAATGCCAAAGAAATGCTGAAACCAAAATGTATACGTTTTCAACCATACAAATCATTTGAATAGTAAATTTTTGCAGATGAAAAAGACATGAGCAGAAGACAAAATGTACAGTAGCTTTTGAAAGCAAAATACAATGAAAAGAGAGAGAGAACGAAAGGATTTGATCTAGACCTTATCGAATGAGTTATCTCAATCTGATAGACTGTAAAGAAATGCCATACAGCTCATGAACTCAATCTGACCATTGTTCAATGAAAGCTTTCAAATTAGCAGAGTAGCAGACCCATCAATGGCTGCACTGCCCTCCGTTGAGTCGAAACACATGTTCCCCCTACAAATGTAAAATGGGGTAAAGTAGACAATAGCTAGGCAAGTGACTGACTCTTTTAGTGATATTATATATTTTATTGTGTTGATCATGTAGATATGATCAAGGCAATCTCAGTTGATGTTGAATTATTTTGTGTGGCACTTTAAGCATCATTACATCATTGTAACGAAACTTTCTTCCAAGGTGATTTTTTGTTCAGCGAATGTAAGTATTACTTTTTGCTTGTATATGTTCGGGTGTTACTGAAACATATTTTTATTATTGTGTAAACAACAACCACCGACTAAAACGTTCTGAAAAGTATGATCATTCTTATAAATATACACTATAATCCAAGTTTTACTAAATGTATACATGAATTCGATTTTGTGACAAAAAGTATTTAATATATAGTTTGATATTGTACATTTGTATTCCTCCTAAGGGGTAGCAATCGTGTAACAAACATGTTACGGATTCACCTAATGTTTTTTTTCATTGCAATGTGAATAATCACTGGAAATGACTACCCAAAGTTGGTTAATACACTGCATTTGTTATCATTATTTTTCTAATTTAAACAAAAAAAACATACAGAAATCCTCGTTACTTTATGATGCTTAAGTTGAGATATATTTTTTTCAGAAATGTCTTCAGTAACTGCAGGAAAAACACAGCCCATCAGGTTTTCCTTAGTTGAATCTTTCCTTTTGACTCAAAAGTAATATATTTTACTTCGTTTGTAATCCAATATGGAAGTTGCTTTATATAACACATTTCTGATCAATGAAAAGTTTTACTATTTAAAAACGAATGGTTAATTTTAAGACCATGTAATTTTGCTTTGCTGTACATATTCTGAAGTTTTGTTTGATATTCAGAATATAGACACATATTACAAAAATATAAAGTATTTCATATACAAATTAATTGATTTGATCTAAAGTTTACGCAATAAACTAAATATATATATGTAGTAACGGAGGTTTTTTATGCCTTATTCCAATAAATTTTGGTCGACATATAATATGCCATATCTTGAAAACGAGGAGGAGATTGTTGAAAATATTTCACAGTATTATCTATCAATATATGTTCTTTTGTCTCAACAAAAAATAATCAGTGCTACTCTGACTTCAAAAATCAGATTTTTCAAACCTGAAATGGGACATTCTTTTGAATTTGGGTGTATAGATGAATAAAACAGGAAGACAACATTATTTTGCAAAATATTAATATATTGGATCTCTATCCTGTAACTTATCCATGCCTCTGACCCCTGGTATCATTGAGTTACGAGAACTCGAAAGAAATGATATATTATCTGTTGGAATATCCTGCTATTTTTTATTCAAGAATATGGACAGGTGTCATTTGTGTGAAATACAATAGTACAATAACGTCATTTCTAAGGGCAATATAGTGAAATATTGGACCGAGGGCCGAAGGCCCAAGGTCCAATATTTCACTATATTGTTCGCAGAAATGACGTTATTAGTATTATTACCACCGTTAATGACCAGGGCTGAAACAGCAAGAAAATCTTACGCACTGAACGATATCTAATTTCCCGGGGAAGATTTGCCGGTCCAGAATATATTCTAGACCGGTCCATATGGACCACCACTATGACGTCACACATTTCTCAGGTCGATATAGTAAAATGAATGCCTTCTAAACTAGCACTAAAACCCCTAGAACTGGCCCGGCAAGGTGGTAATAATGTTACTTAGGAGAGAAATGATGTTATTTAGGAGGACATTTGTTTCTTGTAGAAGAATATGTTGTCATTAAAGTGAGGGAATTGATATGTAAGTTATTAAAGGGTAACGCATATGGTTTAGCAAATCTTCAAGATGATTTCAATAAACTGAAAACAAAATTCCCCTAATTTCTTTAAAATAGACTGATCCAGTACACACGCCTTGAGGTGCCATTTTGTTTTTATATGGGAAGCTTATCGTAACCCTTTAAGTGAATGAAGTAAATTATGAGTCTGACTGTAAATTGCACTTTTTACTCCCTCCAAGTACATACTTAAGAGTATACTTACGGATGTTGAAATTAGATTGTTGATGATTTGCACCCACTGTTCATATGTGATAGGTTGGTTTGGGTCCCTGGTCAGGTCAAGGCCATTGATATAGAACCATGGTGTTCCAGCAGCACCCTCTTTTAGTGAAATTAATAAATATGGAACATTTTGAAGAGTATGACAGACGTCTCACTAGAATTTCTCACAAAAATTTCTTGCAAAATTAATGGAAATCAATAATTTTAACATGGAAAAGTTGAAAGTCTTTCAAAACAACAGGCGATTTTGTGAAAACAGCCCGTGAAAATCGCCTGTTGCCTGCTGCTATTGAAATCCTGATATTTTATCTAGAATGTAGACGTTTTTTTAACATATTTGAATCATTTGTGCCTAATCGACATTTATAATATTTAAATATTATTCATCCTGATTGACTAAAAGTATTGCAGTTGATTAAGGATCAAAATGTCAATGTTCTTTAAGGAAATTAGTTAAAGAAGCAAAGAGGTGTTAAAGTTACCCCCCTCCCACCCTAAATTACTTTCCCATAAAAATGACACTTTGATGTAATCAACCGCCAAATAACCTCAGATTGTATTTATTTCAACTCACGTCTGATGCCATATTTCCATGCTTGTCTGGCTGTATCCCAGTACTTCCCTATATCTCGAGTGAAGTTGCTTCTAGGGATACCAGTGCTGTTTTCAGCCAACTCACCCAGGAAGCTTAAATTAGATAGAATCAGTGATGGATTTCAGAGTGTGTCATAAGGATTTTGTATCCCTCTGGCCAAAAATTCTTTCAAAATCATGCAGTTTTTCACCATTTTGAGCACTTCTCACGTTATTTTAGCCATATTTGGGCCAAAATTGTCGAATGTGAACCCCCCTTGGAAATTTTTGAAAAACTGAACCCCCTTGGCAAATCCTGGCCACGGGCCTGCGATCCCTAACATTTCAAAACAAGGAGTCATTGAAGTATTCAGATATATGGAAAACCCTACATTTATTTCCATTGAATATGTTTTATATCTCCATGTAATTTAAACGCATTCAACTTATCTAGAAAAAGCTAATTATTTGAACACCCTAGAAAAAGAAAGCTGTTAAATTCAAGTTTATTTTTTGCAAATCATTGTGACATATCACATTTTGTGCATTTTGGTGTGCTCTAAATGATTTATTAGGCATTTCTGTATAACCTTTGCTGTCTAGCTAATTAAATACAGGGTGAGCAAAAAGATTCTGAATACTAGTAACCTCTTTAATATTGATATTTTGTTTTCATTTTTCTTGTGAATATAGCTGATCCAATGGAAAATATCGTAGAAATCTGATATTGGTCAATATGCCATAGACATTGGAAGAAAAAATTTGCGGTAGAGACCTATTTTAGGACCAAATTTATAGTATTGGTGCTACAATAGTTCTGGATGTATGAGGAGATGAAGTGTTTTAATTTTTGGCTACTCTTTATTTAGCCTGATGATAAGACACTTAGTTGCCACTCTGTTGAAAATCTGTTTGAAACATTGTGCTATTTTGACCAAAACTATTGAAATATGAGAATGGATTTTCCAATAACAGAAATTCCTCCTCTCTACCTGTGTTAAACATGTGAGAAACATTCAATAATGTGTACATGTACACTATGTTTCTTTTGTTAAACCTACTTAAGGATATCATCTCTTGTAAAGTTAGCCCCGAATCCTGTACTGAAGTAACGAAGATGACTGAATACCTCATCCATATAAGCAGTTACTTTCTCTGGTTTCTCTGCCTGTACCAAGTACGCCCCCTACAAACAGCAAATATGAATAGACATTGGAGGCAATACATGTTCAAATCAATCAGTGTCTCAAATTCAGCTTTATGGATAGATTACTTGTCTCTTTCTTGCTTAGTTGGGTCATGTAAATCCCCTCCTTGCATTATCCCTACCTTTTTTTCTTGAAATTATGCTAAAAGGATTTTTTGGTCAAAATGAGCCAAATTAGATTAAGTAAATATTCATGAAAATTTGGTCAATGTAAAGCTCTTGCAAATTTAGCAAGTTTGGCCAAATTAGCAATTTTTGGTTCTTGGAAATTGACAACTCCCTTGAGTGGCTAACACCACCCCACATAGTGTGTTTCATTTTCAGCCAAACTGTTTCAACTTTGGCAGATCCATTTTAAATTTTCAGCTATTATTCTGTGTTTGAAAATTTTGGGATTTTCGTCCCAAAATTTTTAGTTTTGGGCATTCAGGATAAAAAAAATATATAGGATCACCCATTGATGAGGTCATGTAACAATGTGTATGTCCTTGTTTGGGCAGAAAATATCTTTTCTGATAGAGTTGGCATTCAGAAAAGGTATTTTGGACTTTTGGATTAAAAAATAACTGATGTGCAAAAATGAGCTAACTAGCTAAACATTCACTGGAAGTACTGAAATGATGAAACTATTTAAAAAGAGCATATTTTGCATTTTTAAATGTACTCACCTGGCCTACAAGGAATCCATTTCTATGGTAGGGCAAAGCAAAATGATTGTATCGCAACCTTACAATATTATCCCCAAACGCTTTAGTGACATTCATTAAGGTATACCAGGCCAGAAGTGAATCTCCACAGTTCAACTCTATGAACATTTCAATTTGGACCGGTGCATTTATGGAGCCATTGCCGTATGTAATCCCTGGGGTAACTTTTGGTATGTTTACTAGTTGTCCTATTATTGTGCCACACCCAGCCAGCACCATAAGGGTTATAAGTGTTAGTGTCATCATTTTTGTTTTTTGGTTGTTATGGTTGAAAAAAGTCGTTTCTGTTACTTTTCTGTTTTTCCTGATTTTGTATTTTTATCGTTTTAATTGTCAATATGTTAATATTGCATTACCTATTCCTTTTTCTGTTTAAAAATGTTTTTATGAATTTGTACCTCAAATGTTAAATTTACCCCTTTTATCAATTCAAGCCTTTGCCAAAATATGTCATTGTATGCTAATATTTTCTTTGAAGCTAATCTGAATTTTAAAAAAATCTGTTTGATCACCCTTTAGATGTGTCAAAGTTTAATTACTTTGCATGTATTTTAAGCATGTGCTTTGTGTGTATGTGATTGAAGGAATATCCGAGGAATATAATATCACGTGTCATGAATTATTCATCCGTGAAAATAAAAAAAAGGAATGATGAAAATACCAAAAACACCTCTTTGTTATTATTATTATGTACTGCGAGGCTTAAGACATTATTAAAAAGTCAGATTTAGACATTTTTGGTGACAAAAGACATATTTTATGCATTGGTACTCATGTGAAAGGGTTAATATGAATCATTCTCTACATTGCTTACAAATCAATAGAATGTCCATAATTTTCAAGTGTCCCAAGTCAATCAAAGCAGTAAGAAAGGGACCATTTCAATAATATTTCAAATTCAATTTTCTCAAGTTCATATTTAAAGGTCACAACACACACAAGATGCATTGATGAAGGAGAATTTCATAATAAGATGGATGACAAGTTGATCATGGAAGAGTTTCTTTGGGAAAAAGTACATTCATATCAACAATAACTGTTCGATGTATTATATAATAATATGGTGGCATTTTTTATGTCAGTGCCTTGTTTTTATACTTAGCTCCTTTATAAATTGTTCGTATATTTTTATGACATTTAACTCAGCATAAACAATGATTGATAACGTCATTCTTAAAACAGAGCACTTTACTTGACCAAGCCATATAAGTAAGCAAATAACATACATGTATTGTTAGGTTTCTTATAAAAAAAAACGTACACACCATGAGTATTTTTGGCCCCTGCACATTAAGGTGCAACCATTAGTGCAGGGGGGTCATTTAACAATCATCGACCAGTATCAAAACATATTTAAGTTTGGATATTTCATCAAGACTAACATATATTTTCATTATCTACAAAGAAACCCCCTGAATGAATATTAATTCATGCTGATATTCCTCTTGAAACATGGTGGATCTTAAAAATCTGAGTGGGACTCGCTTTATAGAAGCTTTGAACTGAATTAACAATTCTTAATGCTGAAATTGATAGTTTATACATACATTTTCAGAAAATAGCCAAATATTGACCTGATAGTTCAGAAAAAATAAAATTTTCGAATTTTTCTCTATAGTCCTTCCATGTTGAAATGGACCATGGCCATACCATGGTATACCATGGTATGACCATGGTATACCATGGTATATTGCAATGAAGTGCAATGAAATACCATGGTAATACCATGGCCGATCATGATCGTTAAATGGCACCATTGTATTTCATGGTTTACAGCGCGTTTTTAACATGGAAATTTCCATTGAAAAAATACTGCCGTTTCGCAGTATTTCATGGTCAGAAACCATCAAATGCAATGGTATCATGGTCAAGTTCTCGACCATGATATCATTGCATTTGATGGTTTCTTGACCATGATATCATTGCATTTGATGGTTTGTGACCATGAAATACTGCGAAACGGCAGTATTTTTTCAATGGGAAACTACATGTCAAAAAAGTGCTCCTGACCATGAAATGCAATGGTGCCATTTAACGATCATGATATACCATGGTATACCATGGTCAATATCCTAGATGCGAGTAGAAATAATCTTGATTTACGTCATTAGAAATTCAAAATTCAGTCAAACTGATGTCATATTTGGAATCTATATGTAAAATTACATCTAGAAATATGGTTTTGAAAAGAGTTTATCAACTTTGAAAATTTAATTTTCTTTGAAAATGTGACTTCTAGGTCGGGGAGATTCCCCATAGCCCCCATGTTGTAAAATCACAAAAATGGAAATATCTTTTCTTGTGTTGGGCAGATAATATTTTCTTTTACTGGACAGATTTCAATTTGTGTAACTATCAAATACATAAGGGTAATATGAAAAGTGAACCACTAAAACTGATGAATATTCAAGTTTAAGGGAATTTTGTAATACCCTGCCATGTTATTTCCCCCGAATCAGCCACCTGGTGGCGAAACTGGTAACTACCTACTCGCATCTGAGTAATTAACATGTAATTTTGTATCTAAAAAATACCACCGTTTCACAGTATTTCATGGACAAATACCATCAAATGCAGTGATATCATGGTCTAGATATTCAACCATGATATGCAATGGAGCCATATAATTATCATGATCTACCATGGTATACCATGGTCACTGTACTTAAAATTTTGCAATTAAAAATACTGCTATTTTGCAGTATTTCATGGTCACAAACCATCAAATGCAATGAAGTACAGTCAAGATGTTTAATCAAAGACTGGAGGTTGGATTTACAAGATATCAAGTTGTTCTCCTATTTTAGTGACAACAGTCAAATAAAAGTAAAGCAGATTTGTTTAACAAAAAAATTTTGTTTCTAGGGTTATAAACTTAATTATTTATAATAGAAATTAATTTATTAAATAAAGGAACAAAAGTATATGTGTTGTGATTTTGATAAATCTCGGAATCACTAATTATAATAATTTGGTTATTTAATTAACATTTATTGATAAAGAAATTTCATGTAAAAAATACTTTTTGAACATGGTCTTTCATTGTATTTCACTGCATTGCAAGAACGACCATTGCATTTCATTGCATATCATGATCAATCATTGTATTTCATTGCATTTCATGGTTAAACGTGATATTTCATTGCATTTCATGATCCATTTCAACTCTGACCAATTTTAGACATGGTATAACTATGGTATTTGATGGTCAGGTTTGACAATGAAATGCTATGAAATACAATCAACCATGAAATGCAATGATATGCCATGATAAATGATAGTTATGATTATGGCAATGAAATACCATGGTATGACCATAATATTTGATGGTCAGGTTTGACAATAAAATGCCATGAAATACCACCAACCATGAAATGCAATGATAAAACCATGATAAATGAGAGTTATGATTTTGGCAATGAAATGACACTGTAATTGATTGTCACACTGTACAATGAAATGCCATGAAATGTCATTAACCATGATATACCATGGTAATACCATGGTAAATGATGATCAGAAACATGGCAATGAAATATCATGGTATGACCATGGTATTTGATTGTCACATCGTACAATGGAATATCATCAACCATGATATACAATGGTAATACCATGGTAAATGATGGTCAGGAACATGGCAATGAAATACCATTGTATGACCATGGTATTTGATTGTCACATCTTATAATGAAATGCCATCAACCATGATATACCATGGTAAATTATGGTTAGGTACATGGCATTGAAATACCATGGTGTTTTATTGTCACATCTTACAATGAAATGCCATGAAATGCAATCAACCATGATATACCATGGTAATACCATGGTAAATGATGATCAGGAACATGGCAATGAAATACCATGATAATACCATGGTATTTGATGGTTAACTTTGAACAGGAAATACCATGAAACATTGTATAACATGATATACAGGGTGACCGGAAAAAAAGGAGACCATTGAAATAGGCAATATCTCCTAAAATAGACTAGTGACATCAATGAAATTTTGCATACATCAGGACAGTTCTATGGAAATTTGTTCCTGAAAGTGTCAATACAAGCAGTCAACTGGTTCAGGAGCTATGATCATTTACATAACATGCTCCAAATAGGCGCAATTGAGACCAACGCAGAGCTGGATACATTTGGCAAATACCCTTACATATTCCGACCTTGTTATGGCATTACATTTAGCATTTATTGCCACCTTTAGGTCAGCAATTGTCTCAGGATTGTTTTGGTACACATTGTCTTTCAAATTGCCCCACAAAAAGAAATCAGGTGGATTCAAATTTGAGGTGTATGGAGACGAAGCTTATCTGACCTATGGCTTCTGACTCAGTGGTCCCACTCAGTTACAGTATCATCCTAAGGAGGTTTTGGGCAGCCCTTGGTTTTCATATGGGATTTAATTGTGCCATATAGTGGTTTTAGTAACATGGCACTATGCCCAATACCTAAAGTGACTCTTAAGATTTGGTAAATCAGCACTTTGGCAACAGGATGATGAACCACATGTCAGATAACCCTTCATTGCCATTACAGCCTAGACTTGAATCCTGCTGATTTCTTTTTGTATGGATATTTGAAAGACAATCTATACCAAAACAATCCTCAGACTATTGTTGACCTAAAGAAGGCAATCACTGCTATATGTAATGCCATAATAATGCCATAGAGGGCAGAACATGTAAGGGTAGTTTGCCATATGAATCCAACTCTGCGTTGGTCTCAATTGTGCCTATTTGGAGCATGTTATGTAAATGATCATAGCTCCTGAACCAGATCAAAAATTGACCAAAAAACATCATTGCCACCATGGTCAGAGTTGATGGTAATTTCATTGCCGATCATGATAGACCATGGTAAACCATGGTATACCATGGTATCATGGTTTACATTTAAACATGGCTGTTGCCCCTTTAAGCTGATAATGATACCCCAGTTCTCTATGTATTGTATTATGACGTTTGGTTAGTACCATGCATCATTTTCACTTCAAGAGCTATGGAAAACAATTTTGAAAAGTTTCAAAATCAAGTTTTAATTTATCATTGAAAATTAGTTATCTTTATTAGAAATTACTGTAAAGGTGACAATTGAATTACTCGAAGGATGGCTAAAGATGCTGAATGAAAATTATCAAAGTGTGTGATTGAGGATCAAATGATGTAATAGTCAGTGCCCCTTTAAAAAATTAAAAGCTTGATATTATGATATACATGTATTCTGTACTTTTATACTTGCTAATATGGTTTATTATCCCATCGAATGAAGTTCGGAGGGATATAGGGAACGCCTCCGTCCATCTGTCCGTCCGTACGTACGTCCGTCCGTCCGGGCAATAACTCAAATACCGTTGGCCCAATTTTGTTCATATTTTGTACACATATACCCTATGGGAGTAGAAGTTCTGCTCGAAAGCCGATTTTCAAAATGGCCGCTCATTTCAAAATGGTGGCCATTTTAGTGCCGAATTTACAGTAATTTAGGTGCAATATGTAAAACTGTAATAGCAATATGTTTTAGATGTAAAAAAATTATATAGGACATTAATAAAGCTAGAAATGTAGATATTAAAGAAGCACATGGCAGCCATCTTGAAAAATGGCGGCCTTTACTCGTTATTTTACGATTTTTGCTGTTACTCGAAAAGTAGTGGAGCGATTTTGTTCATATTTGGTATGTGAATACTATAAACATTGCACACTGTCTAAAGACACTTTTGGAAGAAGGTGGCCATTTTGAAAAATGGCCGCCATTTTAACCTATTTTACTATAACTCGAAAATTAGTGAAGTGATTTTGTTCATATTTGGTATGTGAATACTATAAGGATGGCACACTGTCTAATGACACTTTTGGTAGAAGGCGACCATTTTTCAAAATGGCCGCCATTTTAACGTATTTTACTATAACTCGAAAAGTAGTGGAGCGATTTTGTTCATATTTGGTATGTGAATGCTAAAAGCATGACACACTATCCTATGACACTTTTGGTAGAAGGTGGCCATTTTGAAAAAAAATTTGAAAAATGGCCGCCATTTAATGTATTTTATAATAATTCGAAAAGTAGTGAAGCGATTTTGTTCATATTTTGTATGTGAATACTGTAAGCCGGGCACACTGTCTAATGACACTTTTGGTAGAAGGCGGCCGTTTTTCAAAATGGCCGCCATATTTACGTATTTTTACTATAACTCTAAAAGTAGTGGAGCGATTTTGTTCATATTTGGTATGTGAATATTATTAGTATGGCAAATGGTCTAATGACACTTTTGATAGAAGGCGGCCATTTTGAAAAATGCCTGCCATTTTTGCTATAGACTTTGTTTGTAAAAATGCCATCCATAGCTGTTCGATGGGATTCGCTACGCTTTGGCGTTGCCGTTGTTCTGGTTACTCAATTGCTCACACGACCAATGATCTCAATGTGCGTACACTTTCAGATAACGTAAGATAGTTTTATATTTATGATCTTGTGTCTGTCATAGAGACATGAAAGCAAGCAATGAGGGCATGTTTGAATTGAAAGCTACATGTATTTCTTATTTGTATAGCTTAGTAAACCCAGTATTTATACAAATCAATCAACACTTTTCCACATTTTGATACTAGTACTTACTAAACTGCTATATGCATTAGTGCTGATTCTATTAATTATAAGGCCATCTAGTGAGTCTAGTTATGTCACCACCAAAAGTGGTGACATATTGTTATGGTCTCCGTTTTTTTGCGACGGCGGTTGGTGGTTGGTGTCCAGCGTCCGGCGTCCAGTGTCTGGCATCCGGCGTCCGGCGTCTGTAACAATTTCTTACAACTTCCTATAACTTAACAAATACTGTTTAGACTGACTTCAATTTTTTTCTAAATCATCTACATGTTCTCAGAAGTTCAAATCTGACTTTAGATTTGACATTTGACCTTCAATGACCTTCTCAAGGTCAAAAAGGTCTTTTTTCAACTTGCTTCATATTGACTAATTTTTTTTTCAAAATCATCTACATGTTCTCAGAAATTCAAATCTGACTTTAGATTTGACATTTGACCTTCAAATCTGACTTTAGATTTGACATTTGACCTTCAATGACCTTCTCAAGGTCAAAAAAGGTCAAAAAGGTCTGTTTTCAACTTGCTTCAAATTGACTAAATTTTTTTTTCAAAATCATCTACGTGTTCTCAGAAATTCAAATCTGACTTAAGATTTGACTTAAGATTTGACATTTGACCTTCAATGACCTTCTCAAGGTCAAAAAAGGTCAAAAGGTCTGTTTTCAACTTGCTTCAAATTCACTAAAAAAAATTTTCAAAATCATCTATGTATTCTCAGAAATTCAAATCTGAATTTAGATTTGACTTAAGATTTGACATTTGACCTTCAATGACCTTCTCGAAGTCAAAAAAGGTCAAAAAGGTCTTTTTTCAACTTGCTTCAAATTGACTAAATTTTTTTTCAAAATCATCTACATGTTCTCAGAAATTCAAATCTGACTTTAGATTTGACATTTGACCTTCAATGACCTTCTCAATGTCAAAAAAGGTCAAAATGGTATTTTTTCATCTTGCTTCAAATTGACTAAATTTTTTATTCAAAATCATCTACATGTTCTCAGAAATTCAAATAAGACTTTAGATTTGACTTTAGATTTGACATTTGACCTTCAGTGACCTTCTCAAGGTCAAAAAAGGTCAAAAAGGTCTTTTTTCAACTTGCTTCAAATTGACTAATTTTTTTTTTCAAAATCATCTACATGTTCTCAGAAATTCAAATCTGAATTTAGATTTGACATTTGACCTTTAATGACCTTCTCAAGGTCAAAAAAGGTCAAAAAGGTCTGTTTTCAACTTGCTTCAAATTGACCAAATTTTTTTTCAAAATCATCTACATCTTTTCAGAAGTTCAAATTTGACTTAACAAGTTCTCAGAAGTTCAAATCTGACTTTAAATTTGACCTTTGACCTTCTCAAGGTCAAAAAGGTCTTTTTTCAACTTGCTTCAAATTGACTAATTTTTTTTCAAAATCATCTACATGTTCTCAGAAGTTCAAATCTGACTTTAGATTTGACATTTGACCTTCAATGACATTGAAAAGGTCAAAAAGGTCTTTTTTCAACTTGCTTCAAATTTACTTAATTTTTTTTTCAAAATCATCTACATGTTCTCAGAAGTTCAAATCTGACTTTACATTTGACCTTCAATGACCTTCTCAATGTCAAAAAAAGTCAAAGAGGTATTTTTTCAACTTGCTTCAAATTGACGAATTTTTTTTTCAAAATCATCTACATGTTCTAAGAAGTTCAAATCAAACCTTCTTAAGGTCAAAAGGTATTTTCCAACTTGCTTTAAATTGACCAAATTGTTTTAGGTGGTGACATTTTGTCATGTTAATGCCTTGTACTAACATCTCGTAACACTTTATGGACCTGTTGTATTTAACCTTCCATTTTTCACTTATATAAAGCATTATTTCATATTTTCTATTGGTATCAGTAATGCTAATTCATAATTAGGAATTCTTTAATCTGCTTTGAAATTATTTTAGATTTCAGTGATCTCCCCAGCATTAAAGCAAGTGGGCACAACCACCCACCTGAGCTTTTGATAACAGGCTTGCACCCACCTGAAAATCCATTTGCACCCACTTAAAAATGGGAAATTCATGAAAATACTCATATTTTGACCAATTTTGGTCTGAATTGTGAAAATGAAAAATTAGCACCCACTTGAGAAAAAATCCTGTGGAGATCATTGGATTTAATTGAACTGAAAACTGATAGCATATCTTTTATGACTTTTGTCAGTTTTATGATTCAAACAATACGAGGGGTGATCCAAAAGTCTTGGATGCCACACTCTAACCTTGCTATTTTCTAATGTAATTACATGAAACTTTCAGATAATAAAGATCAACATCAACAACTTTGTATATTTTCACCGGGAAATAATATATTTTAGCTACTTTTCTAAATATCTTTTAACATCGGGTCCCTGTCACCCGGAACAGTATTTAAATATAGCAAATCACGTCACAACTGTTAATATGGCAAATACTTTAGGTGCAGGTGCAGGTGCACAACCTAACACCAGTCATGATAATAGAGAATCTGCCATCATCATCTTCACATATTAAGACCTATGAATTTGAACACATTTTTCTTAACGCTTTACCCATGAGAAGACATTTATGAAACCGCCATTGCTAATGTGATACAAATGCATCTGGAGTGCCACTCTAAACCTCACCCGATGAGTAAAAAACATTTTCTTTCAACCCTCCTTTTAACATGTTTAACTTCAGAAAAGGAAGAAAATCACTCAGAGTCATATCTTAGACTGTATTGTGCATATGGTAGCTGGTCAAGGTCAATACTAGTGAGAATATCTTGTAGTATTCTTTGTTTCACTTTGATTTCTTTCATGTTCTGCATTTCAGCAGCCATCTTGGAGCAAAAATGATACCAGAATGAGGATTGCTTGCACAAACGGCCATTGTCATATGTGACATTATAATTAAAACACAATTAATTGGTTGCATGGTAACAAAGGAAGTAAATTAACATGGTTAAACATTCAAAATTCAAAGAAAGATAGTGGTCAAGAGTTGCGAGACAAGTCAAATTGTTTTGAACTTTCTAAAGAGTCCAGTGCAAGCGGCAGATAAGAAGGATTTAATTCTGTGTTTTATTAAACTTCGATATCCCATATTATCTTTTTCTAAAGAGAAACATAGATAAACACTGATCGATTACCATGCCATCTTTATTTGAATTTCTATCGACCTTAGCCTATGGTTGTAGCGTTTGTATAATTGTTAAAACTTGAAGGGTGCACAAGCAATGCAAACATGCCCAATTAATTCATTTACAATTCACATCTGGGTGCAAATGATTTTGAACAAGGTACAAGTTAATCCTAAACAAGGTGCTCAGTAGATACAGTAAAACCTGGTTTAGTAAACACTTCTCTCTTGTGAACACCCCTTCTCAGCACATACTCCATTGACTTCTTCATAAAATTGCCTCTCAGAAGTGAACACCTATACCTACAATGAACTGGCTCGATAGGTGTTCAACATACAGGTTTTACTTTATGTGATATGTTTGGTTTCATGTATTGTCCTGGTGTGTTTGTAGATGCTGGTTTGTTTGAGGGGATGGAGTGGGGGACATCAGCTGTATTCCAACAACAATGTCAAGTTGCAAACCAGTTGGGTGCAAAGCTGAAGATCTTGCCCAATGTCCTTTGTGATGTGGTAAAGTGGTAGAAAATCTGTTAATATTATCAGCCTGTAACTCCCGCTGGACAAAATTTCTTTCACAATCATGCATTTTCACCATTTTAAGCACTTTCAAGTGATGTTTGGCCAAAATTATCAAATCCATGAAAAGTGTTAATATGATTGTCCCATTGTATTCTAAAATCAGGTTTTGCATATGTGAAATATACAGTCTGCCTTGATTAATTCCTATTAGAAAGTTAAAGCATGATTTCATTCTTTGATGTTAACTGACTACCACTCCCTTATTGAATGTATGGGTGAAAACAAGATGGCCGACAGCTAAAGTCACATTTTCTGTCTCTCCTAAATAGTTGGATTTACCATGTTATATAGTGCATTCAAATGGATATAAACTACCTACATTGCAGCTAAACATATAAACTATCAGGTTAGTGACTTATTATAGTGAACCCATACTGGAATCAGGGCTGTCAACTTGGGACCACCTAATATGAGTGACTTACAAATGTTGGACACCGAAGTCCAAATCTGAACACTTTTGTCCAAATTTTGAACACCTTTGGCCAACTTTTAAACACCTTTGGCCAAAGTTTGAGCACCTTTGCTAAACTTTTATCACCTCAAATTTTTCGCGCTCGATACGCTCGAGATGTCGTCAACGGGGGGGGGGGGGGGGGGGGGGGGGGGGGGGGGTAGGTACGAAAATTTTCAATGAACATGCGTGACATATACGGGATTCGCGTGACAAATCCGAACAAATTGCGTTCGTTTTTTTTCCGACGTTCGTATTTTTACCGTATCATAAACATATTTTGAAAATTTTTTTACAGAAACATATTTGCGTGACAATTACCAGGTAAAATGCGTATTTGCGTGACATTTTCTGTCACGCAAAAAAAACTGGCGTGACTTCAAATTCTTCAGCAAATGCGTGACAAATACGCAAATTGCGGGACAGTTGACAGGCCTGTGGAATAAACAATAATGGCCTCTTCAAATCAGAAAAGGTACGAAAATTTCCAATGAACATGCGTGACATATACGGGATTCGCGTGACAAATCCGAACAAATTGCGTTCGTTTTTTTTCCGACGTTCGTATTTTTACCGTATCATAAACATATTTTGAAAATTTTTTTACAGAAACATATTTGCGTGACAATTACCAGGTAAAATGCGTATTTGCGTGACATTTTCTGTCACGCAAAAAAAACTGGCGTGACTTCAAATTCTTCAGCAAATGCGTGACAAATACGCAAATTGCGGGACAGTTGACAGGCCTGTGGAATAAACAATAATGGCCTCTTCAAATCAGAAAATTACAACCTTCCTCACATCTGAAAATGAACCAACACCTTCAAGGTCAACAAGTACACCAATTGCTCATGTTGTGAAACCCCCTCATAAAATGGACAGATTAGAAGCAAATATGTCATCTGATGATAGTTTCTCATACAGTACTGAAATAGACAAAGAGCACCAGACTCAGTCTTCACCTCTCCAGAAACAATTAGAAATTTTCATGAAAAATATTTCATGTGACATCTCAAACTTCAAATCTAAGATGGACAATGTTGGTGATATTGTTAAAAACGCTGTAACAGAAGCCGTTGGTCAAATAGAGGGTAGAGTTACAAAATTAGAAAGTGAAAATGTGAGCCTAAAGGAACGTATTCATGAACTTGAACAAAACCACACAGCCATGAAGTCTACAGTAACTTCACTCCAGGAAGCAGTCAACCACAATGCACAGTATAGTGGGAAGAACACGATTAATATACTTGGTATAAAAGAATCTCAGAACGAAATCTGTTCCACAGTGGTTGCAGACATCCTTGGAGAGAAACTACCAATAGATATTTCTCCAAGCGATATCGAAGTAAGCCATCGTATTGGCAAACTCCGTACTGATAATACACCTCGACAAATGATTGTGAAATTCAAGTTTCGCCCCAAAAAAGAAGAGGTTGTTAAGAATAGGAAACATCTGAAAGGGAGTGGCATTACAGTCTTTGAATATCTTAGCCCAATGAACAGGAAATTGCTTTTTGATCTGAAGAACAATGACAATGTGGATCAAGCCTGGTCAAGCAATGGGAAAATATTTGCCAAAAACAAAAGGGGACTGGTAAAACTATTCAAGGTAACTGACCATATTGAGGGGGACATTTTCTCCAATGCCTAAATGCCAAGCATTGACACAATCATGTCAATGGGGACATTTGTATTTTGTAGTGCTATTGAACATTTATTTACAGGTAAAAATACAGTACAAAAATCATGTATTGTAGTACAGTAGAAAAGTTACTCCACAGTTAAACCTCATATTTTGCAAACACATTCAATAATGAACTGCAGATAGGACATTTTATATTTTCTTTGTTTCATTCTCAGTGCAAATGAAACTATTATCGCTCATGATAATCATTGTTGTTATAATCTTCTGATAATACTGTATTTGCTTTTTTCTTTCATGAAGTTACATGTATATTAACTTATTTCTCTTTGTTTTGATTCTTTTGACACCTGATGCATAACTGTCAACGTATATACAGTTACTCTGTATTCCATGCCAATGCCATGGTGACACTGTCCTTTGAAGCAAAGGTCATATTGTTTCTATTGGTCAAGTCTCTTTTTATAAACTTTAAGTTGCATTGAGTTGGTATTATATACCCTACATATAACTTTTGTGTATGGTGAGCTATTACAAGGTTTTTTCAAACTTCAGTGAGTTGGTATTGGGGTATATTCCTATTGGTTACTATTTACATGTGTACAAAATGTTCACACTGGAGAGGCATGAATCAATTCATGGAATGATAAAGTATATAACTGGCATCTTTAATCAGTTTCCAGCTCACTGAATTTATGTGAATCCTTGAAAATGATATGGTATTATGTTGTTATGACTCTAAATAAGGTCAACAATCAGCCTATCGACTAGAACCTTAAGTAAGAGTCAAATTAAGTCAATACATGTTTGAATGTTGACTTATTTATCCAGGGAGACAGATAATATTCTTTTACTGTCATGTATAGTCTTTATATTTGCATCCATGTAGAAAATTACTTCAGTCTGGCATTATCCTGGGTTCCCACAAACTACATCTTTGATGTGCATTGAATTAACCCTTTGGCGGGGAAGAATAGGTGCATTTAATAATCTTGGATTTAACCATGTCAACAAAATAGGAAACAGCCCTAGAGTGAACACATTATTTTCAAATTGGCTCATTATTAGTATGTTGCATATTTCCAGCAATTGTTGTAATCTTCCTCTTATAATCTTAATATGTAGCTTCTTTCAACACTTGCTTTTAAATATGCATTTGGAAATACTATTTGCCATCTTTATAATTGCAAAAATGTTATCTTTTGTAACACCATTGATAGCACTCTGGGTTGTACAATTACCTTCAAAACATCAAATTAATCCAAGGTCTATATGCATGTTTGTTTTCACAATGAGTTGTTTTCTATTAATACCAGGAAGTTCAATTTTTCTAAATCTAGCATTTCATGAAGATGTGTTAAGACAACTTCTCCTATTAGCATTTGACATAAAACCAAATCCAGGCCCAAACAATTATACCGAAAATGTGAATATTCTGTTTACAAATATTGACAGTCTCTCAGCCGACAATGGAAACAGGTTTGAAAGTCTTAAGTTATTGGTTAAACAAGAAAATATTTCAATTGTGAGTCTGTGTGAAACTGGTAACAAATTAGATATATCAAAATATGATATAATAGGCTTTCATAAATTAGATCAGTCACTGTATGATTCTAAAGGCCGTGGCATTATTGTCTATATAAAGGACTCTTTGAAATTTAAAGTCAGAGATGATTTAAATGATCCAAATATCGAGTGCCGGTGGATTGAACTCACTGTTGAAAATAAGTCCTTTTTGTATGGAACATTCTATCGGTCGCCATCACAAAATGCCAGAAATCGCGACAACTATTTTAATTACCTTAACAATAATATAAATAAGGCGACTAAAGTTAAATCAGATGGGATATTCTGTACAGGTGATTTTAATGCTCGTAGTACCCACTGGTGGGAAAAAGACATAAATACCGTTGAAGGAACAAGGCTTTATGATATTTCAGTCGAGAACTCTCTCTCTCAATTAGTGAAAGAACCAACTAGATGTGTGAAAAATAGTCGTTCATGCTTGGACTTATTTTTCTGTGACTCTCCAGGATATGTCTTGGAAACTTGTACTAAATCGCCTATAGGATCTGACCATTCTTGCATTTACAGCAAACTAAATCTCAAAACTGCAAACACTGATTCAAATACTGTTAGAACAACTTGGCAATATCAGGATTGCAATGTGTTTCATCTTAATAGAGCAATATCTCAGTATAACTGGGAAAACATCTTTGCTTTAACAGACATAGATAATATGACTGAGATTTTTACATCAACTGTTTTATCAATATTTAGTGATCATATTCCCAGGAAAATAAAAGTTTTAAAAAGCAAAGATATGCCTTGGCTTACAAAGGAAGTCAAGAGTTCAATTAATAAACGTGATAAGCTCTATAGGAAACTAAAAACTGACCACACAACTGAAAATTATGAAAAATTCAAAATCCAATCAGATGTAGTTAGTAATGCAATCACAAAAGCCAAATTGTCCTATCATGAATCTATTTGTACTAACTTAGAAGCAAACTCATCAAATAGTAAATTTTATTGGATCGCAATCAAGAAATTACTTGGTAAAAAGTTTTGTTCAGATATTCCTATGTTGACAAAAACGGACATTTTGGCAAAAAACAACAAAGAAAATGCAGATTTACTTTTGCAACAATTTCTGACCAAATTCCATCACAATTTTGATGAACTTGACTCTCCAAATATTCCATCAAAAACAGATCAAATCTTAGAAAGTATTGACTTTTCAAAACAAGATGTTAATAAAATTTTGTGTGACCTTAATACTACCAAGCAAGGTGGACCAGACGGAATGGTCCCTTAAATGGAAGTCAATTTTTAAACCCTCAAAAAGTGTAGAAATTATTTTTAAGGGATCAAGAAGGAAACACCTTCAACACCCGCCTGTCTTTTTAAGCAATGAAAAAATTAACAGATCAAGTGACCACAAACACTTAGGAATAATATTAGATGAACACTTATCTTTTAGGCCTCATATACTAGAAACTATTGATAAATGTAACACAATGTTAAATCCTTTGAAAGCTCTAAAAAACAAAATAAGATCAAAACATTTAGAAAAAATGTATCTGTCATTTATACTCCCCAAAATGGAATATGGAAGTATTTTATTTGAAAAAGCGACTAAATATGACCTTGCTAAACTTGATCAGGTGCATTATAGAGCTGCCTTACTAATAAGTGGGTGTATCCAAGGAACCTCAAAAGCTAAATTATTTAAATCATTAAATTGGAATGAACTGTCTACTAGAACAGATGAAAAATATTTAAAGTTAATGTACCAGGTTCAAAACAAGACTGTCCCCTCATACCTTCAAAGAATTTTTGACCAGCATAGAAATCCGGTACAAAATGTGAACCTTAGAAGGATTAGACATTTTACTGCCCCAAAGCCAATTGGCTCCTTTTCCAAATCCCCAGTTACTAGAGCAATACGTTTATGGGAAAAGCTCCCAACTGATCAAAAAGAAAGTAAAAGTTTTGCTAGTTTTAAGAGAAGTGTCAAAACTCATCTTAAAGATAAAAATTTACCATTACCTACATCTCAGTTAGAACTATCACGAAAGAGTGAAATATTCTTAAATCGTATTAGATGTGATTTTATTTTCTCTGGCCATTTTTTCTTACATAATTTTAGAGATGTAGAAAGTCCAAAATGTTTATGTGGCTACAGAGAACAAACTTCAAAACACCTTATCTTCAATTGCCCGCTGTTAGTTAAAGAAAGAGAAGAACTTTGGGGGGAGCTTAGGGTGATGCCAGAACTGAACCATTTCTTTTTAATTGGATGCACTTTAGAACAAAAGACCAATACACTTTTGTTTGGAGATAATTTAGTGAATAACAAAATCAAAGGTTGTGTATTTAAGATTTTTACTAACTTTCTCTGTAAAATAATGGAAATTATTTGAATTATCAATTTATAACATTTAATCAGTTGTTTCAACAAAAAGCCATCTGTAATAATTTGTATGTTGTATTCTCACAGGGCCAATAATGCTTTCGCCTAGGCCCTGTTAATGTATTATATATATATGATTTCAATAAATGAACCATAAAAACTAAAAAAATGTATAGCCAAAGTGAGAAACTAGACAAATTAGGGACACAGATCAATTAAGTGAGGATAGTTGGCAGAACACTATCTAGTATCTACAGTGAACACTGAAGTAACTGCAGTTTAACCATTGCTGAACTCATTTAATCACAACCATTTGTTATTACTGTTTATTCCATAGTTAGCATGATATTCATAGGATAACATGTCAAAATAAAAACGGCATTTTTGTAATCAGTGGAAAAATATGATATTTTTGACAAATTTTCACTTAACCATATAGCATACGGTGTTTAAGCCATGACATTCGGCGCCGTATGCTATGAATTATAGATTTTTGCTACTTCAGACTCAAAACGGGGCTTAGTGTCAACATCGCTGGATCGTTTCGGAAAATTTGAATTAAATCACTTAATTTCTAAATGATTCTGATAATGACTTTAACTATGGAATAAAAAGAACATCCTATGATTTATTCATGATATGATTTTAATCCACTTATGGATATTGATATCTGCACTCTCTCGCTACGCTCACTCGTGCAGATATCATATCCATTCATGGATAAAAATCATATCATTCATAAATTATAGGATATCCTCTATATATGTATAAGTATATTTGATATGAGCAATATAAATTATACAAATGTACTCATATTGTGTCTTCTCTCATGTTTTATAAAGGACACCCCTGAAGACATTAGAGTGTTTGAAAAAGCAACTGGTGTAACAGAAGAAGAACTCAGTAAACCAACATGGAGTGTTATTATTCCTGTTCTTAATGAAGCACAAAATATTGAGAAGACCCTAAATGCTGTGATTCAGGTAAGGACAACACAATATAGCCCATAGTACAGCTCATTATTGTTATTAATTTATTAACCTGTATTTGAACAGAGTAGTACAAAACATATACTATACAGTTATGGTGTATCAAAACATATTTACAGTTTAGTGACACCTTGTTTGCTATAAGAGATCAGATGCATCTATAATGTGTTTCACTAGTTTGTTAATTGCCATCATATTGGCTGATGAGCTCATGATAATATTATGTAAGGATAACATTTTTCCAGGGTTGGAATTGGAGTTCATACTACAGGACGACCCTCTAATTTTTGAATGACTTTCTCAACTTTGGTAAAATCTTTTTGAATTTTCTTTCATGCGTAGATATTCATATTATAAATTCATATTATGTTGTGTATCCATTGAACTACAAACATTAAGAAATCATGCTGTAACCTTCATTTATCTTTTCTTTCGCACAGAGACACTCAAATAGAGACATGCTGGAAATCATCATAAGCGATGGAGGGAGTAGAGATGCTACTGTGGAGATAGTTGAAACATTTGCTCAATCTAGCTCAGTTAAAATGACAGTTGTCAACAGTTCACCAGGTTTGTCATGTTTCTTTCGGTTAGTCTTGCATAAAAATGGTGTGAACCCCATATATGGACCATCTCCATTCCAAGTCCTGTACAAACACTACATTCGCACCCCCATACAAATACATATTCCTACCCCATATACACAGAACCTTATTGTATAAGATTTCAAAGCTCTAAAACAAGGTAAATGAGATTCTGAAGCCTCTGAAAATCCTGCCCTCTTAGAACTCTGACTGTCTATAATACTATGTTTCTTTGTTTTCTACTGTAGGTCGTGGCCCTCAGTTGAAATGTGGGGCAGAAGCTGCTACAGGGTCCTACATGCTGTTCCTCCATGCTGACTGCCTACCCCCTAATAACTATGACCAAGTTGGCACAGCTGTCCTCATGCAACCTGGAGTTGTTGCAGGAGCATTTACCTTTGCTTTAGATGTTAATCATCCTGACAGGTAACAGCCAATTAATATTTATTTCATTCAAACATGTTTATTTCATTCAAATCGTCCATAAAATCGGTTGAGAGTATTTTCATCTGTATTGCAAAGATAGTCTACACATGCATTGGCATAACCCTCCCGGCTTATCAGGCCATCACCATTTGTATCCATGTAGTCTGCATTCACGCAAATCTTTTATCAAGGCCCCATCCATTCCAAAGTATCATGTAGTCATCAAATGTCATGAGCCTGGAAGAGTCCATGCATAAACTCTACAATTAATCAATACCAAGAAGAATGCATGTACAGTAAAACCTGTATATCTAAACACCTGGCTAATCCGAACACCTTCCAATTTAAACACTTTTTTTCGGTCCCATTTTTTCCTCCCATTGACTCCCATGTTAAACAAACCTTGAAATCTGAACACCTCCTAATTTGAACAGTGAACAACCAGATTTGAAAAAGTGGCCTGTCTAATCTGAACATTTTTATCAGAAATCAAATGTCTGGACATTTCAATTAAAGCCACATATTGAGTCAATGTTAAAGTTGTTATTTATCTTTACATATATACAAATGCAATCAAAGAACCAATTGTCCTAATTAACTTATTTAGTCTCAGTGACATCCCTAATTTGTGGAAAACAACAGGATGTTTTGGAAAGGTGTGAATACAGGAGTTAATTGGTTTATCCTATTAGAAAAGAACTGAATGTTTTATTTTTGGATTAAGAGAAAGGTGTGAATCAAGAAGATAATTGATTTATCATTATTGGAAATTACCTGGATGTTTTTGATTTGGATTAAGAGAAAGGTGAGAGTCTGGGAAATAATTGGTTTATCCTTATTGTAAATTAACTGGATGTTTTTGATTTGGATTATGAACAGGTCTTAACTGTTTTATATTCCATGGGTCTGTTATGATAGCTAAGATTCAATCAGTAAATGTTTTATAATCACAAAGACAACACAGACCCCATTTGCAGACACGATTATATCACGAGGAGAAAAAATTCAACTTTGTAATATTCGCATACATCTGACATCCTGAATGCCCTTGATATTTTGAAGGATTATACATCATCTCGAGTGAACACTCATGAAAAAATATTTCTACTTGAAGAGGATATCTACTCAAATATTGCTAATGCTAAAAGTGCCAAGAAACAAACAACAATGAAGGACTTTTTCAAGCAAAAGTAAAGCAGTGCAATATAACCATAATATGGGATAGGCCATTTGATAAGCATAAGATTTCGTACGAGACTATCATATACTTTTACAGTGTATTTCAAAGTTTTTGCCAAAATATAAGAGTTATTTTTACTAAAATGATGAAATTGTTCAAAATATAAATAAAACATAGCATATAGGCTATATAATAGGCCTATTGTAGAATTAACTCATCAACAACATGTATTGTTTTCTGACTTAGTATTAAGTGTTCAATATAGTGCACTGAACAATGAAAATCCCCCCCCCCCCCGACCAACAAAATCCTCGAAATTTGAACACCTGCCAATTTGAACGCTTTTGGCAGGTCCCATGGGTGTTCGGATTAGACAGGTTTTACTGTAGTTCATATTTTACAGTGATCTGTAGCCTATATGTCAAGAAGAAATTTTTCGCTATTTTTATATATGAGCTGGGCCAAAAAATGTTCATATTTTTATTTTTGATATATCGTTTTTGAAAATGCATGGGTATTGGGTTTCAATATATTTTTATATGTGAATCCTTGGAATCATATTACAATTTGGCTAATAGACAGCCTTTTTCAAAAATGGCAACCATTATTTGTGTTTGTGTAATTTTACGTTTTTGCTATAACTGGAAAAGTTGTGGCTGGATTTTGTTAAAATCTTTTGGCAATATGTCTATGGTGACCAATTTTAGACATGATTTCTAGCAATGTTATCTGACACTTGTTAGATGTTCGATGGGATTTGCTACACCTTGGCGACTTGGTGTTGTTGTAATATCGTCCAAGTACAGTTTATTTCATTCAGCCATACAAAAGTTCATTCAAACATGTTTATTTACTATACCATTCCTCATTCAGCCATCTTTATTTGTGTTTCAGCCCTGATCATTCCACATTGTTTAAATGGCAAATGCGGCTTATAGCCTTCACAGTCAAGTTCCGATGTAAATATTTTGGTAAGTCGTGCACAATTTTATTTTAATTAAATGATCTAAGGAGGGATAAAAAGTGAAAAATATTGAAGCAATCTTAAAAACCATGCCAACGTTTTCCTCACAAGCCTTATTTTCTGAAAAATGGTTGAAATATCGGATCAAATAGTTGAAGATTTAAGATGCCGTTTCCAAATTATTAGAGTTTTTTGCCATAAAAAGGGAGACCATCCAATCTTGGAGTTTTTATTCAGCTTTGAAATATTGATTAGAAAAGTGTGTTACACAACCTGGTGCTGTTGCTAGTATTGTTTTATGTTATTTGTATACTTGTATCTGTTATTTGGAAATAAAAAAATAAAAAAAATGCAATGGAGTGATGAGAGGAAGAAATATTGTTCATTTGTGACTCTCACCTCATCGTTATTCCTTATAATCCCTTCATATGATTGGGGCTGTTGAAGAGCCTTGCATTTTTATTTCATGTATATTTTCTATATAAAAGCCTTTTTTTGTTCCATTGAGGGCATTGTACTGTACATTGGGGAGGTTAAGTTACACATTTTTAAGAGAACTTGTATGTGAATGGTTAGTATTATGACCCCCATGGATTACTATCCTCCTCTCAATTGGTATTCCAGTAACCTAATTGCAATTTTTTCCTTATACCTTTATTCTCAATTGGACAAGTACTACTAAAGGAAAAACAAATCCCTAGATGACCATAATTCTACACGTCCACGTGTAATTTCTATCAAAAATGTGTAACTTAACCTCGATATTATCTCAAATGATAAACTGAATTCATCATCTAGTTGAAAGTTCATGGTTTCATTCAACGCAGAAACAGATTCTACATAAGTTTTGTTGACTGCGTTCTTAGTCTAGGTTCTTTGTGCGTTTTTTTCAGAGTTTCCTTATGGTGACCAGGGGCTCTTCATGAGTCACCACATTTATAACAAAGTGGGTGGTTACCCAGCATACCCTCTCATGGAAGATTATGCTATGGTAAGTAACATGTAAACATTTACGATGCAAAATCAAATATTTGAATTGCTCTCTCTAAGGTTTGTTAGATATGTTAAGCGACATCCCTAAACCAATAGATATCAGGCGAAGACTGATTTGAATGAAAACAAGTTCATGTTCCATCTGTGTCATATTGAATGTAATGTACATGTATATTCAATGCCTTGTGATCTACTTTTTGTCTATTTTGTTCCATATATAATACAGGTTGAAAAGTTGCTGCAGAAAGGCCATGTTCTGACAACACAGGAAAATGCTGTTTTGAATAGCAGACGGTGGCAGAAACATGGTTTCTTTAAGGTCAGTTCGTAGCAGAGTAACAGTATGGTGTTTAATGAAAACAACTGCATCGTATTTATTCTAGACTGTCATCTATATAAATATAGTTACTTATGACCTTGGAATCTATATGAAGTATAGTATAGCATCATATAAAGTGTAAAAAATAAAAAATATGCTGTATACAGTGTAGCTAAAAATGTTCTAATTTTGATACAATAATTTTTCATACTCTTAATGTCTTAAATGCAATATTTATAAGTGCACCACTGTGTTCTACTTTGAATCCTCCCTCTGCAGAAGAAAATTCAAGAAGATTCCACCAGAGAAATTTATCCCAAAATCAGAGAGTTGTATTCATTTGGGTCACCCTGTCAGGCCCGTAGCCAGGGGGGGTTCGTACCCCTGGCCAGAAATTCTTTCAGAATCATGCAGTTTTTCACCACTTTGAGCACTTCTCGAGTGATTTTAAATAACAAAACAGATGAAAATTTCCTCTTGGGTGAATCCTTTAGCTGAGAGTTAATGCAATGGACCATACTTTGCACCTTGCATTGAAAAGTAACTTAGAATTTTTGTTTTCATTGAGACAGATCCATATCTTATATTTTGTTTAATCGATTATGATAATACTGCCTTATTGCTGCCTAATTTTACTTAATTTTATTGTGTTCCAGGTGACTCTTATAAACACAGTGATAATAACTGCTTACAGACACTTCGGTGTATCACCAGAGACTCTGGCACGGTGGTACTATGGACCTACAAAATAATGAGTTGATTGTAGTTATACTGTACATAAACACCGTGATAATGGCCATATCAGCTGGCGCACATGTGCATATCAGTAAAATAAAAAAACAGATTAGAATCATCAGCAATGTCAAGGAAGCATAAATGGCATCAAAATGCAAAATGGAAGTGACATTCCCCTTGGTACAACTATAGTCACATATGTAGTCATATAGTCATTAAAATGCCTAAAATTTGCTTTACCCAAGCCTGAGGCAAACATGATACATGTAGATCCATACCACCACACTTTTATATGAGGCAGATGATCAGGGTAAATCAACTATGCAATCAAGCCAGAATTTTAAAGAATACAGAAGTTCTGCTTGGAAAAAGTGTTCACATTGAGAAATGTTCATATTTAAAATGTATTATTGTGCCATTAGTCAAACAGTAGAACACCACCAGTACCATATTTGCCATACAAGTGGTGACTTGTTATAGCCATAATTTCTTATGACTGGCGATCAGAGTTTGGTGGTCAGAATTTGGAATAAGTAACAAAGCAAAATACAGTGTCATGATACAGTATACCTCATATACTGTGTTTGTTGTCATATTAATTTATGAAATGACCAAACAATGGAGTGCAGTAATAAATAGATATGCAATAACTATGAATCTTTCTTTGTTCTTATCACAAAGCTGGTTGAGAGTGCACGATTGTACGATTAGAGGGGGGAAATGGAAATTTTTTAATGTTGCACAAATACATGTATGTTGATATTTTGGTGATTTAGCATTTAATATGTAGTACAGAAATTTGAGAAGACCCATTATATATTTTTTCCTCAATATGAAGATATACTAGTGGCTTCAAAAACCAATCACCATCTACATGAATGTACCCTCACGATGCAAACATTTTCAAAATCTTGTAGTTTGAATTAATATCAAGAAAAGTTGCTTAGCATCAAAATTATTGTTTGTGTATTCCTTGTATTGTATTTTGGATAAGTTCGAAATTCAGACTGGAACTGATGCATGAAGTAGACTTAATTTTTCAGTGGCATTAGGAGTACAATGTGTTACATAAGTAAGGGTAATTTTGCTCGAAAAAGGTTGTTTCGGATTTCATAAGAAAAAAAATCATTTCAAATGAAGATCAAAATATAGGCTTCATTTTGCTATGTTATATTAATCATATAAATCGGTCTTCAAATGGTTGTCATGTATAGACCACCAACAGATTCTACAATCTATTAAACTGCTTCAAAGGCAAGCAGTTGAACCAGAAAAATAAGAAATATTCATATTGCACAAGAATGACATTTGTTTACCTTGGATTGCTTGGGAATTGGCTTATAAAGTCTGTTACCTCTTATATTTTGATGCTTAATGCCATGTTAATTCTTAAAAAATAACATGGAGGATAGACCTCAAATTACAAGAGGGCACGGGCGAATTGCACTTAACACTAAATAATCTGAAATATACAAATGCCATTCGTGTGCAATATGAATATATTTTTCTATATATTATGGCACAATAGTCTATAGATTTCTTATTTTTCAGGTTAAACTGCTCGCCTTTGAAGCAGTTTGAAGCATAATTGAGGGAGTTACTAGTGTTCCAAAATTAGACAAGAAGGTTGCATTTTCTGGGTCATGCCATCATGATAAACCATGACATCTCATTTCTTCTCAGCCCTGAGATGCCATGATATAATGAGCTTGATTTGGCGATCCACTGGATCTCCTGGAGAGCCCAAAATTGAGGATTTTTGAGATCTTTCATCCCAGCTCATATTTCATCTAATTGGGGTCATAAAACTTGTGTACCCATGCCTGTTCTAATATCTGCTGTTAAATACAATGGCTATTATGTAATGTATTGACTTAAGGTACATGATGACTATCACACTCATTGACAGTTATAACTCTTCCCATCTGATGTGCTCAGATCACAGAATATGCCTCATAATATCAGGGCATGTTTCAAGTGAAACAGAAAGATGCTACAGGAATGGGGTCATGCTGTCATTCAATTTTTATGACAAATAGAGTGCAGTGATAATTGAACATTGGTATCTTTAGCATTCAACTCGATATAGTCAAAATAAGAATCATGATTTTATTTTTTCATTTTGTATTGTATAATATTATGTAAAACATACAGGTAAACTGAAAAATGTTTTGGTATGTCAAAAATTTTACATTTTATTTTTGTGTGACGGTCATTCATACATCAACACACATACACATATATTGAAGTCAATATGACAGATATAAATATCACCTTGCTCTGTGAAGAAGTCACTGTAAATGAACTTAAGTTCTTTCAAAACACCACATCCACAGTCCACACATTCTTTTCTTTTGATATTGATACATGTACAGCATAGCACATGCAAAATATATGATCTCTGTAAGTTATGGATTGTACAATTTTGTTTATATTACTCCTACACTTATAATAATATATTGAACAGTCTTCTCAAATAATTCCATAAAATACTGACTCTTCACCACGCAGACCTCTTATCACCATACACCATTATGGTCAGATCTAATAATACTTTATAAAATATGTTTTGGATTTTTTTCAGTGTCAATTTCACTGTCATTTTGTTTGTAGCATCTTCCAGATGTTCATCCACGATTGGATTGTCGATGCAGTTCATTTCATTTGTTTGCATTAGTATGCGTACATCTTCACTTTGAATAAATCTTTGTCAGCGCATTCCCTAACTTTGTTGTAATAATAGAAACATCCATCTTTACGTTGAAGTTTCTTGACTAGACCACCTGGCCAGTAATCAGCCTGAAATGATAGATACAGGGAATTCAGGAACTATGAACACATGACATCATTATACATGACATCATACTACATACATGTACAGTAAAACTTGTCTCATCCGAACACCTCTGGAACCAGCCTAAAGTGTTCAGATTAGCAGGTGTTCAGATTTCAAGGTTTTATAAACACGTGAGTCAATGGGAGATAACAAATTTCAGGCACCAAGAAAAAGTGTTCAATCTAAGAGGTGTTCAAATATACAGGTTTCACTGTTACAGTATCTATTTACAGAACATATACCAAAATAATGAGCAGATATCAAGAGAAAAATGCTATATAGATTTCAAAACATAATGCACAGCCATATTCAATGACAACAGAAGAATCTAGTTTTAGGTTTGTATTATATTGAAATTTGACTTACATCACGCTGTTTTATTTCTTTGTATTCATTTAAATCTTTGTAGCCAGCAAGCTGGAATCTATAGGCATTCTCTACATCTTCAGTCCAAGACTTTGCACGCTGCATTGACTTTGGTTGTGCCATGACTTTTCACTGGAAATAAAATTGTATAAAATATTATTAATGGTTTCATAGCAAATTTTAACGTAGTTCCTTGCTATTGTTAACAGTACCGGAGCAGGAAGTTTTACTTGACTCCAGAATAACAAGGAAAGGAAATAAGATTTTAGCTCCAGTTTTACTTTCAAAAATGTCCTGTAATAGAGCAGGAGTGAAACAAATATCAAACATTGATTCCCGCTGATATACCTCTACCAGAATTGAGATATAATATCTGAATATTCTAAGCCTATAATATTCTTCCATACCAAAATTTTTCCAAAGTCTACACTAAAAGCCCATGCTTCAACCCTAGTCACAGTTTAGCCTAGAGTCTTAATCTCTGTAGTTAATAGATCTAATATATCTCTTCATGCAAGATACTGTAGAGTGATATAGACCTATATCTCCAATTAGATTTTTTAAATAAGTTCTTAAAATTGTCAAACACGATATATACGATGTATACATACATAAAGATATCGCATGATTTGCTATAGATCCTATCCCAGAGATATGAATAGACAAAATATTGGGTATTTATCGATTTGATGTTGAGAAAAGATGCTTTTAAGAATAGTCTATCGTCCAAGAAACTATTGTCTATATTTGTATCAGTATCACCATGGGCTAGTAGGCCTAGCTCGATTTTATTGAAAGCCCATGATATCGCTATACAACAATATAGCTATGCATGCACCTTAGTGATAGTATTTATGATCAAAGGTTCATGCAAAATCTTATTTAGACTGGTTATCTGTAAGACTGAAGTGTAAAGTGAAAATCATCAATTTTGTCACTGACAGATTCAAGATCACAGGAAGTTGTATCAAATTGTATCTTTTGGGCTTATTTGGGGGTCCTCACGCTCGGTACTCAGGCTCGGAGTCGGAGGACACCCAAAGAACCCCATAGAGGCCCAAAAAGTACTTGATGCAACTTCCTGTGATTGACTCATTGAAGATTTCAATTTCTGAATCAATTTCATGATTTGAATTGAAATTTCAGAATCAATATGTTTGGCTTCATATCCTTCAATATCTTTGCATAGAACCTTAAATAACTATTAGAATATAGTGCCTTACCTAGTTAAACACTGGATATTTTATATTGACGTGTGCCTTCGGTGTATATTATCGTATTTAAATGAGGATTATTAATTTAAAAGCGTTAAACTATTGTCCGTCGTTGCTTGACAATCGGTAAACAAATATACGGAGTGAATTTGTTTAGCCATCGACTCACCCCAAATGAATTTCAATGAGGAATTTAAATGCATATTGATTCATAAGGATAAGTGTTATTTGCTGTAGTTTTGATGACAAGGAAATGCTCGTCTCTTGTTCAAATAAACTCTTCATATTCAATAGAATATTTAACAGATTATTCTATAGATATAAATTTAATTATAATCTATTTGGGGCAGGTCAAATCAATTAATGCCATCTATTATTTTTCGTAGCAGTTCGTTCGGTGCTACCTCTCTGCCGATCTTTCATTCCCGGGATCCCTCTTTCCGTTTCCAGGGAATATCTTGTCACTAATTTCGATTACTTACGAGTTTAGTTATCTTAACCTAAACAATTTTATTGCACATATATGTGAACATGATGTTTCACTCACACACATAGTTAGGAGATTGAATCGTAGCACGATTGCACTGGACTAATAGGGACTTTGAACCCTTCAGTACAATATGGATAGTTTATTGAAATCTGCTCTAAAGATAGATACCGTGGAGTTTGTTAGAACAGTAGAAGGTGGATTGGTTAACAAGGCTGCTATATATCATGCTGGAGGACGTAACGTGTTTGTCAAAACAAACGATGTCTCACATGTAATGTCCTTGTAGTGAATTTTATTTCCGGGTGTCTTCCTATTTGCCCAACTCACGCTGGCAAACTGTGCAACAAAGCATTTGCGAAATGAAAAGATTACTTGCGTTACTTCGAATCTATATATAGAACTAATCGTTTTATAATTATAACATATTCAGGCAAAACGTATAATTAAGATACAATATTTAAACACAATGCACTGATTGTAAGAAAACGAAGTTGTCATACAAAACCTTGGATGGGTTCTTTAATCCGTAGGTCCATGTTTAATCCCAGAAAAAATCTTTCAAGGAGCCATGTTCGATTTATTGGTAAGAGACGGCAGAAATGGCTCCATGATCTGTCTTCAATATGTTACTAATAAGTTCTAAATTCTGTGTTTCAGGCAAGACAGCTTTTTGAGAGTGAAGAGGAAAGTCTAAAGACAATAGCTGCAACGTCCGTCGTAAGAACACCAACCACATTCGGAGTAAGTGGTTTAAATGGGCATTTAGTGGACGCCCCCCCCCATTCTGTTAAATTTTGTCTTGGGACCATCTCTTTTCTCTAAAACCATACTGCCATAGGCATGAAGTTTGTTCATGTCCATATTTAAAACTTTAATAACCTCCATATAAAGTGATTGAATATCGAATTTTAAAACTGAATGATTGCTTTATGTAGACATTATATCAAAATACATACGATTTGATATAAATAATGATTTAGGGTCACTGACATTTAAATTTCTTAATTGAAATAATTTGACCTTTTACTCAGACCTCTTACTTAAAGGCCCACTAAACTTATTTTAGAAGAAAAAATCCCCAAAAATCATTGAAACATGTTACTCACACACTCGCTCAAATATGACACAAAGTTTGATTTGCTTTAATATTGAACCAAGAAAGAAATACCTTACATAGAAAAAAGCATTTGAAGTTCAGAGATCATTAGACATGCATGCACATGTTAAACAAAGTACATGTTTTTTTACCCTTTGCATCCGTTTGACTTCACTTCTTAAAAGAGAGCTTCGTAGTTTAACTAGACTCTGCACGCAGGGTAATGTTTTTTATTACTGATGATTAAAATTGAATGAATCATGCAATACAAACAACTGTGCCATCTTTCAATGACATTGATAAAAAGCTTGACAAACTGAAACATAATTTATTGTAAGCTTTGATATGGTTCGTTCGAGCTGTTGTTGGTGTCAAATGAAAGATTAGGTTCTTGTCAATACATTGGACATACTATGAAATTCAAATGTAAATGTAAAACGTTGAAAATACCCAAAGTAAGCCTTTAAGCCTCAAACTCTCTTGGGCCTTTAAAATGTTAACTGCTGAATTTTGGTGTAAAATATCTACTGGTGGCCATGTCAGATATCATTTTCGTTGTATAAATTAGGTATACGATAATCTAGATGACGGAAGTGCTTCACTATTGATGGAATGTCTTCCAGATCTGAAACCAATCTCATCATCAGACGGCTGGACACGACTCGGGGAAATAGTTGCAAGGTAATATTTTAGCCAGAGAGGCGAATACATTGAATGTAAATGTCATTGTGTCTAACCTAGTGATATTTAATATAATGTTATCTCTGTTAAAGATAAAATAGGCTTAAACTCATGAAATATTCCCGGAAACTATAGTTAAAAAAACTTATTGCAGAATACATCTTCATAATAAACAGCTGCTCCAAGCATCATCTACAGCACATGTGGAAAGAAGTCATCAAAATAAACCTTTGAATGCTGGGAAAGACGCACCTGTTTTACAGCCACAGAAGAACTTTGGGTACCATGTACCATCATTCTTTGGTTCACACTTTCGAATTGAGCCCACGTGGAAGAAATCGTGGCAGGTATGCTAGTAAGAGGTCTATAGTATAGATTATATACCGTTGTGATGGAACAACTTACGACTTATAATCGAGTATCTAGCCAATTCACACTCAGTGGCCATAGAATATGGTGACTTGACATTTTACCTGTATCCAATCCAACAAAGAAGCTAGAATTCAGTCCGATGTTCAATTTCTCATGGTTTCGGTAAAATTTTATCAAAATTTGACATTCAAAAGTAACATGGAAATATTTTTAGAGGATCCTTCATTCAAAGGACTTCATTTATTACGGAAAGAAGTGAAATACCCTTGGACCAAGGATGGTTTAGAGAAGAAAACAACAATTTCAAATTACTATTTCCAAATCACTACACGGGGTGACATCTATTCATACATATAAATAAAAAATTGTTCAACGATTTTTATTTGCATATATTATAGATATTCTATAAAAATCTTATATTTTGGAATCGATGGAGTACATATCATTTTCCAGAACTTTCTGAGGACAATCTGATCTTATGCTTTCAAACGTTTTAAAGTTAAGCTGTACCGACTATGTTTTTTTAATTATTTTACAGGAATACTTCACAGAAAATTTGTTGAACCCAATATATCAACAGATTTTAGAAAAGGTGAGTTTGTAAAATATACCTCTGATTTGGAGATTGATTTCATTAAAATGTGAATGATGACTTAGTATTCCAATGTCTAATTGAATGGGAATTACAAGTCTTTCCCAAAGCAACTAAATTAATATGAAACTATGTTTGGTGTATTTTCGGCTGTACAATCCAATTGTAATGTATCGCTTCATACTTTCTAAGGGCAAATGCATCCGCACTAGAAACAATCATTATATGAATTTTGCCGTTTTTCTAGCAACGTGTAATACGATGGAGCTGCCGATTGAACCTAGATATATAGATAGCGTTCATATTATATTTTCAGTTTGCCTGCACTGAATTACAGGAACAATGGTCTATATTACTACAACACATGGACTACTTCTTTAAAAATATCACCATAACGCCATCTATTCTCATTGGTGATCTAGCTGCAATAAACCTTGGTGAAACCGAAGGCGAGATCGTCATTTTTGATCCATGTTGTCTTTACGGGTTTTCAGAGTTTGATCTCACCCAAGCTCTAGCATTCGATGAATTTCAAGAGCCATTTTACGAGGCCTACTTTAAATTGATTCCAAAACAAGAAAGGTTCGAGGAGAGGCTTATGCTACATAAACTGTTTGCATATTTGCTATGTTGGACATATGAGATAGAAGGAATGGAACAGTTGGCCAAGACAGAGTTGAGAAAAATCACAAATATGTTGACAAGTGTGTAGTTTGCAGCAAAGTTAATGTACAACGACGCACAATAAAGGGAGAGCGCGGCATGGATGGAGAAATTTCAGAATCTATTTCGAACTCACAGATTAATTCCACGTTTCTTAGCTTTTATCTTATACATTCGTAATTTTTCACATTTCAAATTCTCGAGTACTCGTCTCATATTCCGTAGGTCATATCATCGCACCCTAAATAAATACATGTATTCTTTTCAACTCGATGTGCTTGTAGTTCAGTGTAGTTTAGTGTTGAGTAGTGTAGTGTAGTGTAGTGTACGATATAACGCAGTGACTTGTAGACGAAACGCTGTATAGATTATTCTTGTGAATGGAGCATTCACATTTTGACAAACCATGATGAGGTTGTATATTCAATAATGAAAACGGGCAAATAGATTTATGTTTTTATTAACATAGAGTTGACATTTTGTATGCACCATTCGCATTCATTTGACTTATCTTCTTAAAATGTGGCTTCGTGTAGTTTTTAGCTCCGTGTACCTTTTCACTTTAAAGCTAAAAAGCTAAAGCCTCAGCCCTTTTTGTTCAACTGCGGTCGTACGCCAACCGTAGCTTCACAAAATCTATATGGAAAATATATATATCGTACATTGTATTACTTATCCCTGTATTTCATGCTGCGTATTTCTCTCGATTTTGGGAAGCTACGGTCGCCGTACGGCTGCCGTAGATCAAATGTGACAGAGGCTTTTCTGAACTCAGCGTATTGAGTAAGTGGTTATAGTTGACTATAGTGTTATAGTTTACTATGTTAAGTCATTGTATTCCACATTTACATTCTAACAGATGCCATCATTGAATTAACAGGAAGTGATTAGCACGTGGGGAATATTAATTAGGATTTAAGGAAGACAACTTGCCGCCACATAAAGGAAACGTTTCATATTAATTTCTGATGCTGTAATTGCTATTAGAGCAAACCTTTATTGATGTAACTACTATTGTCAATAGCAATTAATAGTATGTCGCTTGATCCTAATTGAACGTAGATATTTATATGCTTGAATATCAAAACCGTGTATATTTATCCATCATGCATCCTGATTGCCACCGAAGAAAGTTGGGCTCATTATATATGCACTGTGCGTAATTCCCCAAAATCCATTTATAAATTGTAAATTGGATTGCATATATTATTGTATGGTGGCAGGCCCAAGTTGTAAAATAAAAAACAACAACAAATAAACCTATATTCCAAATTTTGGGAGGGGAGTGTAGTTCCTCATATACTATAGAAGCCATGCCATGAAGACTATAAAGAAATATGAATAAAAAATGCATGTCCATATAAAAATCCATATATGGTTGTTTTGACAATTCGAAAAATAAAAGTTGTTTCCTTATTTTTTCAATTGATATTCAGATATTGTCAAAAAACGGGAACTTGACAGCAATTTCCATCGACTTTTTAATATCCTTTTGCGGAACATCATTTGAGCCGAGTATGGGATTGTTGAAAGTCTGCTAGAGGTTGAATTAATTAGTGTCACGCGTGTGTCAGAGATAACCAGATATACATGATAATGCAATCACTATAGACGGGATGAGCAACAAGGTGTGTAATAACTTATTAATAACTTGAAAAGTAAAGGGTATGGAGGTCGAGCGCATCAAACTAGAAAATGCAAGGACGTATAATTTTGAAATTTTTGAGTTTTTCAAACAGAGTAAAACAATAATCTTTAATTAAGGTGCTACAGGGATAAAAAACGAGTTGAGAGTTCGAGTAACTGTCAAAAAATCTCATTATTACACGATATTTTGGCATCGATATAGGTTATAAAGCGTACTTTCCCCTTTTCAATGTTAATGAGTATTTCTGCACTTTACATCATCAATAACTTCCACTTTTGATCAGAAATATCATTTTCAGATAATGAGATTAGGATTATAACGGAAACGTTGGTATGGTTTTTGAAAAGATCGCTTCCAACATTTTACACCCTATATTCTTTGCTACCACTTTAATTAAGAAGCGAACTAGGTTCGGGTCGTTTTTATTGGTGATGTATTGGATATGTCGGATACCAAAACTGAAATCAATGCAAAAAGAAAATGATAGGAATCGATCCGCAATTCAAGTGTTATACTAAATGGAACTCAAGTTCTTTCGTTACTTTATATCATTGCATGGTTCGCCAACTAATTAAGAAGGTCTTTGTGACACTGTGAGTCATCGTATTTATCAGGATTATATCAATTCGCAAGAATTCATCAACGTGGAATAATATTAATAATTTGTAGAATTGCAATTACCAATGCTTATGATTCATGATTCATGGTTGAAATAGTGTCTATCCTATTAAATGAAATAGTACTCCGTATTCACGCTATTTATGATTCATCAGTTTCACATGCATATATTAATATAATAGCTCGACTTAATGCACCAGGTGGCCATTGTTTGTAAATGGATTTTTCTATCAATTAGTCAATATTACATCTGTTTAGTTATATGTGGCTCATCATCAAGACTACTGATTGGAACCTCTCTCTGATCTGTGCTTTCATTCTTCACCTAGGTTGACTTCGTGAAAACTCATCTCATTCGGCAGCTCGGCTACGTCGAGGGAAGTAAGTACCTTACATCTTATTCGTTATTTGTTTAATTCATATGTTATTTTGTTTATTTCATTTTTTCACTGGTGAGTTTTCAGGGTCTTTTCATCGCGCATTCGTTGTAGATATTCGTACCATACCATTATACCTACCATGTCCTTCAACTCTCAGGATATCTCATACTTGATTTTAAAGTAGTCTTTGAATATATTTAGTCCGCTCGTACTGCGTGATTCCATAGATTCGTAAAAATAAAGCAAAGACAAGGAGTTATGTTTATTAAAAAGAAAAATTCAGAAATTATTAATAATTACTATCAACAATTCTAAAACAGTTAACATTTTCAGAATTAGATATAAAAAGTTGCAAAACCACGAAGTTCAGCAAAAGCCATTTGCTTGTCAGTGATTTATATACCGAGAACAGTTTTGAATGCCGTTATGTCCAGTTATTCTATGTTCCAGATAAACCAATGAGAAACACCGGGAGTGATCCCACGAGAGCAGCGTTCCAGATACAGCAAAATACATTTAGTAACAAGTTGCCATAAGGGCAACATTATTTCTAATCAACTGAAGACTTTCCATTCCAATCTAGTCAGAATAATGACTCATTTTGAGATTACTTTTGAAGTAGAGATGAAGCTCTAAGTTCGTTACTTGTTGGATGACGCCGCAACGTCATTGGAGGAAACTCTTATTGAAATCTTGTCTCGTATATTTTCTATGGGAGACTTCTAACGATTGGATTGTTTTCGATTGGTTTCACAAAGGGAGTAATTACAACGTCTCAATCAGTAGAAACATTTTTCCACGAGAATACGAAAGCGCATGAATATCACGGTGTCACAGATCATTTCCAGTAGATATTTTATTCCTTCTCTGGAAGCGTTTGCAAATACTCGAACCGCAGAACAAATAAGAAAAAGAGACATAACAGGCTGGAATAGCCGACTAATTAACGAAAGGAAGTTAATAGGATTTATTGACAAACCGACCAGAAATTGATTTGCATTGCAAAACGATGTGTCAATAGACCCGTCTTAAATGAACGTTATAAGCAACGTCGCTGATGAGTGAATGATTATTCTAAGTGAAGGAAAATACAAAATGGAATACACAGAAGATACTTCAAAATAGATATTATTAAATATTTATACGATCCAATAATTCTTAAGGATTACGCATCGCTTGTCAAGCTCCTAGGAATAGTATGAACCAAAATCAAGATTAAATATTTATGTCCTCGTTAAGATAAGACTGAAAAATATAAAAAGAAGCTGCAGCACTGAACGTTTGGAGCAGCTAAAGAGAGTGTTAATACTTCAATACTGTTAATACTTTACAAATATCGTAGACTTAAAACAAGAGATTAACATGGCTTTTGACAGTCGATATCTCCCAATAGTTGATAACAACCACAATGCAAGTTACGTCCTGGACTGCCCGAGTAAGGATAATGTTCACTGTGACGATGTAACCACCCAGGCAACGATAGGTTCTCATAGCACCGATGTGAACTGGGAGAATACTACCAAAGAAGTCCTTCTATACGCCTACCCCGTTATCTTTCTAACTGCCATCATACTGAACTTTGTTGGAATCGTTGTACTGGGGAAACAGGTTCGCTTCTCCTCGGATGTGTACTTGCTTGGCTTCTGTATCGCCAGTTTGTTTCTTGCAATCTGTGGAGTTATGTTACATCTTCCTACGTATGTCGGATACTACAACCTGTACGCTTACATGTACGGCTACGTCATGACGTTGAGGACTTGGTTCTGGTTCACGTTATTATGGCTTTTGATAGTTATGACTTTGGAACGTAGTTTGACCGTCACGCAAAAACGCCACAAGTCTCTATGTAGCGTCACCAAAGCAAGTGTTGTAACAATTATGGTGTACATCGTTTGCATGGTGAGTGCGTTGCCCCAATTTTGGGAGTATGACGTCATCGAGGTACACGACGTTAGATCTAATTCAACTATCGCGCATGCGCAACATTCTGGCGCGATTCACACTTGGATGGAGTGTAAGATAGTGTATTTCTGGTACGTTACAACAATCACAATATTCCTACCCTACCCTATCTTAGCGATCATGACCATCCTACTAATAAGAGAGGCAGTAAAGGCATCGAAAGAAGGCGCTACAAGGATATCATTTGACAACGTCACCGGGCAAATTCTGCACCATAAAAACAGAGAAGATAGTGGTATAACGAAACTTTTTGCCATCATGGCCATTTTATACTTGGTGCTAACAGGGCCCAGTGTATTCCTCGAGTTAATTGCTACAATCACGCGAATCGTGAACGGGCGTTCCACGTTTTACATATTACTCAAAGAAGTGTTCGGAGTTTTGTTCTACAGTAACGTTAGTTTAAGTTTCTTCCTGTATGTTGGTTGTAGTTCTAGGTTTAGGAGCAATTTGAGGAACCTTTGCAGGTGTTGCAAACATGACGAGAGCTCCTTGCACAGCCACGTTCTTTTGAAACAGTCTTCAGTCTAAACATTTAGAACGCCTCCGAAAGCTAAAACAGTTTTTGACATTTTATCAAAGGCGAAGTCGACAATCAACGCGTGCATTGGCGTCTTGTATAGAATCGTGTCTACTTTGGACACACGTCATTGACGTTCAAATTCAAGCATGTGATTTTGGATGTTTTATATTAATACAAGGCAAAGTCTGCATTGAATATATTATATCAGTGTACTACTGATTTGTGAAAAGTAAGCGGTAATATAACATCGGTGCATTGCAAACTCTAGTATGTCTCTGTTTCCGTCTGTCATTTGCAATGTTTTCGTTGTAATTTCGTCTGGTGCAATTTGCGAAGTGACAAGTTGGCCTATCCACATTTTGCACTATATGCAATGGACTATGTTGAAGTAGTAGTAATGGAAGTACGCTCGTATGTACGTACCAGTGATGGCATCCCCGGGATGGAATTAATTCGTTACATTGATGTTCGTCTTGTAATTTGAATCATTATCATTGGACACGTTGACGTTGTATGTTACACGTTTTACATGATTATTGTATAAGCTTTGTAAGCTTTAGCTTTTTCATTATTGGATTCATTGATATATAATATTTACGTCTGCTTCTGGTTTTTACGTTTTGTCTTGTGTTTCTCGATAGGGGACACCATTTAAAGAGTCTTGGCCTATTTAAATTGAACACATTGAAGCAGTGCATCAGTTTTTATGTCGTGTCGTAATAATTGTAATGTACAATGGCGTCTTATGACTTCCATCAACGCCAATCATAATGTACGCATCAGAGTACGTCTATGTATATTGGTGAAACGAGGGAGTTCAGGTCAGGCCATAACTTTCAAATAGTGGGTGATATCTGGTCTCCTCCATCAGTGTATTAAAACTACGCAACCGAAACTACAATTGTACTTCTACCTCGAGTTCTGGACTTTTGCCTATCATTCAAGTCAAAAAATAAAATATCTTTTGTCAGGTGCAATAGTCAAAATATTTTGATTAATTGCACTCGATTGTTCCGATCGAGTAAAATAGCATTTTAAATCGTTACAAGTATTTAAAGTTTCATTTAATATAACCACCAATTGAACTTTGCATGCTTATGTAATGACCCGAGGGCGCCCCAGGGGAATAACTAATTAACTAACGACTATAACGAGCATAGTGTAACAAGCCAGATAAAGAAATTGAATGAAAGTGTGCTAAATCCAATGCCCCGTGTGGGAATCGAACCTAGGACCCTTGGATCCGAAGTCTGATGCTCTACCGACTGAGCTATAAAGGCTTAAGCCACTACAGCTGGGCCGTAGTAGCAACTTGCTATCAAGGGTCGTTACACTTAGAACGACGAATTTTTAACAAGGAAAGTTAGGCCTAGACAAATTAGATGTCTGTTTTGTGGCATACCAAAAAATCCACAAAACAGAAAATTAACATGTGGTCTTAAATGATGATTTTGATATTTGAATGTAGTGAAGATGATGTGGAAAATAAAGTCAATCAATTAAAAAATAAAATTTCTTCATCCATTATTCATAAAATGAGAATTGTACTTTGCATGTGTTAAAGGGCTAATAGCGGAAATCGGGAATAAACCAAAACAATTTATTTCTATTACATTGAAGCGTGAAACAGTCGATCATGTTAAAAGTGAATTTGTGTCCTTTAAATTGAACAAGGTGCAAGTACTATTTTCAATTTCGAAAATACAAAACTACAAATCTGAAACAAACTTAGATAGGCACGCAGTTTGCAAATATTAGACACGCAGTCTGAGAAATCCATGTTAATGTAGGCACGCAGTTTGATAGAAAAAAGTAAAAAAATCCAATTTACATGTCATATTGCTTACTAGATGCTGGGTGAGGACTGAGGACCATTTGCAAGCTTGATAATATAATTTCTCTGAAATAAGGTTTATATTTTGTGTAGGTTCAAGAACCTGTTTTATATGTCTCTGCAAGAACATATCATTATGATGTGCTAGTTCTACTGTCGGTCGTTTAATAAAAGTTACGTTTCTACGACGTTGGCCATTTTTACCACCCCCCTTCCTCCTTTCTCCCAGACTACTTTCAAGATCTAAGTGAAGGCTGTTAATATTGTCAGCTATAGTGGATTCATTTACTTAGTAATATGATTGTTAAGCCTGCTCCCCTTTATCCTTGACAAAATCAGAAAATGGAAATGGAATTACTGTCTCTAGGGATATGCCTGAACCTTTGAACCTGTAGAGACTAAACGTTAATTTACGAAAAAATGACAATTAATTGGGAAAACTCCAAAGGATGATAGCGGAGGAAATTGGCACGAGACTGCTCGTGAATATCTATCTGGTGACTCTCACTATAGGGCCATGTCTCATTATTGCTTCATCTATTGTAGTAAAAAATGCAATGAGTAATTTAAAATAGCACTTCAAATAACAGATTTTTCATTGTACCGATGGTCGTTAGGCCGTTAGGATACCCTTTAAAACAACTTTAACCCCGCACAATATACAGATATACAGGGTATCATTCAAGTTGCTCTCGCTTTTTTGCAATAACTTGGTCAATAGTATTGCTTGTGATGCACATATGATCTTGAAAATAAAGCACTGTTTACGCCGACATGCGCATGCCCTGGCATCAAGTTGTCAGTCTTGACAGGTATAGTTGACAAAAAATAAAAATAAAATTAAAATGCAAGCGTTCTAGTTTTCTGTCATCCGGCTGAAAAGCGAGGCAAATGATTATGTCATTTCCACATTGTTTGTTTACTTTTTGAAACTATACTCGTAAAAGCTTCTCTTATTTGAGAATTTCACTTTCTCCAACTTTTCAAACAGATCAAGATATACTTATACATCAGCTATGTTGTCAATGTTGTTTTAAATTGCTTGTAGTTTAAAAAATTTTAAATTGTAAATCGAGCTTTCTCATTTTCTACCATTTTATTCGTTATAAGAAGAGATGCGATGACTTATCAGAATTTTTTTTAATTTTCAAAAATGTTGGGTTTTCAACGTATTCATTTGGTAATCCTGCAATGCATACATTAATTTTTCTGTATGACGTTCACATTATTAGACTTATACAGGGTACTATACTTAAAATAGAGATTTTTGGCATTTCCATATTAGATGTCGAATAAACTTTAAAATGATTCTAGAACTACTAAAATTCTGAGGGTTGATATTGATGACAAGGTGATAATCACATCTGGTAAGTTCACACGATAACACATATACTGTCCATGATACAGGGACTGAATCCTGCATGTCACCTGTCAACATGTGAGAAGATACATATGGGACATATACCAACTTGTTTTCTGATTTGAAACGAGCGTTTGAATGTGTAAAGGTCAGCAATTGGCAAATTGACAGAGATGGTACTGTTTTGCTATCATAAATAGCCGAATATCAGACGGAAAGGATGACAGAAGACGCAAAATACATCGCAGGTGGCGAATAGGTGCAAAAACGGAAATTCTCTAAAATAGCGTTTGGTCTGCAATTTAGATATGGAACTGAACACTTCATATTCGTTTAATGAAACACAGACATCTGGTACTGTCATATTATGTAAAGGATCTGGACAATGGTTCTTATTTTTGTCTTCTTCAATCGTAACGTTTGTTATTGGTTTATTCGCGATACTTATCTTTCGTTTGGTACGGTATGCAACATACAGGACACCAAACCAAAGGATCCTATTGACTCCGAAAGACCGTACATCAAGTGAAGATATATCTTCAAGGGGCTCTAGAACGTCCCCTCAAGAAAAAATTAAACTGTATGATGGTTTATCAAATAGCACCAGGAGGAATGGTTGTACAGACTGTATATGGCTGCGGATACAAGAAAAAACAAGGGACATTGCTTCTGGGCAAACCCTTGCAGGCAAATTGGTAGTAAGTATTTCGTATTTCTATTTCAATAGATTTTTATGGTTTTATGGATTTTCAATGAAAATGTGATTTTACAATGAATTGATAGTTCGAGACCATTGTACACCTTAATTTTATACTTGGCAAGGATCTGCAAGGTATTTTTGTATAAATATATTGATGACAGTGTGCATGTCTGCTACATAAATAGAATTTAACCAACCGAAAAATAAATGTTTTGAACACAGCTAGCGTTAAATGGGCCACCAAGGAGCGTTATTTTTTGCAACCGAATAACCCATGATGTACTTTTAAAGTTACGCTTTATTGCGCTGGATGATTTGTTTTTGTAAAATGCATGAAGTATAACAGTGACAGAATTTTAATATTCATATTGCATGTGCTTTAACCCAAATCAAAACATGGCGTCAGATAAACAAAACTACTTTCAATGATTACGTAATTTTGAAATATACAGGTTAGGCCAGAAAACATCCATATTTTAAAATCTTTTTTGAAAATGCACTACGATGAAATTTTCACAGGGACGTAGGAATCACTTTTGCATTTGTGCCAGTCATACACTTGTTCAGGGGCTTCTGAATAATAAAAAAAGGTAAACAGACACTAGTATCTATCTGCAAATATAGTTTTCAGTTTTCAGGAAGATATTCGAAAAGTAATTTTACACTGATAGTCATGCCTCATATTATTGTACCAGACTGACACACTGTTCAATCTGAAACACATTGAGTATTTTGATCTTAATTTATTTTTAGACAAAAATGGAATATTATAAGTGCAATCACACAAATAAGTAAGATTAAGAAAAATTAGTTAACAACAGAAACGGTTTTCTGACAAAAAAGCACATTTGCACTTAGAATTCGGCCTACCAGTTCCGTTATTCTTCTTTATTGATCTCAATACATTCCAAAATACTTCAATTTTTATCAGAAATAAAAAGTGCAATAGTGTAAGCACCATACGTAATATACCTCTCTGACTGACTCTGTAGATGTCAATTTTGTACTGTTACTTGACTTAAAACCTTGTCACACAGTGTGCACGGTCTTGTAGCTAGACTTTATTATTTGAGGCATGACCAATATATAATTCTTATTCAGAAACCGCTGAAAAGTTGTCCTAATTCAGAAACAGTAATGTTGCAAAATTACTTCCTGCATCTCAGCAAATCCTATGCATTATTTAAGTTGAAAAATTTTTTTTTGGCCCACCCTGCACAAATGCCTCTAATATAGCACATTATAGCGCATTTAGTAATTTGTCACATTGAGTGACCAACAGTGTTTTAGTACTTGTACATGTATCATGTTTTAAATCTATACAATCCTAACATTTACAATGTGTCGACTTAACGAGGGATAAAATTCAAAAGCCTAAACGCCAAATAAACTCAAGTATCTCATCGGAGCGAAAAATCACCAAGGACACTACTAAAAGCACGTTTTTGACATCATTTGGAGATAAAAATGCAGTTAAATAAATTTATTAAAAAATTATAAAGCATGCGAATTTGAATGAGACCACCTTAGAGTGTATAATTTAGCTTTAACTATAAGAAACGCCACCTTGATCTGCTGAAGTATCATCCGGGTATCAGTTGCTGAACTCCCTATAATTTGTGTCACTGTCCAAATGAATTCATGTTTCCAGGTGACGATGAGCACGGTAGCCAGCACACTCTCCTTCATCCTTTACCTCATTGACGCTACACGGTATGGTACACAAACAAACTTTTGTTCCTTTTAAGTTACTTTTGTTCCTTTTAAGTTACTTTTGTTCCTTTTTATTAGTTATCCGCCGTTTGTTGTGTTTTGTTTTGTTAATTTGGGTTAGTTTGCAATCGATTCTATTATGCATAATAAGCTTCAAATTGACTTTCGAATATGTACCTTTCAGCTATGGAGAGGATTCCTACTTGCACTTGGAGACATGCACGCCCTTCTTCCAAAACCCCACCCAGATTATTGACTTCATCCTCAACCTTTATCTCCTGGCTTATTTTGTTCTTCGAGTATGTAATTGTTTATTTTCATACTTATCCGTGCACCAACTGTTGAACACGTTTTTAAACAGCAATGCATTCATTAATATCTCTCATGGCATCATAGTCGTCATCGAAATCCGTGTTTTCTTTTCATTTTTCAGTTCATCGCTGCGAGCAATCGTTTACTATTTTGGGTCCAATTGTTCTCGTTCGTCGATTACTTTACCATCCCATGTGGATTCGTTGGCGTTGTACTAGGAAGAAACTGGTTAGGTATACAGTCGATGCGTGTATGCATATTAAAGTACAACAGCTTGTTTCTAATGGGAATGTCATCGCAGCAATGTATCTAACTGGAAGACAAACTCCATCCATTCATCTTCATCCGTACATTAGATTCATATCCAGGTGCTACTAGATATAGTATATGCCATATTCTATATGTTTTAGGTCTACGATTTACGAGGGTCATGATCATATACCAAATCCCAAATGTGCTTCAACAATGGAATCTTCTAACGAATAGCAGAAATATTAAGAAGGCAAAATTCTTCATGTTGTTCCTATCAGTTTGGGTAGGAAGCGCTGGGTTCGTTCATCTGGTAAGATTTGTGTGTCTCTTCTCTTCTCTAGATAAAATAAAGAATATGACACAATTTCAGCAAATAGATAAGGTTTGTTATCATGTTTTGAGTTGTCTTGAGTTGAATTACGGAGTCAAGTAATCATATTTGGAGTTTCGAAGTTAACTTTGAATTTTATTAATAGGTCAGTATGAAAATGGCTGAATTACTTCATTGGGTAAAATTTTAAATGCCACTATTTAAATAATTTTATTGATTGAAATAATAAATACCTTCGTTTGACCATTCTATGGATTTATCAGAAAAATTTGAACAAGGCATTTAAATGAAAAATGTCACTACCTGCCATTTGTTAAATACGCTGTACGCCGGCCGCTAAACACCGTTCACAAAAAGTTGGAGACCATTTTCTGCTGTCTTCTATTTTAGGTAGAGAATGCTGGAGGACACAAGCTGACCTATTGGGACTGTGTATACTTTCTTATAGTCAGCATGAGTACAGTTGGCTATGGAGACATCTCTTGTAGGACCACACTTGGCAAGATTTTTATTGTCATCTTCATCGTTAGCGCTATAGTAAGTCAATCTAGAGTTGTCCTAAACAAGGGCTGAGCTATTTTTCTTAGAGCAGATGGTCCATATGACATTACGGACCAGTTGCCATTATTTTCTTATACATGGAAAAGAATCAACCAGTCCGTTTCAATTAAGGCAATCTGGCAATGACCAGTGGACCGGCCCCTACCTTAGCTCAAGCCCTGGGCTATCTAACTAGCTCACAACTACACTTGCTCAGTTTGAGGATATTACCCATTGTTACATTGACCTGGCTAAAAATGCAGCAAGATATTGTAGCCTTACTACAAGCCCTTGTGTCCCCCCCTCCCACTACAACAACTGTGTGAGAGCTGAGTTAGGTACAAGGGGGGGGGGCAGAGGCTTGTAGCTAGACATTGCCGTTAAAACTGAAATGCAAATGTTTTCCGACAATGTAAATCGGGCAACCAGCTTGGATACGCAAATGCATGATATGATATGTTTTAATGTATTCTCCACTAGGCATTATTCACAAGCGTACTACCTGAACTTGTAGAACTTATTTCGAGCCGGAACAAATATGGAGGAACCTACAAAAAGAAATATGACAGGTGAATGAAGGTCTTCCTCATGATTCGGTTATTCTTTAGGCTTTACTTTCTTCAGTTGCTTTAGTTTTTTCTTTACTAACCATTTCTTTATTCGGTACTTCATTTCATTTGAAATTTACACTCTGTACATTTTCTGCACATTTATAGAATTAATACATTGACCCCTAATCTAACTTGGTTCTAACTACACTCTTCTAGAATGGGAATCACTGGAGGATCAAAGGGAGCAGCCAGGTACGTTATTGCACATTGCTGCACCAAACTCCCAGGGCAGGGCAAGTCTTCGAAACACCACTGCGACCGGCATATGTACTATGCCAAACGTGTGGGTCGCCATTTTGAAAACTCATTTACATTTTAAATGCTTTCAAATAAATTATTTTCCTCTTTTTACGATTTAAAATATGATAAATGACCACAACACTTTAAATCTTAATCCTTTACTTTATATGATAAATTAAAGAGACTAATTCGAAGTATAGTATATGTTGGCGACTTGCGCCCAGGGAGTTTGGATGCTACAACTGATTTTCCACAAAAAGTATGATTCTAATACTAAAAAGTCCATAAAATAACATGCATAGTACTATATACTAGAAATACTAATTTATTCCGTTTTTGAACAATCTGTAATATAAAAATTACAAAACTGGCCGTACCAAGGTTTTATTAACCTATCGCTTTTGTTCCATTTAGGCACGTTGTAGTCTGTGGCCATATCACGTACGAAACTGTGAGCAGATTTCTTCGAGATTTCCTCCATGGTGACAGGGAAGTTAAAGACATCAACATTGTCTTTCTTTCAAAGTAAGTGCCACTTGACTGACTTTGGCTGATTATTGATTTCCAGTGATTTTAACAATAGTTTATATGAATATAATATATATAAAGGAGCACGTAGGTTATCGCAAACAATTTCAAATGATTCTAACTTGAATTATGAATATTTTCTGATCATGAACATGGGTGTATCTTTTAGATCCATTCATTATCTTCAAGAAAAGTATATATAATGATAATTTAGTTAATCAGACCTAAGTTATATTGAAGGGGCAATGGACCAATCAACATACTTTTTCAAAAATGTTGACCTAATTTTCACCAAAAATGCAACCTATTATTATATTGTTGAATGCATAATTAGAATGTGCTTTGAGACATGTTCGATTTCCTAAAGGGAAAATTTGATTGCTCCAGGGAATTTAAAGAAATTCAATTTGAATGACCAAAATGAACTGAAACCAATGGATAGCATGAGATTTTTCAATGGAGAAATAACATGGGGAACACTTATCTTGAAGCAATTAAGTTTTTCTTTCAAGAACTATTTGATACATCAAAATAAAAAATAGTAATGCATTAAACATTGTAAAAAATGATTGCATTTTTGGTGAAAATGGGGTCAACATCTTTGAAAAAGTGTGTTGATGGGTTAATTGCTAGTTAAATATCTCCGAGTTTTTTTTAATTTATTATAACTACATGCATAATTTTCTTTGAGATAATGAATTGATCTAAAAGATAAACTTGTCTTCATTGTCAGAAAATAGTCATAATCCAAGATATAACCTTCTGAAATTGTTTGCGATAACCCACGTGCTCCTTTTATATATTAAATTATGTATTGGTGTTGCAATCTGTTCTATCTATAATACACCAGTGCACTCGTTTTGCGTAATTACATATAAACCGTACTAACATCATTTCCTATCATTTATATTCAGTATGTACATGTACATTTACATTTAAATACAGATCATTAACAATAAATTTAAATTGATATTTTCCAGGAAACATCCAGATGTCGAATTGAAAGCACTTATTAAGAGTCAGTTCACATATGTAAAATATTACCAAGGCAACGCTATAAATGCTGCTGACCTGGAGAGGGTTAAAGTATGTATCATATTTGCACACATAAGCTTACGAGTAGCTAGGTATACTGTATATCATGGCATAATATAAGAAAAAAGTCAAACATGTTGTGCAAAAGGTGTACTTTCAAGCTCAAGCTAGTATTAACTATCAACTACCTTATTTTTAACTACATACAATGCAACTAACGTAACTTCACTTTTTGGGGTTTTAAATACTTACAAAGCCACGCATTAAAAGGTTGGGTATCGACGGTACGTGCATCTCTCACATAAGATCAATGAAAAAATCCCAATGGCTTATAACTGTTTCAAAAATGTACAGAACCTTCTTTTCTTTATTCTTTTTCTATTTCACTTTCTTTGTTTTAGTTGAAAGAATGTGATGCCTGTCTAGTGCTTACAAATAAACAATGCATTGATCCCGATGCTGAGGATGCCGCGAACATCATGCGAGTTATAGCTGTAAAAGACTATTGTGAGAAAACGAGAATGATTGTACAACTCATGCTTCACAGAAATAAGGTACTAACTATAATCTACATAATGTTTTTCATAAAATATCATTGAACATTTATTGAACATTTATTGAACATTACTACCATTGCACCATTGCATGCATATGTTATGCAAAATTAAGAATACTTTTCTGTGAATTACCTGAAAGTAATGTTAACTATTTAGAGATAAATAAAGTATTTTTAGATAATAGATGGAACTAAGCATTCATTACATATGGCCCAACAATTGGGTGCCCTGAACTACACTATATCTGCCATCTTTATAGTGGCCTAAAACATATCTGTTCTAGAACCATTTGGTGAACATCGCCGGGTGGCATATGGGGAGAGATGAAGTTATATGTATGTCGGAATTGGAAATGGCGTTCATTGCTCAAAGTTGTATAGCACCAGGGATTTCTACGATGATGGCCAATCTTTTCATGATGATTTCAACTAAGGTGAATGCTGTCATTTTCATAACTTGGAAATACTTCAATGAATATATTTCAATGAGTTGAGCAAAGATACAAAGTTTAAATGTCGTAAAATCGTACAAATAGACTCAATTTAGGATTTATTTATTTTTAAAATGAATAATATTTTTTTTATACTTACTAGCATGATGAAGGATCCAAACATCGACGCCGGGTATGCTTTAATACAATGTACATATGTGCACAAATCTACTGTTAATCCATCCATTCATTGAACTATACAGAAATCTTAAAGAATGCGATCAATAAACGCGACACTCGCACCTCTCCAATGGTAATGGTATACCACCACCAGATTATGGAATCCAATAGCATCATTTCTTACACCTTAATAAGGCTTTACACCCTACGTTGCACAAGTACCCATACTATACTGTTTTCTGTCTTTGGATTCCCGTTTTTCAATTTTTGAAACCATTTTCAAAGTTACTGCGGATGCAATGAACACACTCTACTAACAATGCGTTCGGGTGATCTTTGAAAAATACAAATTCAAAAGTACCTATGTATTAATTAAACGATGAAGCGAATCCCATAAAAGCCCAGTGCAAAGTTTGAAAATATAGTTTAACCATTCAAATTTTATGACTCGAAAAACTACTTGAGACATTTTTGAAAAATGTGACTGTTGAAAAAAGTTCTTATATTTTTCAAATATTTGAATTTCCCGCCATTCAGAAACAACAATAGAGATTTTAGATCATCAGATACGACACTTAACACCAAAAACATTCTTCTCTCTACTCTATTGCACATAACAGGCAAAACTTGTATATTCTTACCCATCTATGATTTTAAGCATATATAAACTTTTAATTCAACGCATTTTATAAAAATTGTAACGTCGTGAGGATACGTTGTACTATTTTCTAAAAGCTAGACTTTCAAAACCAAAGCAATATTGTTGACATACAAGTATCTAGTATAGGTCGACTTTACATGGGCCGTTCGGTTTCTTTTTATTGGTGTAAACATATTAAACATACCATCATTGATTTTCACACGCAATGATTGCTAGCTCATATGTCCGCCTGCATCGCAGATTCTTCATATTTTAAGTTGAACAATAAAAGAAAATACTTGTATTTTAAGTTCCTTCCTCCATTTTGGGAATGAGCGGAATTCTCGTGAGATTTGATTATGCATAATGCATGAGATTATGCATAATGACAAACTGATTTAATTTTAAACGCAAGCTTGCAATATCTCATCAAGGAGCCCATTTGTTTCCATCGTAATGCATGAAATATCAACACGCCGGTTTTGAGATACTTTTTTCTATTACACTCCTAATCAACATTAAAAACCTCAAGATGTCCCGATAAATAGGCAGACTGGCATATTTCTTGCACCCCATGTGACCCGGGCAAAATAAAATGCTTCATATCAATAAGACTTATGATTTGTAGGATTCAGGGGACTGTCCAGAATGGAAGAAGCAGTTTATCCAAGGTGCAGATTTGGAGATTTATATGGTGCCTCTATCTGACACATTTGTAGGTACACCATTCCCAGCCATAGCTGAGTAAGTTCCTGTTCCAAACTCACGTATTTATATATAAAAGCATAGCCCTGTTATTCTTAGTCCATTATATATCGATATGTTTCGTGCATTCTCTTTGTGCAAGGTTTAAGCTTAATCGTTAGGCGTCGTTAACTGCATAACGCAGTAGTATTCCAGGATGATATGGTCATTTACTCTCCGAATATCATTTGTGTTTAACAACTGACATTCTTGTGATTTTTTGAAGTTTCCAATTCAGGATATGCTACAAAGAGCTTGGCATCTTACTTATTGGTGTTGAGATAAAGAAGCTATACGGGACTGAAATCCTTCTGAACCCCAATTCCAGGGTAGCCATTACTACTGATGTCAAAGCCATACTTCTTGCAAATACGTTAGATGAGGCGAAAAAGTAAGAAAGAAGAATCGAATATGAGAAAACAACTTGCACTCTCAAAAATGACATTACATAAAATGCAAACCTGTCAGAATCTACAATATATCAATTCTTTCAGAGTGACAGATTATGGATGCTCTGTAAATCGATTCATTGGTTCGTTGCACTCGGTTACCGTGACAACGACTTCAGTGACATCGAACAAAATAGGTACATATTGTCTCCCGGATTTTTTTAAGTATATCTTTGCTAATCTTCTTAGTTGAGTACGCTGAGTCTGAAGTTATTCAGGTGAAATTTAGCTCTAAACTTATCTTGTATTCGCGAATGCAACTTTGGCTGTCGGCTACCGGATTAACCCACTATTTTATGGACAACGCATATAAATATGAATAGAACCTGTCACTATTCCATTCATATTTAAATGAGTTGCTCATAAAATAGTAAGTTAATTCGGTAGCCGACAGCCGAAAGTTGCATTCGCAAATACAAGCTAAATTAAATGTCCATATTCAGACTCATCCCCCTGACATTTTCACAACCAATTAATATAAAGAAAATCGTCCTTTTGGATTTTTGCATGAATCTATAAAATACTCGGAATAAAATACAACTTCTCGTATTTAGAAACCCCTTTTAATGCTATTTCTCATTGTTTAATTTATAGACGGAGAGGATAAAAATGAGAACAGTAAGGCCAGTGAACAAATAGCACATCGTCAAACATCTGAAATCGAACCCAGGCCATTAGATCATGATATAACGACGTAAGTCAATAAGATTACATTGATTTGAACTCCCAAAACAAGCTGAAATATAACATATAAATACTCATCCCATATTTTAAATCTGTAGTGTAGTTCGTTGAAAGGTAATGGATACTGAATTTTACAGAAGTATCTTTTCCATTAGCTGCTGTCACGCTTACCCATGGTGATATCTGGTGAGTATGCCTACTCTATACCACAAGCATGATTTAGAAACGTATGTAATTGTTACCGTGCAAGCATATATGATTTAGAAACACATGTAGTTGTTACCGTGCAAGCACATATGATTTAGAAAGATGTGTAGTTGTTACCATACAAGCACACATGATTTAGAAAGATGTGTAGTTGATACCGTACAAGCATATATGATTTATAAAGATGTGTAGTTGTTACCATTCAAGCATATATGATATAAATGATCAAACATATTTAAAGTGCTTACTTTACATGTGGCCCTTGAATATATACTAAAGTTTAAGTTTGATCAATGAATTCACTTTCTTCTTTTGTTGTATTTGTGTTTTGTGAATGATAGCTTCTAGAATATGAAGGTAAGGTAACCATCTTAAACTGAAAACATACTAAATCATGTTAAAATAATACAAATACTAAAGTCCTTTCACTTATTCTAATCAAGGAAATGGTATATGTGGACACGGCAATATTTGTTGTAAAAGAATACGAAACAATTCAGAGCAATAGAAACGAAGAAATATTAGTCCTAATGATTTTCACATTGCGTTTAAGTAAATCAACTGAGAATCCATGTGAGGCTACAGAAGAACTGTTTGATATCACTGGAATGTTCCACTGGTGTCAGCGGAGAACTATAGATGAGGCGAACCTGGTAAGCATATGTGCCTCACAACAATATTAAAACTAGAACTACCATAAGATGTTCGTCTATGTTGGTATGTGTGTATATTTGGAAGTCGGAGACGTTTGGAATCAGTCAAATGACACTTGTCTTAGTAATGCAAAAGGTCAATTTTTGAACATTTAAGTAGAAGATATTGACCCAAAACAAGGATGATAATTGCCACTGTAATACTATATAATTTGCATTGTACTGTACATTATGTCTGTAATATATCTTCAATTGTCAGGAATGATTGAGTTTGTTATGTTTGGCATTTCATTAGCTGGATTCACAAAACAAGCACAGTTTAAGCAACATGAATGGCCACATTGTGGTATGCTTGTTGGCCAAGGCAGATTCTCCACAGATTGGACTGGCTAACTTTGTGAAACCTCTCCGGGCAAGCAACTGGAGACGACATGAGCTAAAAGACATTTTAATCATAGGCCGTTTAGAATACATCAAGCAAGAATGGGCGACATTACAAAATTTTCCAAACGTTTATTTTATAGAGGTAAGACAGTTTTCTGGCATCTTATTGCCGATTTCGATAATTTAATTTTTGATTTTATACTCAGAAATTCCCAGTTACTGAGTCCAACAAAATGACATGTTTTCTATTTTACAGGGTGACCCCCTAGCCAGGACACTACTTCGAATGGGCAAGGTGAACCATTGTAGGATGTGTGTAGCACTGGCAGCTCCCACAAGAAATATTCACGATGATCCGCTCCTACAAGATAAAGAAGTTTTGCTTTGTACTCTCAATATAAAAAAGATGTTGTTTTCAGCAACTAAAAAACTGTCAATCAAAGGTAAAATTTAGATCCAAGAATCTTATTAAAATCATCTTCGCAAGTAAAATCAAAGGAACAGCTAGTCAAAACTAGTCAGTCATACTGCAATAATTTTATGAATATATTATAATCTGAAATTGCAGATGCGGACTCAACATTTTTGGAGGAAATGCAATCATGGACAGTACAAGGGTCTCAGATTGTACCAATCCTCACCAAATTAGGTATGCCAACTGTATCGCAAATATCATATTTATAAAGTAAATGAAATTGAGTTATTTGAAATACATTACCAGAGTAATAAATAAATCTACACAGGCATCAGATTTATTGATATATCGATGGAAGAATTGAACATGAGTTTGCATAAATTGCTAAATGCACAACACGGATTTTTTCATATAATATTTTCCATTGGGGTTTCTTCCTTATTATTTACCCAAGATACAAGTTTAAATCCATTGCGTTGTCAGTGACGTTCCCTAAATGTGCTTTCCACGAACTTCAGAAAACGATTCAGCTGTTCAATTCCTTGAACAAGATGACGATGAAGATGAGAGTGAAGAATTCTACATGACAAAAGCTTTTGCTTGTGGACGAGTCTTCGCAGTATCAGTACTTGACTCACTAATGAGCGCAGTGAGAAAATAAATAAATACCTTAATCTAATAATGTAAAATATGTTTTACCAAAGCGAATTATTACATTTGAGAAGAACGTACATAGCTCCTATAAACGGTATACCTAGATAGTAGAATTATTATAATGCCTGGTAAATTTTTGTCACTTGCAAAAGCGCTTGTTGAAACATTTGAAGCACCGATTCCAGATGAGTCCAATTTATATATCTTTATTCTGGCTTTATGGCATATACTCCCTTGAAAAACACAGTTCTTGGACATAATAAAGTCAAGTATAAGAATACGACACTAACATTTTGGTATATGTTCATTGCCAGATCTATTTCAATAAAAATGTGTTGAACTTGATCGACTCCTTGATAACTGGAGGAAGCATCCCTGAACTTGATCTTGTATTGGCCGAGGGTGTCGGGATGCTACCAGGGTCAAGAAAAAACATAGAAGATAGACGCAATCGCTGTCGTATCACACAGGTTTCTTTTGATGATGAACCTTTACAACAGTTCAATATAACAGAGGTGAATATACCTTGAATCAATATTCATTATAGTTATTCCAATTTGTTATCCTTTCAAATCGTATGATTTTGCTTGTTTAAAAGAGAGCTTCATCTTCACCTCATGTACTAACCCCCGACACATAGGGTAATTAATTAATTAATTATTTAATTCATGAGTGAAGATTTATACCGGCCGTATTCTAGACTTTCGTCTTTATTAGAAGCTGTAAATTATGCTAATACGTTATATATTTGTATCTTGCAATCACCACGCATAGTTAATTTTTTGCAGATGGGTTCCTCATATGGGTCACTTGTTCTATGGGCTCTAAAAAAACATGGCATACTTTGCCTAGGGTTGTATCGTCTTCTAAATAATAACAACAACATATCTTCATCAGAAGTAAAACACAAAAGATACGTCGTTACAAATCCCCCAATGGACTTCATGCTTTACAAATCAGACAGGGTAAGTCTAGAATCTGAACACCCTCCACATAAAATAATCATGAAGATTCCTTAATTATTGAGAGAGTTATTCCAAAATTAGTGGGTGGCATTTTTTTTGGGGGGGGGGGTCACTCTGCAGTTACAAAATGTGAAGTCATCAACATTGAAACAATTTGAAATAATTCATTAGGAATTTTTCCAAGAATATAAATCTGCTTCCCAAGTTATAAACCGACCCCTGGTGCTACTCATTTGCCATATAAGGGTACGTTGACCGAGTGTTGATCGATATCGAGATCAAATTTGACCGTTTAAAGTTTTAAAGAAGTCGAATTTGTAAAATGTATATGTTGAGGTAAAATCTATCAAAACAATATAACAGTATAGAATCCTAATAGACTAGCTATATAACTCTCTCTCTCTCAAAGCTATAGAACTTTCAAAGTCAAAGGTCACTATCTAGGTCGTTAAGTTTCTTCTTCCAGATCAAAAGATCTGAAGATTGGAATCTGGAATAATAACCGAATTGAAAACCACATGTCATGTTATATATTAGACTGAGCATTATTTAATTATGTGTATCAACCTTTTAGGTGTATTGTATCGAACCCTACTATAAGCAGCAGCATGAAACCAGGAAGTGAAAAAAACAAAATATGCAGTATTTACCAATTGCCCAATTATTCATCCCTGAATCTGTGACTTTAGAAGTATAAGACTTGTATATTATATACCGTAACTGTACAAACCTTACCAAATGTATATACTTTACCAAAATTGATAATTTAAATGTATATATTGAACAAAGTTATTGGCTTCTATACTTAATAAAGATAAAGATTTTACTTGAAGGATGTTTATTTAGTACTTGATAAGAACCATCCTCTGTTGGAGTTGCATATACATGTATAATTTATGCATTATCTACGCAAACTTTTCATATTTGTAAGTGTACTTATTGGGTAGAATGTTACTATATCACTGTTCTACAACTAGTTACTTTGACCGAACGTCAATGTAACAAAATGGATGAACTTCCTGGATACGAGTTTCTTGTTTTCTCGATTTAAACTTACGTATAAGTCATGTTGCGAATTATCATTTGGCACAAAGTTAGAAGATGTAGTCTAGCAATAAGAACTGCTCTCGGTTTGGAATTTGAATTTGATTTTTAAATAATGCTGTAATTCATGCATTTAGACAATCGCTTTTGTTACATTGACGTAAGTCGTCAAAGTAACATACATTGGTAATATAACAGACTTTCGTCAATGTAACAAAAGCGAGGGGCTAAATATATGAATTGCAACTTCATTTACAAACAAATCCCAAATCGACGAAACTTATTAAAACTAATCTATATTTTTAGCTTTGTGCCAAATTATAATCTGTAACTTGACATATAAGTAGTTTAAATCGAGAAAACAAAAAACTCGTAATCAGGAAGTTCATCCATTTTGTTACATTGACGTTCCGTCAAAGTAACCAGTTGTGGAACAGTGTATATAGAAGGGCACTATGGCCAATTTTTAGATAAACTGTAGTAAAGCGCAACAATTACAGGGTGACCCAAAAAAATGCAACCCTCCATTTCTTCAATATTTTTCTTAAATGGAGGTTAATTGCTCTGAAATTTGGCACACAAGAACTTCATTCAATGTGGGATTCTCTGGCAAAGTTTCAATAATCATAGTCTTATATTGATAGAGTTATGGTCGTTCCAAAATATGCTCCAAATATCGTCCATTTCCAATGTTAGGTTTTTGGATGAATCCCATTCCCTTCTTTCTGAACATTTTAACTCAAGAAATAATGTGTTCTGGGATCACAAATTCTCCCTTTCGCAATTCGCTCTTTGAATCAGAACGTTCGCAAATATGTACTGAAAAATCACTCAAAAAGGACAAAATTTGATTGGTCAATATTTTCTCATTGTGCATTTCGCGTAGCTATTTGCGTAACTCGAAAGTTCTAAATCAAACTAATTACGCAGTTTTGTTTTTACACCCGCACGCTAAATAAAACAATGACAACATCGGAAGTATTCTTCTTTATCATTGCTTTAATAGTCAGTATACCGAGTTTAATCAATAAAAGATTGTACAATGAACAACAAAATTCGGAAACGAGTACTATAAATTTGCTTTCGGGCCACAGAACTGAGTGACCTAGATAATAGCGACGCTTCTTCTTTGGTCTGCTGCTCAGTTATTTGTTGGTTTTCAACGTAACTCTATGATGTCATTTGAAGATGAATACTTTTATTCAGTTGTTGCATCGATGTTGCAGTTTGTAGTGCGGTAAGATTGGCATTAAAGTATTGAAAGTCGAATGGAATTGTTTTTTCCAATATGGCGACTAGTCAACTGATCATGTGACCTTCTCTTCCGGAATATTTTCTCACTTTTCAATCATCGTTTTCACAACGCTATGAATCAATACAATGAAAAAAGTAGCTGTTATATTAAGATTGATAAGAGATCAATCGTTTCTAATAATTTTTTCTGTACCCTCGTACGGGAATATGAACGAATATATCGTTTGAAAAATAGGTGTGAAAATCCCCATGTTAAACCTATGAGGGAAAACAAGGAAATATAAATTTGTTCCTCCGCGAACTGCATCATGGGAAATATTTTGACCTTATAAGGAAAGATTTTCGCGTCTCCTCTTTTGAAGAGGGAACAGCGATTTCGAGAATTCCAGATGAAGTGCTTCAAAGGCCCCTCCATTCTGTTAAATGCTCAGCTTGGGCTGCCAATTTCCAAACATGAAATCATCAGCCCCTTTTGGTTTGAGGTTGATAATGGCAACACTGTTACTGTTAACGCACAGCGCAATATTGGCGTTCCCAGGAAGTTCTAGGCAGTTCTAGAGTGACATAGAGGTTTCAATAGACAAGAACAGTGGTTCTAGAAGGATGGAGCTACTCCTCACATTTCTAATGATAGCATAGCCTGGCTCACTAGTCATTTCTATGAGAAGATTATCTCTCCTAGGATGAAGAACCCATGGTCATCCCACAGTCTTGATCTCAATGCCCTTGACTCCTATATATGGGGTTATTTAAAGGACAATTTGTATGAAAATAACCCTACCGCAATTGCAGAACTCCAACAAGCAATGGCTGCAAAAATCTGAGCCATACCCATGGGAAAAAATGCATCCGTGTTATGAACAGTTTTCCTTGAACATTGCAAGTTTGTTTTCAGCGAAATTGACGTCATCTGGAGCATATTTTGAAACAACCATAACTCTATCAATATAAGACTATGATTATTAAATCTTTGCCAGAGGATCCCACATTGAATGAAGTCCTTGTGTGCCAAATCTCAGAGCAATTTACATACATTTAAGAAAAATATTGAAGAAATGGAGGGTTGCATTTTTTGGGTCACCCTGTATATATATTAGCATGTTGAATATTCCTTTATATACAATACTGTCAATAATACGTTATAGCTTATTGATGTTTTCCCATGAACAGTCAAATACTGACAAACAGATTACTTAATTGTACAAAAAGGGAAATAGTTACATATCTTAATATGTATTGCTTAAAACCTTTTATGTCAATTAAGCAAATCATTTAATCTGTTCGTCAAAATTTATCAGAGATAACACAGTCCTAAAATAATGAAAATATACATAGCTTCTTAACAATAGATTTGTAAATAAGAAGTGAACATATATAGATCAATCCAGTCTGACCTACTATGAATACTACTGAACACGCCATTTTAGTGAGTTTGTTTACATCATGTAATAAAACGGCACTGGTCCAATAGAAGTGTGCTACCTAAATCACGATTCCATACAAGGAAGTTAGTTTTGTTTACATCCTTGTTTCGATATAAAGCAATATATACTGCAACTTCAGTAAACGCCAACATACTTGATTTTATTTCACCTGTCGTATGTATCTCTTAATTGGACGGACATTATCTTAGTTTGTGGGCCGATATAAATGATTATACTTTGTATTATCAAAAGAAACAAAGGGATGCAGTGACAATAAGCTGAAGGTATGAAGAGGCGCAACGTGGGTGTTTACATACAAACCTCTGATTATAACAATCATGCGAGAATGACTGTAATGGAATGTGGTAGGTAGTCACTCGGTAGGGATTCTTACAATTTCACCTGGTTTGAAAGACGTAATCATGACTAATAGCTAATAAACAAGAACTGTAATGAAACATAAGGTCGAAAATCTTCTATTGAAAAGATTCTTTTTGATTTTATTCGAAAAGTGTACATATAATTTGCTATATTGGTAAACTAATGATATCGCCTTATTTCGTTTTAATGGTAAGCTGAAGTTCTACATTACATTAAAATACGTACATGTTTTATATGATTAAAACAGGTTTAGTTGATCATTTCTCATTCCATTTAAATATCATCTAGAACACCAATATTTAAGTGTTAGTATTCACTCCCACCATGGTGCCATCTTTTTAAAACACCTGTAAAATTCACCAAGTCTTGCAATTTAATAATCAGTTCTTTTTGTCAATTTATTTAACGTAATTTATTGATTAGTACATGTCACAGGCTGGTATCGAAAGATTTGTCCGCTGTGACGGAGCATGCTATTTTTCATAAAAACACTAAGAATGCTTCACGATTTATTTTTTAACTCATATGTTTCGTTATATCAAAGACAATTACTTATTCCATGCAATGGGTATATCATTTGCGTGTAACCTTCACTTCTGTTTGAAGTCCAATAACGCTAGGAGTAAAATCTATTAAAAACGGCGCCAGAGTATCAAACTTTAAAATGTACAATTTCTTTTTTATTAACTTTTTAATGGCATGATATAGTGACACGATAATATTAACATATGTTTTAAGCATAACTCTGAATGTATTAATGAGATATTAATGCATTGGGTCTTTTTAATTTTTTTAATAAAAATACTATTAATATTTTTTGTCCGCTGTGACGGAGCATTTTCACAGTTCACATTTGCAACTGCTCCGTCACAGCGGACAAAAAAATTAAACATTATTTTTTAGAAAAGAATTAAAAAGACCAAATACATCAACATCTCATTTATACCTTCATAGTTATGCTGAAACCATGTGTTAATATTATCGTGTCACTATATCGTGTCATTAGAAAGTTAAACAAGAAATGGTACATTTTGAAGTATGATACTCCGGCGCCATTTTCAATAGCTTTTCTTCCCAGCGTAATTTGGACTTCAAACAGAAGTGAAAGTTACCACCAAATGATATATCCATTGTATGGAGTAAGTAATTTAGTATGGTATAACGAAACATATGAGTTAAAAAATAAATCATGAAGTATTCTTAGTGTTTTTATGAAAAATAGCATGCTCCGTCACAGCGGACAAATATTTCGATACCAGCCTGTGCATGTATATGCGTGAAAACAGAAATAAAGGTAAGATTGTTCGATTTTTTAAAGGATGGTCCCGTGATAGGTGGAAAATACTGATGGACTTAACATATTTACTCCCAGAGTACAAATAATCACTTAAAGGCCCACTATGCTTAATTTAGAAGGAAAAAAAGAAAAAAATCATTGAAACATGTTATTTACACACTCAATCAAGAAAAATAACTCACATAGAGAACAGCATTTGAAGTTAAAGAGATCTTTGGTGATGCATGCACATTTTTGACAAAGTACCAGCAGTACATGTTTTCAAATAACTCCTGATTTAAAAGATGGCGACACTTCTATAAAAATGAATGAATCATGTACTGCAAACAAGTTCGCCATCTTTCATTGATATTGGTAAAAACTTGGTAATATAAAAACTTGACAGTTCAAAAATATTTTTAATATTTTATAATAAGCTTTGATGTGGCCCGTTTGAGCTGTTTTTGATGTCTAATGAAAGATAAAGTACTTGCCAATCCACTGGATATACAGTGAAGTTCAAAAGTAAGTCTTTATTTTGCCAAATTATGTTGAAAATATGCATAGTGAGGCATAATCTGATAATTAACGTAATTGTTTGATAAAATGACTACAATTAAAGTCACTTGTCTGGCAAAAACTTTACTTTGTAAAAATAAAAATGAACTAATATAATATCATTATGTATTGAGCGACTGCCATTGTCTATAAAATGTAATCAATCTATTTAAAGATATTCTAATGAGACTTCTCCGTGGCATTTTTTCTTTATTCCTTTTTGTTTTGAATTTTTACACCATAACATTAACTAACTACTCAATATGCAACTTTTCACCACGTAGAATTTTAAAATATTAAGTTTGAAAATTCCATTTTTATAATGGAGCTCAATGGGAAAAACGACATAATTTGAATTATTTTGAAATGTAGCGGCGCGATTTTCTTGAAATTGACAGATATAATAAATATTGGTAAGACGAAATGTTTGAAGAAAAATGAAGAAAATTCATCGTCCTGGTAACGCAAAATATAGAAAAATATGAAATAATCATAAAAACCTGTAAAAATAGATTGAAGGGGGTGATAATCATTTTTAATGTGACTTTCACTACTACAGGGTAACCATAGTTTTGGTAATGGTTTACCAATTTTAAAAGCATATCTTCCAGCATATGTATCAAGTACAAGTAATACAATAAGTGAGTTATCATTAATTGGAATGGTATTATTGTATTCCTTAGCAATGATGACAAAAAGGTAAAATCGATCATATCACATACCATCAAATTGATCTACTATAATGCATATTAAACAATATAGCACTAGATCTTCAAATTCGAGAATTCAGCTAAATTGTAAGATAATAAATGAATTGCTAATCCCTTATAACTGTAAAATCCCCTTCTCCGAATCATACTGAATTATGATATTTCGGTATGCTTATTTTAGCTGCTGTAGTTTAGGTCACTTGATGAGATATTCAGTAACATGCTGTCACTAGAGACAAAACTTGACACTAAATAATCACTCAAAATAAACGATATGAATTTTTCATATTTTCTTCTTTGGAAATACATCCATTCTTGAAATTTAGCATTCAAAGCTTTTCAATGCAATCATGAATTTAGTGATCTGACCCCTAAAATGCTTTTCAGAGGGAAAAGTCTGTCCACCTGTAGCCCTTGTAGCATCTTTTTCTAGCCATATTTTCCTAGGCCTGTTGGAATACCTCTTTCAGTGTTCAAGTTTAGCATTGTTTTCCCATTGATCATTTGAGTTCTCACTTCAATAACATATGGAAATAAAAATGATAAGATGTCAAAAAGAGTGGTTTATTTATTGTAAAACATCAAAAATAAAACAAGGTTTGGTCAGGAAGGGAACAGGTGAAATCCTTGGGATATATGAATTAATTAATTATAAGAAACATATTCATGTTTCTACAATTTAGGGTAACCCTGTGTATTATTCTACTGCATATGTTTATACCAGTGCAAAATATTACAAAAATATTATTTACTTACTATCATAATTCAATGTGACAATATCAGTTTTATTTTCAAATTTGTCTATAATAGTTTGCCTGTAAGGTTGAGCAAGCCGTCTATTGCATTGATAGTATAAGATGCTGATTTTGCAAAGCTTTTATGGGCTAATTCTACAATATGTACAGTAACATATATGTAAGGGTGCCAGTATGTAGTCCAGTTTATAGTAAACAAATGAGTATTTTGGTCAACTCAATACATCTGATAAACACTACATGAAGTGTTTTCTATGCAATGATTATATACAGGCACTTATTCATTGTTACTGCGAATTTCAAAAGCCTCCAAATTGTGTGGAATAGAGCATGCAATGTTTTTCAGTTTCAAGCAGGTTTTAGTACATTCTGACCAATTGTATTTTCAGACTTATTCAATTCATGATTCTGTAATACTGACCTACTTATCTGCTTAGCATATCTTTAACACGTTCATGATAGAACGTAGTGATTGAGCGTGGGAACCGACGATGTAAAAGTACACCAGCCATAAGGAAAACAAACCCCAAAATGTTTTTAAAAATCATAGTTTTCCATCTTTAACGAGTGTAGGGGTTAGGGTAACGTAGATTGATACTTGATAATATATATGAGTTTATAACTAGGAATTTATAAAAAACAAGTACAACCTTAAATTAAATATATGTATTTCTTGAAAACCTGGACATATAATTTAATAATATGCAAAATAAACTGTAAATTGGCTCCCTCTATTTAGAATGTACGCAAAGCTGCAATCTGATATGGTCCCCATGTTGGAGTGTATACATATAAATGTTGTAAGCAAAAATATATAAATTGGCATATCTGTATATTATTATCATTTTGCTCTTGGATGATATATGAATATATATTGTGAGGTATAATCAAGTATACAGAGACGATTGTCCCAATTGTTATCTACAATGTTTGGTAATGAAACATACAAGTGTAGTTTGGTTATAAGTTGGTTATTTATATTCTTATAAAAGCGATTGTCTCCTCTTTAATATTTATACTCGATATATTAACAAGGGATTCACTTCTGGAAACATTCTTTGGAATCGTAAAAGAATTACAGTTATATATGTAAATAAATAAGTACTATTCGAATAAATATTGAAGTTATATAAAGCAGTAATAAAATATAAAAATTTAATTGAATTATATTCCTATGTGACTGTTACTGCTTATAACATATAAAAATAATAAAAATAAATTAGTTACATATTAGCAGCAGTTGCACTATATATAATTATGATGTAATATTTATATTATTTACATTTTTACTACATAATCTAACAAGAATAAGCTGCAGATCTATTTTGTACACACGACTAGATGTGAAACATGACATATCATACTTGTAGTATTATTAATTCAAAGGTATACAATATAGTGCATGACACTGTAAAGATGACTACATATTTAATATTTGCAGTGTACATGCACGTATAGTATTTGACGGACATCAACAAATGCATATGGCCTACCATTCATGTATTATAAAATCAAATGTATAATTATAAATAGTGTATGACACTGTAAAAATGACTGCATGTTTAATGTTTGTAGTATACATGTACTTATTTGATGAACATCATCTACCGTACAAATAATTTGACATACTGCCAAGTTTTAAATGGGTTTTCTTAATTGCTATCACCTAAACTTTGTCAGCGAGTTCTGTAAAAAGAATTTGAAGGAAGTAAGCTAGCTTTTTAGTGTCTCTCAGAATTAGGAAATCCCGTTGTCTCCTTATCATGCCAGAAACAATGTTCCTATATTCTACTCGCATCACATCCCTAGTAACGTGATCATCGATCACAATTTGTTGACGCCTGAGCTCAACGTCGACATTGCACATAAGGTTACGTAGTTTATCTTCTATACTATGGATATCTGCTTTAAACACTCCACCTTCGTGTGTTATTTCATCTAGACGTACTTGTTCAATGTGAACTGCAACAAGGGAAAGATTGTGGTATGCTTGTAACAACGTCTCGCTTATCTGGAATTAAATAATACAACAACTCTAAAAGCTGCACGTAATGATTTCTGCTTTTGACATAAAGGCCTATAGTAGGTTTACAAACGTATCAAATACTCGTATTATCTAAAAACAAAGGTATTGAGAAAAACACCAGCTGATGAAAAAACAATTGTTTGTTCTTTAGCAACCTTAAAAGCTAACAAATAAATTGAGGTTAAAGATATGATAGTTACTTACTGGCTTCCCTGACAGTGTTGTAATACTTTGGGGTGTTGGGTTCACATGGGGCATACCATTAAGTCTGTAATCTTCTAATAATGCTGGAATATCTGGATTATCAAATCGCTTTGAAGTCTGGAAACACATGAATACCAGTCAACATTAGTTCTATAAGTTTGGCAAGAAAAATTGGATATTATAGGGAACCAAAGTTTTGAGCTGGAATGTAGGTATAGTAAGAACATGTAAGAGTAAAATAATCCTTTAACAATTATCATGAAATTATTTGTTCAAATTATGATATATTCAATGATGGGTTTGTAAAGATCAGATTTGAGGAAGTACGTTGCATTGTAAATCTGCCCAAATGCATGAATATGTGTGAAAATAATGTTTTTTGTTTATTAATTAAACCCGAATAGGATTAAACATTGGATTATGTGGTATTATTTTGCGCTATGAATGTATAAATGATAAGGTTATGTTTACTTTATATGTTATGTTATTGTTATTTATATTGATGTTATCAATGTTAATTTTCCGTTATTTTCTGTTAAGATTGTTCTGGGGAAGTACATCTGTGATTTAGAATTCATGAACTCATGAAATCACTAAATCATTTTATTATTAAAACATTAAAACAACTACTTTGTAGTTGTATGTTATAGTTATAGTTTTTATGGATTATGGCGACGGCTTTTGTGAATGGATGTTGACCCTTTGAAACGCCTATGGACTTGGAGACTGGATTATATCTATCCCACATCATTTGAGACTGAATACTCTATCTTGTATGAGTACTTGTATCTACAACAATTTTTGAGGTTATGAGTATTGGCTATCAATTTGCTATCAATTGGCTATCAATTTCTAATTTTTTCTTCAACATGTATTGTAATGACTTCAGTATGAATGAAATGTCCCTTGGTCTACTGGTCTTGGATTGTGATATTGATTCTTGAATGGTAGGGGGAAAGGGGGTATTATACATTGTTTCCTTTCACGTTAGATCATGGTTTTGGGCTATATGGGGTTTGTTTTTCTTGACTGGTATGCACTTAGAGTTTGCTTTTTCTTGCTAAGTTCCATTACAACTTTTGGTCCTTTCCCTTTGGCACTAGTGCTTATATATTGTGATCTTTAAATGTATATTACCATAAGCACATTATCATATCATATAATTAACTGAAGCCAATTACATATTTAAAGTGAAATTCATACAAAATATTATTATACGATGTTTCCTCCATGTCATTACAAATGTAATTAGTCATTGTCTTTTCGAATTTTTATTGTGTTTTTTAAAAAAAGAGATTCAACAAGTTTAACCTCTGATGACATGCATTGCATTTATTATTTTGGCCTGATATAAATTACGGATCTGTTTGGGATTGTATGATCGTATGCAATGATGCAGGACACATTGCTTTGAAAATCATAGACATTGCTTGTAATTGTGTCACATTCTTGTATAACTCTCATTCTAGCTTTAAAATCAATCAGAAGACACGGGGCTTTTTCACAAAGCATACGTTCTGCTTCATGAAGCGTCTGTTATAAAATGTTAAAATGTGAAAATTTTGAAAACCAGAACTTGTGATTAAAGATTTTTTGATGTAATTACAATAACATAGGACAAACAAACATGATGTGTACCAGTTGAAATGGTAGCCAAGACAGTTAAATAATATCAAGAAGAAAATATGGGTTTCAAATGAAATCAGCTATTTTAATACTATATGGAAAATGACAATAAAGAATGAAATGAATGAGAGAGAATGGATGTGAAATGGAATAAATAGACAGTAAAATCATAGAATATGTAAATTGTAATCAAAACATAATGTGATAAAAACATTAATACATAGACTATGTAATTGAAAATTATAAATTTCTAGATTTACCCTGAATACTTACGAATTTTGATAAAAGTCTTTCTGTTACATCGAGAGCTCTCCCAGCCATGGTTCCAATAATCGATAGTGTGTCAGCTAAAGTATTTCCGGGTGTAGGAACACTACTCCAATCGTAATGAGAATCAGTGCTGACATCTATGTTACATGGATCAACCCAGCTAGATACTGGTGTTGTTGGAATACAGTTCACTGGACTGAGCGAGGCAATCAGTATAACTGCTGGTAGGATATATTTTAGAATATCTGAAAATAAACAAAAAGTATTGAAACTGACAAACAGCTTACAGGATATTTCAGCTTAAAGGGAGACTTGTAGATTATATATTGTGATATTCCATGTAAAACTAACCTTTTAAGATCTCCATAATAGTTATTTAGACGAACACTGTGTCTTAGCTTAATATTAAGCTGTAAAATGATTTAATCTGAATTCAAAACAACTTATAAAGCCATCTGAATGTAATGTAAATACCTATTTGGATGTATCATATGAAACAGTTATATTAATTACCGTTTTTGTGTTTCAGTTATATTTAAGAATTAAGACCGTAATGATGACAGGCATTCCACCACATTGGGAATCCCCAACGATTGTTCAAAGATGGAAATCGCCTAGGTAGTCCCCAATCGACCTACTCTAGTTTCATTTCCAAGAACTACTTATCTCGTAGTACTGCGAATTACATAGCTATCATAGTTATCGATATGGCAAATTGGCTTTTTGAGTCGATTCGAAAGACCTACAATTAGATACGACTGCCATCCGATTTTTTAATATATTTTACATGACGTATTTAGTAGATTAATTAGAGTTGAAAACATTGAGAATTATCCATAACGAGATATTGTGAATTTTGAATATGAGTTGTAAAAACGTGCTACATCTTTTCGAGTTCCACGAATTACTGGTTCTATGACATCTGCGAATATTATTGACTCGAGAAAAAGTAGAAATATGGAATTAGAGGATTTATTTATTATAGCATGAATCTTCAAAAATATTCATCGAAAGCAAACAGTGAAAAACTGAATGATGTCTGCGTCTATATGCGGTGATCTTAAAAAATGTCGGTATATAATCGTATTCAAAGCACTACTAGATGAAAATGTTGAATTACACTCAACAATGGAAAAATAACTCTGTCAGTGACGAGTGCCATTCTGATACTCAGGCCATCTCTGCCTTACATACATAGGAAAGACATGCAATGATGTGGCAGGATGTGGTCGCTCAAAATGGACGAGTGCTAAAATGCCCAGCTAGTGAAGGAATGAATTGGTTAGTACAAATTGAAAAACTAAATCACAAAAAATTATTTTCATAAGTACTGAAGTTGATCTTTGAATTTTTTCTTGTGTTACAATTGTTTTTATGTGATCATGCGCACCATCGATTTCCTATTGGGGATCCATAGTCCACCGATATGTACATTTACTAATAGAGAAAAACGTCCACTTACTTGCGATTAATATTGAAACTAGTAGTTCATTCATAGAATTTAAAGATTTTTTACTTATAATAAGATGTAAATCTCATATAAATATAAATATAAATATAAAAGTTTCAAACATCTTTGTTTCTATTGCGCGTGCTCCATTGACAGAGTGTAATTTACGGACACCGGTACAGATCAAGCAGTTGATTAAACTTTTAAGGCATATATTTTAATATTCAACCCTTCTCAACACTGATATTTTAAATCTAGATATAAATAGTAGCATAGTTGTGCATAATCGACAATGAAAATGTGCATTTTCATGATCCAAATGTCCATATCATAAAATTGAAGGGACAGTTATGTAGAACACGCACTATAACGATGAATTACATGTAAGTTCGCGGATGTCTGGTTTTTCGAGAGGAAGTAAGCTATAAGCTATCTCCCTTAACGTAGACAGAATACAAGGGTAAGATATTCTTTAATAGTCTTCATCTACTGTCAAACTTCAATCCTATCCAAAATCATTGAATTAGAAAATGGGAAATTATCATTTATTTGGTCACAGTGCAGCTTCGTTCGAAAAACATCTACATTTTTTAATTCCGCCATTTTGGATAGGCTTGAAGTTTGAGGGCAGATCGAGACTATTTTATCAATAACTTCAAATCCATCATACTCTCACACATACGGGTGTGTCCTTTAGGAGGCGTAGCGGGGAAGCTGGGCAAGGGGATATGTAAATTAAAAGATTAAAACGTAGCCTTACCAATTACAATACTAGGATTTTGGGTTCGTTTTGTCGTTGTTGACTTCATTTTCCTCTGTGAGTGATTCTGTAGTGCCCTCGTTGTGATTTTATCTTCTCTATTATCTTCACAGAGTTTGATTTGCTTCTTAACCAATGCCATGATTTGTTTCGTTGTTGGTAGAGGATTTTTGTCGTTATAGACTGATTTGAGATTGATTGCACGCATTTTTATATAAAAGTTTGAAATTCCCTCACTGAAAGGTAGGGGAATCCCTTTTTGTATACGAAACCGAAATTATGGGAGTAATCTGTATATTAAGACAATGATTGAGTCGGTCACAGCCATTTGACTCATTATGACGATGCGTAGGTTTATAATTCCTCTCTGAAACTTAGGGGAATACCCCTTCTATTTTGATCTCACATCGAAATACTATACTAATAACACCTTCTCAATTAGATCATTGATTAGATGTACTATTCGATCCAGGGAATCTGAATTTAAGACTTGTTCTCTCTTTTGGGCTCGTATCATTCATTGTCATGGACATTATCTAAAATCACCACAATGTACCCGAAAGACATTTACAATGATGTGATCGTTTCTGTGGCCACCATATTTATTATTTGAGAAAAATAACAAAATTTGGGGCAAAATGTGCACTTTGAATCTTAAATAATTTCACCAAGGTATTGATTTCAAAATGTGAAATCATAGAATTAATATGTTAAATAACTTCCTAACAGAGCTCGTAGATAAAAAGTGACTTTTGAACGAGTAAACGGATGTGTATATTGTCAATAAATAGGAATGATTATTAGTATCTGAACTGCGATATCAGTGTATCGATAATTCTAGATGCTTTAGATCATCGATTTGACCTTGATTAGGCTATGGAGATTGTGAAATAGTGACCTTATGAATTCCATCCATCATATTTCGAAATAAAGTTGAACACTGTCAAATTAATAACATTAAACTCGTTTCATAAGCTAATTTACAAGGTTTCCAACTCCAAAGTATAATCAATCACCTTGGAAATCCAAGACTACATGTATATATAGAAACAAGTGCAAGGCAAGATCTTGATCAGAATTGTGAGTCATGGATGTAATAAGGCTGTCGGTATTCCCAGATTTGGAAGGTGGTCTAAAGTCAAAGGATCCATCACTATAAGTATATAAAAAGTGCCCCCAGAGCATTCATAACCATTATGACATATAATATTGTATAATTTAGTAAGGAGTTAATTATGGCATATTGTTCAGGTACATCCTAAGTGTTATTGAGGTCATCGGGACCTTGTAAAGGTCAAGTCAGTGCATATCTGCAAATCAAACATTCTTGTATGCAAAATCATCATTTATAAAATGTGAAAATATGATAAAGAATGTTGTTAAGAACAATTTTGACCTTAGCCTTTGAACTTTCGAAAGTAGGTCAAACTTCCAAACACAATTTTCGTTTTTATTTTTTTTATTTGGGTCCATTGATTTAACATGGGGAATCAACATTTTAATATGATGACTTGTGTTAAGTCAATTATTGAACAATTTCAAATGAGATGGGAGTAATGCTCCTTCTAACCCCGGGGACACCCATATTTTGACATCTGGGCAGGTTACCAAATGCCCTATAGTCATTATTCAATAGTATCGGTAAATTCATAATCCACTTTGAATCTATACAGCACTAGTCAACATCCAAAATGGCTACCCTAATCATTTGCTATATTTTTTGTTCGACTTCACTTTTACAGTGCTTCCGTAGGCCTGGCCCACACCAATTTGATCACTAAACTATGCCCCCTGTCATAAAAGTGGGCGAGGTCTGCGGCAGCAATGAACCGTTCGAATAAATAAGCCGCATTAAAAACACACATAGCAGTAAAAAGCAGGTCCATCCAGGATAAGAGTGCCTTCAAACTATAAGGCATGCATAAATCTTGTTATCGTTAGAATATTGAATGTGAATTTATTCTTAAACCTCAGAAAAATTATTATCAAGAGAAAAACATACAATTTCGGCAGAGAAATGGACCACTCTTGGAATCGCCTGAAAACATGTTCTTGGGTTGATTTAATTTCAAAATAAGTATGGCCTCAGTGAGTTAAAACTATTACCTTTATTATTTCATAAGAATTGAACATATGATCGTACATTGAATTTATACCTTATTTATAGTGACACTTATAGTTATCCTTTGAAATGGTGTAAATGTGCACTGTATACGGGTGTCTGTCTCTCAATTATTACAATTTATGAACAGCATTTAAGAATCCTTATGAAGTACTGGTTCTGATGCACAGCAAAAGTATCCATTACAAAATTAAGACTTATTATCATTATCATTAGTTGGGAGAACTTTTAAACATAACAATCTCACATCCAGCCATGGACCTCCTCCTTTTCATATATACATGTACCTCCAAAATTGGGTGTGGATAAAATATGATAAAGGGAGGGAGTGCTCGCAAAGGCTTTTTGCAAGTATGTCAAACAATTATTAGATGTATTCAGTTTCGGGAAAGGGATCTGGAAGTATGAAAATCATAAAGAAAAATGCCATTCGGTATTGTTCTTTCACTGGCAGTGACCTGTATGAAGATTTTGATTCATGAACATGGACTGGACGACATATGAATTGTGCTCTTCATTGATTTTCGCTAATGAATTGTAATAGACATTAAGCCAATTAACATGATAGCGATTATTCAATTCAAATCACTTCTTTACCTATAACTAAAGTTACAACCTACACATTTATAATCTGAATCATTTTTGACTCAAGGTATGCTGGTACGGTGTTATAAGCCAGGTTATGAGCTTTTAAAGTCTAGGGAGATGTGACCCTAAACATTTCAAAGTCATTACTTTCACAGAGTTCTGAATGTAACACCGAATTTTAACAATATCAGAAAACTGAAATTTTAAAGTTTTATGAAATCAAAATATATGGAAGTGTAAAAATTTAAGAAATATTATGAGAACTTATTGATGACTCCTCGTATAGATGGAATTCATCCTGTTTAAGGATCAGGGTGTTGTGATTATATTCAAATAGATGGTCCTTGTCGTTTATTCAATCCTCACATGACTTTTTTCCAAAGTAGAAAATAACATGTTTTAAACCATTCAAACATTCAGGATGTTCTTGCAACTTTTCAAATCCTCTTGTAAATAGTGTAAATCTATTGCGAAACATCTAGTAGGCATTTGTTAAATACATTATCCTATTAAAATATGCTTATTTTCTGTTTTCCAGAAATGGAATGTCATTTTGCCTTTGGTATTCTGACAAAGGTTGCATGACAAACAGAGAGAAACCGGGGGATTCCCATCACTCGTAGATAAACTATTGTTTCTCAATACAATAATGGACCCCGACTCATACAATAATGGACCCCGACTCATACAATAATGGACCAAGACTCATACAATAATGGACCCCGACTCACATCTACTCAGTGTGACAGAACACATATTCTTAACTAATGGTGTATACTCACTTTGACAGGATATACGTGAGAGAGGATGTTTTCGAGGGACTAGTAATAAGCTTCACATATGATTGGTACATTTCACTTTTTTTCATCGAGGGGCTAGCCCCCACCACAAGATTCACTCCTCTCCGAGGAAAATGTGTCTCGATTTAATGTGCATCCCTCTTTATCAATATATTTGGCGCTTAAGTATAAACCTTACTTAAGCTAAGTGTTAAGAAGGGATCGGCTTTCTAGAATATTCAAATATTGAAAATTCATGAAATATAGCATTGTATAACAACCCTGGGTTGTTACTTTTCATATTTCATGCCCAGTTTAATTATTTCTGTTAATGTAAATTCTAGTATTTCAATTTATTGTAAGGTTAGCAAGGACTTTTAAACTTTTTATAACATTTGAGTTTGGTGCCAGAATAGTTTGATGACCCTTTAGCATATTAGCCAATCAGAGCAGGTTTTACAAAAAGCGGTTGGAGGCATACTTGAAATACATGGAAGAAGATTGAAATTTATATTGCTGTTTAAGTGATCTTAAATGGGGACTTTAAAAGTCCAAACGTAGGATATTGATAGGATAGCATTTATATAAATATGTCAGGATAATATACATCACACTTTAGCAGGGTAAGGTTGCACATTTAGAACGTGATTAGTAGTTAAGTCAAGTGATCTCGTTTTGAACTTTGTGAATTTTTGCCTGGAATTTTATAACTTCTTTTTCTATCAAGTTTATAGGATTAGGCATCAGGTCTGTCAATATTATGCAGTCATTTTATATTCTGAATATTACTAGTTAAGTTACATGCAGCTTTAGTGAGATTCAAGTTGAAGATAGATAGTGAAATGCCAGCATGTGTAATTTCAGTTTGAGTATTTGAAGATAGGTGGCAGGGTGTTCTGTTATTGTTTGTGAAACATGTAGAGATCATGCATTTTATATAAGGTCAGATTTGTAATAGGATCGAAACTAGGATCCTAGGATCGAAAACTGTATTTGTAACAGTATCTTATTTGATACACATTTCTGTGAGACCTTACCATGTAAATATTCATTGTACATATTTCATATCATTTAGATTAGTTTTATCAATACAGTTACACATACAGTAAAACAGGGAATGCTCTTGGGACTGGATGAAAGTTTCCTTGTTCAGAGGTTTTCCTTATAGAGAGGGGCCGCGCTTTCCTCAAACTTGCTGAATAAGCATATTTGTATACATATGGGCATTGATTGATTGTAGCAATGTTGACTCCATACTTGATTGCTAAACCTTTTTGTGACATCTTGGAAGATGTATGAAGGTCTCCCACCTCCCTCTATTGATGTCTCTCTATGTTGATTTTAGCTGCTGCTACTAGTGTCTGATAATGTCTAGTTGATGTAATTATTGATAGATTTGGCTCAACATGACACATGTACTTATCTGTTATCTCCAAAAAACAATTGTGTCGGTCCCTAGATTATCACAACTGATTATATGTAATTATGTTTGTTGAAAGGCAGAATCAGTGTCATGATAATTAGTAACAAACAGATTAGTATTAGTTTTAAAATATATCATCGTAATTAACAGTGGGTGGGATGATTCATCCTGAAAACAATTGGCTTATCTTAATCTCAGTCATATTAATCCAAGCTTTTTAGAATCAGACCTCGGAAAAATAATGGAATATACAGTGTCACC